ACCTAATGGTAGCAACACTGGTTGTCTAGGTTCCTATTTGTGCTGAACCGTTTGCAACTGGTACCAGTTTAAAACAATCCTCAGTGCCCAGCCCTACTTACAACTTGCATTGTCATTATACTTTAGGTACCCGATGTACTATTTCTTATATAGTACCCTTTTGTTCTACTTGAGCGCTCAAAGCGCTTTATACGGCATGTCTTATTGACCCATTCGTTCATTCACCCCCAGTTTTCATTTCACAAAAGCATGGATGGCTTGATGGATTACGTTATCATCACATTTGCTAACCTGTTGCTCTTGGAACATGACTGCATTTCCTATCGTTTGTCAAAATTATGTGCAAGGTTTAACTTGTCCACTGTCAATGCCTCTCATGTATATGCTAATAAAAATTTTATTAGTGTAGTACTGACTGTAGCTAAAAATTATTGAAAAGTGACATTTATTTTAAATTTTAAAACATGCTGGTTCTATAGTTGCTAGGGTTATACACTTGCATTGAGAGATGTAAGACAATAACATTTAGTTGACTGCAGTCGTGAATCTATTGACCTCAGTGGTGAAATTTTACACAAAGTAACATTAAAGACCGGAAATAGCGCTATCCAAATGCTCGATTCTGTACAGTCAGTGTATAAAAACAATTATCTGGCACCAAACAGAAAATCCTCATGTCATTGGACAGAAGCAATGCTTCACTAACCAATGTTGGAGCACAAAGTTATACAGCTTCCTTCAGGATTCTTTGCAGCAGCCAACAGCTGAGGTGAACGGCAGTCTGACAGGTCCGGGATACTGCAGTTACTGACTTTTTAAATAAAAATTTAAATTTCCTATTTAGTGTGTTTATTATTTACTTATGTTAACATGTAGTACAAAAATGGTTTCCTACACCGTTGTAGAAACTTGCTGGCTTGCAGTTGCAATGCCCTGACTTTTGGCTATGTATTATACGGGTGTCTGCTTTGTCAACAAGCTGTGGACGGTCAGCTAGGACACTTGTACTTGACTTGACATGAAGGGCCTTTGCTAACTGGTGGGACTGCCATTATGACAGCTAGGCAGTCTGCCTAAGTGAAGTCTGTGTGTGGGGAAACACTACCAAGGTGTTATGGTACTATTTTCAGTGGCAGGTTATTGCAGTATCATAGTATAGCATGAAACTTAGTGCCCACAAAATTCCTGCTTGCTTTATCATGTGTTCTGTCACATAGTGTGCTGTGCATTCTTGTCTTTGGTATTGACATAACTGTGTCTCACTGTTTCCTGATCTTCTTCCTTTGTGCAGTGATGCCATACCTACATTCGCAGTTAGAGAGCATGAACACTGAGAAATTAAAAGATTTAATGTTAAAATTATGTTTTGTTTTTCTTAAGAAAAACATTTGTTTCTCAAATAATTTTTTAAATCTCTGTGTAGGGCTGCTCGATTATGGCAAAAATGATAATCACGATTATTTTCACTGAAATTGAGATCTCGATTATTTGACGATATTTATTTAACAATAACAATGTATTGGATAATGACTTTAAAGACTGTCAAAAAATAATATAAAATAGTGTGCAAATACTGATAACAGTGCAAATGTTTGCAATATAAAAAATAAATGAAAAATGTAAACATCTGTGTTTAGTGAACTTTGCAGTGTTGCTCTGTGGTGCAGCTACGACACTGTAGCAAAGTTTTCACACTGTGTCTACTTGATCCACGTCTGACTGAACCCATAATGTTTCCACACCACTGAAGTTTTTTTTACCTCTCTTTTCAACCAACGGCAGTCACTCTCCTCTCCAAATAACTTCTTAGCTTTCCGAGCTTCCCTTGGGTCCTCTTAATCAGCGGTCCCCAACCCCCGGGCCTCGTACCGGTCCGTGAGTCGTTTGGTACCGGGCCGCGAGAGTTGAGGCTCAGGTGTGAAATGTATGGTTTTCAGGGTTTTTATTGGTTTTCAGCGTTATTTTGTTATCGTTTTTATCGTTTACTGGGTTTTCCTGGTCTTTTCACGTGTGTTATGAATAAATTTTATTTTTTTCGGTGCCGGTACTAGTTTTATTTTGTTGTATTTATCTGCAACACCTTAAAGGCCGGTCCGTGGAAATATTGTCGGGCATAAACCGGTCCATGGCGCAAAAAAGGCTGGAGACCGCTGCTCTTAATTGTTGTGACACGCGTTCGAAATGCAGAGAGGTGCGCTCGATTTGCCACACGGAGCAGCGCGAGAGTAAAGCACGAGGGAGGGGCTAATAATCGGCTCAAGTCATTTTTAATGATCGTTGAAAGCCCAGATCGTAATCGTGATTAAAATTCGATTTATTGAGCAGCGCTATCTCTGTGTCTGAATCAACCAAATCTTTAATTGTATTATAATCCAAACATGACTCTTTCTCACAATGGCGTTTAAGTGGAGAGTGTGGTGCAGAGCAATGTTTCCTCTAAGCTGAGCGCGTGAGCAATCGCGCACTGCTCACATGGTCTCCCCACACAGAAATTCTGCGCTGCGCACAAAAAAAAAATCCAGTCTGAATTGGAATTAAAGTAAATACATGTATTTATTTTATTTTGCTGATTTTCTGTGCGCGGAGACTGTTAGCAGTGCGCGATTGCTCACGTGCTCAGCTTAGAGGGAACAGTGGTGCAGTGTATGGTTTTCCCTGAAAAGCTTGTTAGGTACACTATTTCTAAATTGAAGAAAATGCACCATGCTTAAACCTGAGTATATTTATATTTATCGTCAAGCCTGTTTGGGGACATCCCTGCCCCTTCAAGCGCATGCATGGAAAGCCTAACACAGCAAGAGCATCAGAGTCAAAGCTGATCTAGGGTGGTGTTGAAATCAACTGATATGCTCAGATTGATGTGCTTGTTGAGAAGCAACATAAAACTTACCCATATACTATTTGTTTTGTTTATTTATTTATTTGTGTGTGTTTTTAAAGGTTCCAGCCTAGGTCAGATTTCAGGGTGTTTGGATATTTTTTGTTTTTCTTTTTTGTTTTGTTGCATGATAGGTTCAGGCTCCCTGTACCTTAGTGAGTTACACTGTGACTCTGTCAGTCTGTCATGTATCAGAGTCAATATGTTGTTTATTTATTTATGTTGTGTATAAATGAGTTAAAGAATGTTATGGGTAAGGGGTAATGCATGATAAATTAAGACATAGGTTATACGCAACCTTGATATTTCTCTAACTTCAGCCTCTGCTGTGGAATGTAGGAAATAAGCAACTCTGTAATTACCCCTGAGCCTGCCTTTCAGTCTCTTATTGGCCAGCAGAAAGTGAAGACCCTGGTTCTAGCCAATAGGAAACTAACCCTTTGAGCAAAATCTGTGCCAAGTGCTGGAAAAGCTCAGAGGCTGGAATGAAGGGAAGGGAGAATAGTTGTGGTAGTGACTGAAAAGAACCATCAGTTCCAGCAGCCCTCCTACCCCCCACCCCCCACCTTCCTACCCTCAGAAGCATTGCAAGAAGGTCTTACTACTCAGGGTGCTTGTGCTACAGGGCAAAAAATCAGGATGGCAAATTCTTTAGCGGTCCAACCATGCATGTAATCCTTACAAGCTCTGTGTGTTTGTGTGTATCTGTGGCTGTGTCTGTGTGAGTGGATATTTGTTGGAAGAGAACCACAGAAAGATGGAAGATTAAAAAAAGCTCCATTCTGCATTCTGCAATTACATATACTGAGGCGTTTGACTGTCCATTCATTTTCTTCTCATACCAGAAAGATCTATAAAGGATAGATACTCTTGTCAGCAGGCAGAGGTTTCTAATAAAACTTTGCCGCAGATTTAAAAAATAAGTGTGAAGCCGTTAAGATAACTTGTGGAAACTAGGGGGTTGCCAACTGTGGCTCTTTTTAAAGCCGTAAACATGGCTGTCTGCTTGTCGGCACCGGCAAGGAAAGAAAGGAATGCGCTTGGTATGCAGTCATGGCGCTGGCTTCAAAACAAACCGTCATCGCAGAAGACAGTGTGTTAAACTGACATCTTAACACTAGCAATGAACAAATACACCAGAGAGGAGCAGTATTAGTTTTAGAGTCTGATAATCTGTTGTGGAACATATACAATGACATATTAATTTGCTGTAAATGGACAGGATTTGATTAGGTATATAGCATAAATAGATATCTATTACTTACATAGGAATAGTAGTGGTAGAATAGCTAAATTTATGTCTTGCATATTTCCACAACCATATCCATAATCACATACTGTGTATGCAACCGTTGTATATAGTGTATTATCTTACTTATTTTCTATGTGTTTATTTGTATTTTTTGTATTTTCCTTCTATCTGTACCTGAGCTGAGGTAATGCAAGAATTTCCCTGCCGTGGGATCATTAAAGTCTTATCTCATCTTATATGTGTGATGTATGGTCCAGGTTGTTACTGGGTCAAATGAACGTGTGTCTGAAATACCGAGGTGATGTCAGTGTTGAAACTAAAAAAAGCTAAGAGATGTTCCGTGCATCTCTTAGAAACTAGCTGCCATTATAAGATGTTGACTATTCTAAACATATGAATGTGTTTGTGTTTATACGTGTGTTTGTATATGTGAAGTACAAACACATACATGGTAATAATTTACCTATATCAACTGCGTTGTACTTTTTGAATATGAAGGTGTTTTTAGTTTGTTTATTTTTAATTATAATATTATTAATCATGCTACTGTGTGTGAGCACTTTGATCCAAGTGATGGGGAGAGTGAGAGAGAGCAGGTCATGACAGACTGTGTATTATCAGATTATGATGTGTAGCATAAAAACATGAATAAAAAAGTTGATCTAAAAACCTCCACCTACTTTTAGAAAATGATATGAAATTGCTGCAGCGACACTTTATTTTACCCATGATCAAAGTTTTAACTTTGAATGTGCAATTTCCCTCCTTCCCTGCCACCAATGTTTTTTCCCAAGCCCCCCCCCCCCAAAAAAGAAAAAGGCCTCGTAAGTAGTTGTTACATGTTACTGAATTTATCCATTCCTATTTTAGGAATTTGCTGCACTAACAAAGGAGCTGAACGTGTGCCGAGAGCAGCTTCTGGAAAAGGAGGAGGAGATTGCAGAACTAAAGGCCGAGAGAAACAACACACGGGTTAGTAGATCGTCCTGCACACACATTCACAGAGGATCAGCTGTCAATAAGAAGCATTTAGTTGGGCCTGCACACACTACCTGGAAATACTTGTCAGATTTCCGTCTTTTTCTATTATGAGAAAAGATGGTTGTCATAGCACCGACAGAACAGACAGTGTCTGTTGTCACAGCTTAGGGCATTGCAAATTGCTTAGTCATCACAATATTTCAGCTACAAATGATAAAGCACTTTGCAGCAGCAGTTAGTGCTGACTTTTATCTTTTTTATTTTGACTGGTTTTGCATTTGTTTACTTAAAAAGTTTTTCAGATGCGAGTCGATGATGAGAAATGATTTGGACTTTTTTTTTTGTAACTCTCTGTGTATCCAGCTCCTGCTAGAACACTTGGAGTGCTTGGTGTCTCGCCATGAGCGCAGTCTGAGGATGACTGTGGTGAAGCGGCAGGCTCAATCTCCAGCAGGCGTCTCAAGTGAAGTGGAGGTCCTCAAAGCCCTGAAGTCACTTTTTGAACACCATAAAGCCCTCGACGAAAAGGTACAATTCTGTTAAACCGTTTTTCTTGCAGTATTGGTGCATGTCGACATGTGAACCATTGTTCATCATTTTTGGAGTTACAGTGGGGCAAAAAAGTATTTAGTCAGCCACCGATTGTGCAAGTTCCCCCACTTAAAATGATGACAGAGGTCAGTAATTGCACCAGAGGTACGCTTCAACTGTGAGAGACAGAATGTGAAAAAAAAATCCACGAATTCACATGGTAGGATTTGTAAAGAATTTATTGGTAAATCAGGGTGGAAAATAAGTATTTGGTCAATAACAAAAATACAACTCAATACTTTGTAACATAACCTTTGTTGGCAATAACAGAGGTCAAACGTTTACTATAGGTCTTTACCAGGTTTGCACACACAGTAGCTGGTATTTTGGCCCATTCCTCCATGCAGATCTTCTCGAGAGCAGTGATGTTTTGGGGCTGTCGCCGAGCAACACGGACTTTCAACTCCCGCCACAGATTTTCTATGGGGTTGAGGTCTGGAGACTGGCTAGGCCACTCCAGGACTTTCAAATGCTTCTTACGGAGCCACTCCTTTGTTGCCCGGGCGGTGTGTTTTGGATCATTGTCATGTTGGAAGACCCAGCCTCGTTTCATCTTCAAAGTTCTCACTGATGGAAGGAGGTTTTGGCTCAAAATCTCACGATACATGGCCCCATTCATTCTGTCCTTAACACGGATCAGTCGTCCTGTCCCCTTGGCAGAAAAACAGCCCCATAGCATGATGTTTCCACCCCCATGCTTCACAGTAGGTATGGTGTTCTTGGGATGCAACTCAGTATTCTTCTTCCTCCAAACACGACGAGTTGAGTTTATACCAAAAAGTTCTACTTTGGTTTCATCTGACCACATGACATTCTCCCAATCCTCTGCTGTATCATCCATGTGCTCTCTGGCAAACTTCAGACGGGCCTGGACATGCACTGGCTTCAGCAGCGAACACGTCTGGCACTGCGGGATTTGATTCCCTGCCGTTGTAGTGTGTTACTGATGGTGACCTTTGTTACTTTGGTCCCAGCTCTCTGCAGGTCATTCACCAGGTCCCCCCGTGTGGTTCTGGGATCTTTGCTCACCGTTCTCATGATCATTTTGACCCCACGGGATGAGATCTTGCGTGGAGCCCCAGATCGAGGGAGATTATCAGTGGTCTTGTATGTCTTCCATTTTCTGATGATTGCTCCCACAGTTGATTTTTTCACACCAAGCTGCTTGCCTATTGTAGATTCACTCTTCCCAGTCTGGTGCAGGTCTACAATACTTTTCCTGGTGTCCTTCCAAAGCTCTTTGGTCTTGGCCATGGCGGAGTTTGGAGTCTGACTGTTTGAGGCTGTGGACAGGTGTCTTTTATACAGATGATGAGTTCAAACAGGTGCCATTCATACAGGTAACGAGTGGGGGACAGAAAAGCTTCTTACAGGAGACGTTACAGGTCTGTGAGAGCCAGAGATTTTCCTTGTTTGAGGTGACCAAATACTTATTTTCCACCCTGATTTACGAATAAATTCTTTACAAATCCTACCATGTGGATTCATGGATTTTTTTTTTCACATTCTGTCTCTCACAGTTGAAGTGTACCTCTGGTGCAAATTACTGACCTCTGTCATCATTTTAAGTGGGGGAACTTGCACAATCGGTGGCTGACTAAATACTTTTTTGCCCCACTGTACATGTTGCTTTATGTCCATTTCATATTTTCAAGGTTAGGGAGCGACTTCGTGTTGCTTTGGAACGATGCAGCGCATTGGAGGAACAGCTCACCTTTTCACACAAAGAAGTAAGAAAACACAATATATTAAGAATTACTACAGAGAAGTTTACTTAGGTTTGTTTTGTGTGTGCAGTTTGCATGTTCTCCTCCATGGGTTCTCTCCAGATGCTCTGACTTCCTCCCACAGTCCAAAGACGTGCAGTTCCTGGGGTTAGGTTAACTGATAATTCTAAATTGCCCATAGGTGTGAATGGTAGTGGTGAGTTAGAAGGTAAAGTTATGTGTGTCGTATTTAAAATGGAAGTGTTAACTACCCATCTAGTCTACTTTTATCTTTATATTTGGTTTATGCTCTCACTAAACTTGTATTGGGATTCTGCTGCTGCTGCCACCTTAATAGTTTAATAGTTTAATTATTTATATAGCAACGCTCCTGTTGTAGCAATTACAACAGGAGCGTTGACCAAAGTGCTGTACAAGAATACAACATACCTAATAAAATAACTTAGAGTATTGATAGCAAACACCAAATATGAATTAACAAATAACTCTCATGCTATATTGAAAGCCAGTAAAGAAAAATGCGTTTTAAGATAAGATTTAAAAAGATTGACAGTGGGAGCCTGTCTGATGTATAGGGGTAAATTACTCCACAGCTTAGGTGCTACGACTGCAAATGCTCGATCGCCTCTATGAACCAGCCTCGACCTTGGTACAGCTAAAAGCAAAAGATCACTTGATCTAAGAGATCTAAGGGGGGGGGGGGGGGGGGTATAAGTCTGCAAGAGGTCAGACAAATACCCGGGAGCCTGTCCATTCAGGGCTTTGTAAGTCAACAATAAAATTTTAAAATTTATTCTGAAGCGGACAGGGAGCCAATGAAGAGAGGCAAGCACTGGGAAAATGTGTTCACGTCTTTTAGTACGTGTCAGAAGACGAGCTGCAGCATTCTGGACTAACTGCAGCCTTGCCAGGCTGGTCTGGCTAGGTGCTGGGATAGCCGCTTGGTCCAAAAATTATCACTTCGGTTTTGTTCTCATTGAAGTTAAGGAAGTTAGAGGCCATCCAAGATTTAACTTCACCGAGACACTGAAGTAAGGGTTCTAGTGAGGCAGGACTGTTTCCCTTCAGTTGAAGATAGATCTGAGTGTCATCGGCATATGAATGAAAACAAATGTTATATTTTCTAAAAATTAGACCTAGAGGCAGCATACAAATGGAGAACAATATTGGTCCCAGTATAGATCCCTGGGGAACACCACAAGTAAGGGGAGCTGAGGAAGAAATAAAATCGCCAAAGCTCACAGAGAAGGTCCTGTCAGACAGGTATGACCTGAACCACTCTAATGGGGTGCCCTTTACGCCACAATGCTTCAACCGTGAGATTAAGATGCTGCGGTCAACAGTATCGAAGGCAGCGGTCAGATCTAAAAGCACAGCTGAGTCACCTGAGTCAGTGGCTAATAAAAGATCATTAAGAACCTTTAAAAGTGCAGTTTCTGTGCTATGAAGAGTTTTAAAACCAGACTGAAACCTCTCAAGAACATTGTGTCCATTTACAAAAGATTGTAGCTGAACAAACACAATATTTCTCAAAATTTTTGACAGGAAGGGGAGCTTTGAAATAGGCCTGAAGTTAGTGAGGACGGAGGAGTCAAGATTAAGTACAGGCTGTACAACAGCATGTTTAAAACATGCTGGCAAAACACCCGAGCTAAGGCTGCTATTAAAAATTGCTAAAATGTCAGAACTGACAACCTTAAAAATCTTTTTTAGAAGATGTGTTGGAATAATGTCATTTGGACACGATGATGTCTTTGTGCCACTACGTACTTCCTCCACCTGATCAAGACACACAGGCTCAAACTGATCAAAAACAGCAGAGCAGGTGGATATTTTAGAAACGTCATGTGAAGGCAGGGCGATCATAGATCGAAGCTGTTTTATCTTAATGATAAAAAACTGTAAGAACCTTTCACAGGTGTCTGAGGAACTATTAATACAAGAAGCTGGGGAAATATTCAGGGCAGAGTCAATAATTGAAAAAAGAACCCGAGAATTATTGGAGCTATTCTCAATAACATTAGAAAAAAACCTAGACTTTTCTAGGTACCTGTACAGACTGTCTCAACTTGAGAAAGGACACCTGCAGCCCATCTTTTTTTAACTTACTGGCTGAACGAGTGGCCTTATTTATCCATGGGTCTGGTCGTTGTTTCGAACTTATAGTTTTAAAAGGAGCGACCTCATCAAGGACAGTTTTGCATTTATCATAGAAATTAACTGTCATTTCCTCGGTACCAAAGCCAAGGGGAGATCTTAAAACTTTTTTAAAAGCAATAGAAAATTGTTCTGTTGCAGATTTGGTATAAAAACACGACAACGACGTGTTGAAATAAGAGGTGTAAAATGGCAGAGAGATAAAAGTATATCAAACACAACAGGACAGTGATCAGAAAAAACAGCATCACATATTTCCATGTTTAGGACCGGTAACCCTAAAGACAGCACACGATCCAATGTATGACCCTGTTTCTGGGTTGGCCCAGACACAAGTTGAGCAAGACTAAAGGAGTCTATCAAACTTAAAAAGTCTCTGGTCAGTGAATTGGAGGGACAACACACATGAATATTAAAATCTCCAACGATTAAGATTCGATCATAGTTTGACACAGTTCCAGCTAAGAAGTTTGAAAAGTCTTGGGTAAAATCCTTGTGGTATTTTGGAGGTCTGTATGCAACGGGTGTCGGGCAGGGATGCCCCAATTCAAACGTCACAAGTTCAAAACTAAAAAAAAAAAAAAAAGTTCAAAACTAGAATACGAGTGAGTTAAGAGTTGTTTGCAAGAGAGCTTCTTCCTGAAAACGGCCGCCACTCTACCACCACGCCCAGTCATCCTCGGCACATTAAGATATTCACAGTCAGGCGGTAAAAGTTCAGTAAAACAGCTGGACTCACCGACTCTGCCAAGTTTCCGTTAAAAGCATTAAATTCAGATCCCGATCAGTAAAGAAGTCCTTAAGAATAAAAGTTTTGTTTGCTAGCGATCGAGCATTAACAAGACTTAATCTTAGTGGTATCGGTGGCTCAGCGGCCGATGTGGGTGCCCGACCTATCGGCCGTAGGTTCTGAGGGTTTACTCCACCTGAGCGAAGACGGGGGAGACGCTGGCGCGGGGTTATTGTCGTAAGCCCGACAACAGGTGTCAGGCAAGTGTAAGCCATGTCCAGAGAGTGCCAGTAGTTGACGCGATCAAATCCAGTCGGGATAGGGTGAGGTATTTTCCGAAATCGTGTGCAGGTAGCCTTCATTCTCACCAATAAGCCACTGCGTTTCCCACGGCGTCTGCGGTGCCCTCTCAGTTGAGGTAGCGCCGGAACACAACGGAGACAAGCTGGAACTCCTGACAGGAGCGGTGGGGAGAAGGTTCCCTGATATCCACGATTGCAATAAAGAGTTTTTAACTGAGAGGATCTTAAAGCCAGCAGCATTTGTGATCATATACAAGCAGAGAGTTAGCATGTTTTAAAACAAAGTAAAAATAAAACACTAGTACAAACAGAGTCAGACGGCAAGATGGTGTCAGACACTGGCGCCATCTTGACACGAGAAGACCATGTTTCAATAGGTTCACACTTCAAATGACAAAGTGTCCTCGGTGACAGCTGATGAAAAGACTCGTTGATTTAGACTTATAAATGCTGCTGCCTGTAAGCTACAAGCATCAGTAAAACATTGCTTAATATTTTTTTATCAGAATAATAATGTTAATAATTATAGCATCCTGTCTATCTGTGCTGCTGAGTCTGAAAAAGAAATTTATATTCAAAGCTCATGTGTATGAGGTACGAAGAATCCGGAGTCTTCTGTGTACTGAATGGGATTAAAATTGACTAAAGGCCCAGAGGATCTCAGGGAGGTGTCCTAGATTTCCTCTCTGCTTCACGCTACAGTGCTGCAGTCATCTTTTGTTCCTGGAAGTCAAACTGGGACCACACACATGCCTGCATGCCATTGCACATAAAATCAAACACCTGCCTCATTTGATAAGAAACGTAACTTCCTAAAACAAGACCTGTGAGGCGTTTGTGTGAACATTTAAATATGCACTTGCTTAAAATATGTTACAGGATGAAAGGAAGTCTTAAAGAATTGTGCACTTTGTTTATTGGTTAACGTTATAGTTGTTTAGTTCAACAAATCAATGAATGACTTGGCAGGGTGCTAACAAACTGGTCTTTTCCTTAGCTGGCTTACCTCAGGGAACAGAACAGTCAGAAGAGAGGGTTGGCTGATGGAACCAGCGAAGTTAACCACAACTCTGAAAACACACCAAGCACTAATGGCAAGGTGAGCTTACTCAACAGCGTATAAGAAGTGGCATGTTTGTGAGAACCAAAGGGCAACAAAGTTGCTCATGTTTTACAAATGTCTAGAGGATTAAATAGTTTAATTTGCTGTGATATTGTAATGTATTGTAGTGAACATGATCAGGTAGAATTGTTCTGTTCTTATCAGCTTTAAGAATGAGAACAATTACAAGTATACAAATAATCCTGCGTGTTACAGTTTCAAAATACATGTGTGTTATTTTAATTTTAAATTTTCATTCCCTTTAATTGATTAAAATGATGAAATAGAATGTGCTACACTGTGTCATACAAACAAACAAATTACAAAAATTAGAAAGTGGGTATCCTGCAGTTTTCTCTGTACTTCAATTAATAATCTTTATCAGCTTCTCATTGTCTGAGGACAATCAACTCTCAGGAGTTCAAATCCATTCCAAGTCCTGTCTTGCAGGCAGTGATCATTTGAATTTTCAGTGCAAGATGTTTACATTTTTCTCATCACAAGTCTTTAATTTACTCAAACTTCTTGATTATCAAATAGCCAACAATAACAGCACAACGCTCATCCAGGAAAAAAACACAATATTCTGTATATACATCTTAAAGTCGATGTCAATCTGCCCACAGCGGTCATCGGACGGTTCGTCGAGCCAGGAAGACGAGTCTGCACCTGGATTCGGTAAGGTTGGCGAGCTCCAGGAGGTAATGGACCGTCAGATGGCCGATTTGGGCCAAATGAAGGAGCGCATGGCTGCTATGGCATCACGCATCACTGAGCTGGAGGAGGACCTGGACACAGCCCGAAAGGACCTTATTAAGTCTGAAGACATGAACACAAGACTACAGAGAGACCTCAGAGAGGTAAAGAGGACACGATCTGTTTGTAACGAAGAGATGTGTTGAAATATGAGTTTGCGACTTTGTACATGTGTGCATTGTTCACACACATCTGTCAATGTTTTTAGCACAGTTTTTATAGATTTTAACAGCGGAGTGCTTCAAAAGATCCAGTGCTCTATAAACATGATAACATGACATTAAACATTGCACAGCAGGACAGTATAAGCAGCGTTAACATGTTTGCTCATGTTTGAGTACCAGGATTCTTTTAGTGCCTTGTCTTCTTCTCATATTCGTGTAAAGATGCCCAATCAGAAGGATTCCTGTCACAAAGGCTGAGAACTCTAAAGCAATATGTTTATGCATACAGTCTATGGCTCAGAAGGAAGACATGGAGGAGAGGATTACCACTCTAGAGAAGCGCTACCTGGCAGCTCAGCGAGAGGCTACCTCTGTCCACGACCTCAACGACAAGCTGGAGAATGAAGTGGCCAATAAAGACTCCCTCTACAGACAAGTAGGTCCCGTGCTGTTTGTTTAAGACTGTATAAAGCCACCACAACTCAGATAATCAGTTAATTGTGTGTTTGGCATTAGAGAAAATTGGATCAGTTTGTTTGTAATTTGCAGTCATTTCATCATATTGCTATTGTCTGCAAGCGCCCACACACTTTAATCTGGTATGCAGACAAGTGAGGAATTTATTGTTTGAGTCTCAGAGTTGGCTGCCAGCAGGAATTGCCTGCAGTTGTCAGACTCCTATTGAGGAATTCTTGCTGTATTCACACACTGAGCAGCGCAGCAGGCTCTTAATGGGAAGCCTTGAAGACACTGGCTTGTTTCTTTACAAGTACTCAGTGGAGATGGAGATGTCTTTCTCCTCCTCTCTTGGTTTTTGTTTGTCTCTGTGTCATTTTGATTGTTCTGTCACTCGCTTCCTGCTCTTCCCACCCTCGTGCATCCCTTGACCCCATCTCCCTTTTGTCTTTCTTTTTCTGCCCCTGTGCTGAAGTGTGTTTTCTGGTACTCTCTGCTCCTTGTGGATCTGAAAGCCACCTTTGAGACTGGAATGAAGGGACAAAACAGTCTTAAACGTATTTGCTCATGACTGTTTGGGTTTGATTTGTTTGTCGTAGACTGAAGAGAGAAACCGGCAACTTCAGGAAAAGCTGGAACTGGCTGAGCAGAAGCTGCAGCAGACCATCCGGAAGGCAGAGACACTGCCAGAGGTGGAAGCAGAGTTAGCCCAGAGGGTCGCTGCTCTCACAAAGGTATCAGCATCTGCACCTTTTTAAAACTACTGTTCATTTGTAATTGCATTTCTGTGTATATATGTATTTATTTTAAATGGAGCTGACTCAAAATTGCATCACCTCATAATACCTGAATAAAGGTACAAGTTTGCGTAACGTCACCAGATATGTTAAAGAGGTTCCTTTACAGCAACTCTGCATGGAAGCTGCTGAGGAAGCCATTATTTATGTTCCTCCAAATATTCACAGTGACCTATTTTTAGAAACTCAGCTCCTGTTCTTATCCATTTATAGTTAGAATCTTTATTTTGGACAAAACATCCTGCTGCATAACTGCACTGCAACAGCATCATATCACCTTATTAGTATTTTGTCTGGCTCTCTGTACATTTTTGAATGTAGTGTTTTTCATTGGTCTACTCATCTGAACCTTTTAATGTTTATCAGAAAGTGAGTAGAATCTACAAAGTCATCTTTCTCTAGTCTGTCCGCCCCTTCTGTTTCTTTGTTAATTTAATTAGTGCCATTCATTTCATTTATTTACGCCTGTTTAAAGACTCAGAAACAAACAGAGAAAAGAAGCAGACTGCCGTGTCTCATCCCTGCATTTTTAATTTGCATTTTATTTCCTCTTTGAGTGGTGCTTAAACCGCACACTTAATATACAGAATACAGCAGAGACACAGACACACTTAGAAATGACTGCCCTGGTTTCTTATGTTATTTCATTTGTGCAACTTGCAACACAGGCTTTCTCCCTTCAGCAACTAATTGAAATTGTGCTCAGTCTCTTGAAATGTTTGCATTATTATCCTGTTCTCATTTGTGTCTGTCATGCTGTCTTTGTGTGTTCTTCATGCTGTTCCTACCACCTCCGTCTTTAGTGTGTTCTGTGTGGCTCTAAAGGCACTAAGATATTGAAAAAGGTAGACCAGCTTTATCCAGACGGCTAAACCAATCCTTTTTGCTTACTGGGAGGTTCACTATCCCTTGTTGCTGAATTTAACCAGACCAATAGCAAATCTAGTGTGTTTAGATTTTCAGATGAAATCAAGCCAAAAATAATCAAATGTACCTGAAGTCTGTGAAACAAAGAATACATTCCTGGTTAAGTGCAGTTTCAAACTTGATCAAAATACTCCGTCAAACCTGAATCGTAGCTGTGATCTGGCTTTATCTGTACAGCTTCTGTGTTTGTGCTTCATGTGCTAGTAAGCGGTGTTGATAGTTCGTGGTGATACCCTTCGTCTCCTCTCCTCTGAAACACAAGGCACCTAGTTTTTGGTGTCTTGACACAAACAGGAAGTTCCAGCTGATTTTCTCAAAGACTTATGGAGACCCCACCTATAAGAGCTACAAGAAAACTAGATCAGGCTGTGTTGCCTGTTGGCTTTTGCATAAATCTAAATGTTTTAGGAACCGGTAACCCTCATAACCCAGGTGTGTAGTCAGTGGTGAAACTTAGATAAGGCTGCCATACGGTAGATCTGCATTATGGGACGCATGAGCTGCTTTATTATTTTTGGGTTGTGTTACAGTGCATGTTTTTGGCTTTTTGCTCCTTTTAAAATATGTAAATGTTGGTGACTTCATCCTTTCGAAGGACCTGTTCTCATCATGTCAAACACAGGGGAAAAAAAAAGTATGTTGAACCTTGAAGCAGTACAATAAAAAGACTTTTAGCAAGGTCCTTCTCCAGGATGGATGGTAGAGGGTTTGGGATAGTAAGGTCTGGCTTTAGAGATTTTCAGCCCTGCGTGGATTAAATACATGAAATCAGAGAAACATATTTGTACAGATTTGTAGTTTTTTCTCATTAACCTTTGTTTTCAGGCAGAGGAACGCCATGGCAATGTTGAAGAGAGACTGAGGCAGCTGGAGGCCCAGCTCGAGGAAAAAAACCAGGAGCTGCTCAGGGTGAGAACGAGGGGAAATGTTCTTACTGGAAGCTTGATTCTCATTGCATTGCTACAGCTGTGCGTTGTATAAAAATGTTGCTATTTTCGTAGGCACGGCAACGGGAGAAGATGAATGAGGAGCACAACAAGCGTCTGTCTGAGACGGTGGATAAGCTCCTCTCAGAGTCCAATGAAAGACTTCAGCTTCACCTCAAAGAGAGGATGTCTGCCTTGGAGGATAAGGTAGAGCACTTCTCTAGTGCCTAATTCTAAAGTTAGGCTGATGAACAAAGACGTCGGCAAGCTGAGGACACAGTATTCATAGCTAACTAACTAACTAAATATTTGTTGTTCCTGTTAAATCTGTGTCGCATGGCTAGTCATGTGCCATGTTAAGCATTTCTTATCATTCCTGTTTCTCAGAATGCCCTGATTCGAGAACTCGAGCACACCAAAAAATTAATTGAGGAGTCCCACCATGAGAAAGTAAGGAAATAAAAATAAAGAATTCCTCCTGTTTGTGTGTTTTTATATTTTGGGTTGTTTTTTCTAAATTGTTCTATAGCAGTGGTGGTTTTTCCTCTTCATGGCTACAGTAGGTAACAAGAATATCTGTAACATGCTCTCTCTCATAGGAGCAGCTCTTAATCCAAATTGAGACTATGAGGGCAGAGAATGAGCAGGGAAGGAGCAGGAGCAACTCGCTACTGCATGGGTAAGCTAGTGAAATGATTTGACTTTTATATCTCGCTGGGAAACTATGAGGAACTCAGGTGGTTGCTTAACACTTTGTCCAGTGTTATGTCAAAACGTCCGTGGTCAAGATACTGACCCAAAAAAGTTTCACATGTCATTGGTGATGGCAGTATGCTATACATTTAATGGCCACTTTATTGGGCGATATCTAGTGTTAAGGTCAGAAATGTACATACACTTATTCTGGATAACGTGATGAGGTTTCACTCCAGCCAGACACCTTTGGCATCCATCAACAGACTTGTAGCATAACTGTGGATTCATATTTAACCACTAGAGTTGATTTTAATTGTTTGGTTTCCTACCACAGACCTTTTAAGCAGAGTCCATAAATTTTCCGCAGGGTTAAGTGTTTGGGAAGTCTATTCCAGAAGCTTATTGTTTGCCTGCCTTATCCATCCAAAACAAGTTTGACTATGTGTTTGGTATCACTGTCCCAAACACATAGTCATCCTAACTGTGTCCAAATTTCAATTGTCCAGCTGTTGATTTAAAGTAAAGTTGAAGAATTTAGAGGTACTGTGTAGGGCTGCCATGATTAGTCGACTAGTCACGATTACGTCGACTATCAAAATCGTCGACGACTGATTTAATAGTCGACGCGTCGTTTGAAGCTTTGTAAGATCCCAAAAGACGCAGGAATAAGTAGTAGGGTTTAAGAGTGTAATAACGGACTGAAACAGAAGATGGCAGCACTGCATGTACAAGGATGCCAGCTGCCGTTAAACCCCGAAGAAGAAGAAGCTGTGTCCCAGAATTCATAGCGCAGCCCAGCTCAGTTTCCAACAATGGCGGCAGCTAGTTAGTTTTAATATTACTCTTATTATTCTTTCTGGGTCACAAAATAAACGTTTAACATATTTTCAGGTGAGAATGTAGCTGTGTAAACCTCAAATATCTGCTCAGTTTATCAAGACACCACATATTTTCAAAAGCGCTCAGAGGTTTTTGGAGACGTCTGTTACCCACTAGCTCGATAGCGAGCCGGGGGCTAGGTCACTAGCGCCGTGAGAACACCGGACTCCCGGCAAATCGTTTTCAAGCCCACCGCCGTCTTTCACTACTCAGGTTAAACATGATATATAAGTCACTTAGAAACTTCAAAATGTTATTGTTTTGCTTTTTTAGTATTTTATTTGTTCCTGAGTAAATCGGTTTGGCTGAGATTGAAGTTATAGTTTTTACACAGCTGAATAAACATCAAGCAGACAGCTGATTATCAGAAGTGTGAGATGCTGGAGAATTTACTCCGGTGTCCTGTTATATTTTAGATAGCAAGGAGTTTATTAAACTTCACCGAAACAATCTGCAAATTTCATTAAAATTTAATAAACTATCATCTTGTCTTTATGTTTAGTTAGCACAGACCTTAAACACTTAAAGCTGTAAGCTAATGATAGTTATATAAGAGCATATGCTGCATGGTGCAATAAGCTGTAGTTTTACGTCCAATGGATGATGATCTGATTAGTCGACTATCAAAATAATCGTTTGTGGCAGCCCTAGTACTGTGTCGTCTTCACTATTCTATTTAGTTTGTTCAATGTGCCAGTACCACTGACAGTCAACCAGCTTTGAAGCACAATGCTATCGCCACCATGCTTGAGAGTTGGTGCCTTTAATTCTCCACATGTATTTCATGTTATTGTGCACAAATATCAATCTTTCTCATCCGACTAGAGCAGGGCGATATGACCAAAAATATTTATCACGATATACATTTGAAAATTTGCGATAACGATATAACTGACAATATAATTGACTAGACAAAATACTCCTCAACTTTATTAGTGCAAAACGGGATTATAAGGGGCTCTGTCGACTTTCAGAAAAATCAAAGGATTGATTTTAAGTGTGCCGTATTTTCCAAAAAATACGGTAATAACGACGGCCCGCTAGCATGCGCTACCAAAAATAGTGCTTTGCTGTGTATCTGACGGACGAAAGCCAAACCAGTTCCACACCACTGAAGCTGCAGCATTTTACAAACCAGTTCTGGTTCATCCGTTTCATTCAACGATCCACTTTTGCTCTTCTCATTCTGCGTCGCCGCCATGTGCGTATGAAAACAAAGGCACTGCGCATGCGCATTTCACCCATATTCTATCGCGATATTTCATTTTCTTATCGTTGCCCAACATTACACCGGTATTACCGTGAACGGTATGATATGGCCCAGCCCTACATCCGACTATAAAACCTTTCTCCAGAAGACGGCACAGTCTTAGCACTGTTTTCACAGCAAAGTCTTGGGTTCAAATCCACCTGTTTGGGTTGTCTTTGTGTGAGAAAACCAGAGTATCCAATCTAAAGACATGCTGTTTGAAAATGCCTCATTGAGGTCAGAGGAGAAAGAACAGTTTGCTTTAAAATGATAGAAAGAAAAGAGTAACACAACCAAGTTACAGAGAAGAACATCAAGAATCAGAATCAGAATACTTTATTAATCCCGAAGGAAATTAGGGTTACAGCAGGCAGCACGCTAATGGCGCATGCGCACTTACAAAGGAACCTTCTGACCAACTTTACACAAACATCACATTGGGGAGACATGTCAGAAAGGTCGGCTGATAGGAAAAAAACAACAAAAATACATAACATGAGGTAAGAGGAGGAGAAAAAAAACTCCACTCAGACTGAGCTCCTAGTGGGAGAACAGTTTGATAACAGAAAAAACACCTCAGCACAAAAAGCACATGACTGTCAATACACCATAGACACACAAGACAAGCAACAAGGGCGGGTAAGGGTAAGAGAGAGCCGGTGTAGACAGCGCATCCGGTCCTGCAGCATGTCTGCGCTGGTCCAGTTGACTGCCATGCCATGTGCTGGGCACAAGCATCGAAGGCGTTTGGAAAGGGAGGGGGGATGAGTGTGTGCATATCAGTGTATGTGTGTGTTCGTGTCCATAGTTCAGCTGAGACAGTGTCCTTCGCCCCGCCAGGCTAAGAATGTTGAACCCTGAAGCAGTGCAGCTAAAAGACCACACATGGTCTGATGACTCTTGATTTCTGCTGCATTCAGATAGTAGGGTCACAAAGTAGCTTAAAAAACATGAAAGCATGGATCCATCCGGCCTTAGAGCTATCCTGTTCAGACTGATGGTGGCCTAATGATGTTGGGAGTATTTTTTGGGCATAGTTTGGACTTCTTAGTACCAGTTGAACATTGTGTAAACAACACAGCCTACCTGAGTATTGTTGGTGACCATATCCCCTTTATAACCACAGTGTAGCCAACTTCAGCACAAAACACATCATGTCACAAAGCTCAAAAACGTCACTGGCCTCCAGTGGCGTTAACGGTCACCAGAGCTCAATCCAGCAGTGTGTAATGCTGTTATGTCAATAAAGTATCAGGGGACAGTTTCCAGCATGCTGTTGTAAAAAGTTCTGGAGGTAAAATGTGCTCCAACCTGGTTCTAGACATGTGTAACTAACAAAGTGGCCAGTAATTGTATTTCTACCATAAAGCTTCATTTTATTTACTTAAATGTTTATTTTTTATGTAGCATAAAATACATGCTTTGCTTATGACGATGGTGTAGCCTCTTGAACTGAACGTCGCATAAAGCAGGTAATTTCTATCGAGGCTAATATAACAACCATAGGCATTTCACGTAATGGCCATTTCGTTCTGCACCAAGTTGCAGCTGCACGACTGCAACCTAATGTTCTCCAAAATCAATACAGTACAGTGTTGATATTAACAGACCGGCCACAGACGCTGCAGGAACTGTTGTTTTCCCGTCCAATTTGTCAAAATGTCAGATGGCCTACAGATGTGACTGAAATCATTCAGTCATTGACTGAAAATATACACCTGATGTAACCTCTTAGTTTTCTATTGATTCATGAATGACTTTCATTGGTGTGACTGTGTTTTTCAAGGCGGTCTCAGCTGGGCAGCACCCCAGATTTCAGATATCCAGTGTCGGCCTCTTCGATGATGGACAGTAACTCGGACCATTATGGCAGCGCTCTCGTCCTGAGACGGCCTCAGAAGGGACGCGTGGCAGCGCTACGGGATGAACCTTCCAAAGTAAGCTCACACCTGCAGACATAAAGCAGTTAAACGACAGATCTGGTCATTCATGTTTAATTAATCCACTATTTGAGAACATCTCTTAGCTGTTTGCCTTGTACGGCTTTTTCTTTCTTTCCTGTTTGAGTTCTCTGATGCTTTTCTTCTTCTCCCCCGCTTCTTTGTTTGCTACTATTACGGACAATCAGCGACATGTAAGTCAGTGTGCCTGAGATAACAGTGACGGTGTCTGTGTGCTGCATCAATGACAAACACCCTAGGATCTAACTATGTATTGCTCTGTTGCCTGACATCCTCTCACATGCCTGCTGCCTGCTTTCTCCAACCTTTTGATTATTTTCTCCATACTGTCTTCTTTCCTGGTATCTTTCTTTCCTTCTCTCCATTCTCATTCCCTGTTTTATACCTATGTGTATAAATGTAGGTGCAGACTTTAAATGAGCAGGAGTGGGAGCGCATGCAACAGGCTAATGTGCTGGCAAATGTGGCACAGGCCTTTGAGAGCGACATGGACGCCTCAGACCTGGAGGAGGATCGAGAGACAGTTTTCAGCTCGGTGGACCTGCTGTCCCCCGCTGGCCAGGCTGATGCACAGACCCTTGCCCTGATGTTGCAGGAGCAGCTGGATGCTATCAACAATGAAATCAGGTACCACTATAACAAGCACACACTTGTCTCATGTAACCCCATTTCCATGTAAATATTGCCATATTTTCACCTTTCTTTCACTTGCAGAATGATCCAAGAGGAGAAGGAGAGCACCGCTATCCGGGCAGAGGAGATAGAGTGCCGGGTAGGCAGTGGTGATAGCCTTGGAGGACATTTCCGCTCCATGAGCTCCATCCCTCCGTCGCTATATGCTGGCTCGTCATTGGGCGGTTCTCCACCCGGCTCTGGCCACTCCACTCCGAGGCGCATTCCCCGCAGCCCCAACAGAGAACTGGATCGAATGGGTGTCATGACCTTGGTAACTTTTCTTTTACCTTCCTGTAATGAGTATCACAATTTCCTAAACATACATTTTTTAGAAAGCCCCTTTGAGATATACATCACTGTAAGACTAATATTAATTTCTCTGATTACAATTCCTGATATTTTAAAGCTGTTGTCTTAATTTGCTGTCTTTGTTTTTTAGGATTATTATATAATTAAAACAAGACCGGCCTTCAATGTTGCTTTTATGTTTTATCAGTGTGATCGTCTGCTTCTATTTGTATGCATGACTTTGTAACAGTTTACATATATAACTGCGCCCTGCCTGTAGCAGTATTGCTATGACCCCTACGTCACCCAGAGCTCCCTCTCCCATCAGACAGTAACTTATCTGCCTTATGGTACAACTGGCTTCAGTGCCCCACTTCAAGCCAATAACTTTGCACCATACTTCCAGGTACCTGCCCATCTCCCCACAGCTCCTTCATTCCCTTCTTGGGTGGGTGCAGTCTGCCACTTCCTGTCTCTTCTGATCCTTTTGCCAACTTCAGTGCAAACAGGAAACTTTTTCTCTGTGTTAAATCCAAATCGTGGCTCTGGGGTTTTGTATTTGTTTTTTTGACTGCTTATAAAAGTCATCAAATGGAGACATGCTTGTAATATTTTGTGAAAGCCAAGGAAAACCTCAGTTAGCCTCTTTTTAGATTATTATTTGGGCATTTTAGTCTTTATTTGACACTAGAGCAGTAAGGGGCGGGGGGCAGGTCGGACTTGAAGCCAGGCTTATTTTTTTCTTTTATTCTCACTTACACATCTGATTCATTGACTTGTGTAAACGCAGAGTAACAAAAGACACAAAGCTGTGAGTGTGGATGTTCAGGCTTGTCCAGGTCTCCTGTCAGCATTCAGTATTCCTCAATAGGAAAATCATAACAAGCACACCTGAAATGCTAAGCTGAATTCCATATATTTAAAACATCACCAGGAACCAGCTAGTACTCTTTTTCAAAGTTTGCTTTATTTTTGGCAAAGCGTCTGTTTAGGCTGCCACTTAATATCTCTTTGGTTATTTTTTAACTTAAGAAACAAGGGCATCCCAAATTCAAGATCCTGATTACATTAAAGACACAGACAACTGACTCTGTGTGCCAGCTGATATGACAAGAGGTGCACATCTGTTTATTTTTGGCTTCTCTCGCTGCATTCAGTTTCGTATTGGTTCTGTGGAACTGTAAAACCACTGGTTACCCTGTTAACCCTGCAGCTGGAGTTACTCTAGCAGTACTTGCATTTGTTTGGTTGTTCCAGATGTTTGAGTTGAGTGTCCCTTTAACGTTTGTTTGTTTGTTCAGTGTGTGTTGAAGTTACTTGTACTAATGAAGTTGCTTGATTGCAGAGCAGCAATTTACATCTGCCCTGCTTAAAATCAGGCATTTAAACAATTCAAGCAGTTTATTGAAGTAATGCTGTAATACATTAGACATGAAGGGAGTCTTTGTCTTTGAGTCTGGCAGATCATGTCGTCAGTTTTACATTTATAAATCTTACTTGGGTTAAAAAAATCACAAGATTATCATTAATGCATAAGTAGACACATAAATAGACACTCCAAGAGGAAAGAAAACAATTTGGGTAATTAAATTAATTTTCTGCTCACCCATCAATTTCCTCTTCCCGTTTTCCTTTTATAGCATACGCTCTTCCCTGCTTTGGCCCCTACAGTGTCAGCTGAGCAAAGGAAATGAGTGATTAGATACTTTCTTCCTGGGGCAGGAAAATTCCAGCAGAAATGTGGCACAGTGATGGTTTATTTGCTCTGCTAATGCCAGGTCTATGTGGAATGCAGAGGGGTGGGGTGGGGGGGATCTGTCCTCCACCACTATTGGTGCAGAGTGGAAAATATGATGAGAACAGCTGTGCTCATAAATTCAGGTGCCGTACAGTTATTGTTACTTACACACACACACACACACACACACACACACACACACACACACTATAGCATCACCTGTGATTTCAAATGCTGTTTAGCATGAGTAGTCAGCTAGCTGCTTGGCATCTTAATTGATTTATCAATGCAAACAAATGTTATAAAAGCTTTTATCCCACTCAAATATTGGTGGTGGTGTAATTGTGAGCTAGACTGCACCCAGCCTACCTTGACCCAACCTTCAGCTTGGTTTTTGCAGTGTCTCCTCCCTTGGGTGTGGTGGTACTCCTGCAGACTTTAATTTCCCAAGAACTACCTTTCTTAATTGCACAATAAAAACAACAGCTTCTCTGAGTCTGCGTGTGTGTCTCTGCCTGTGTGTGCGCACACGGATAACTGTTCTGTGTATCTTCGTGTGATTTTCTGCTCTTGTCTCTTTGTGCATGGCTTGATTCCACCGCTGATCTGTTGTGTATTACTAACTGCTTCTCTCCTCTCTCCCTTTTTGCCACACTTCAGCCTAGTGACCTGCGCAAGCACCGCAGGAAGGTAAACTAGAGACCTGCTTTCCCGAGCTTTGTGAGGGACCTGTTTGCTATGTAACATCTCCCACCCCCAAGTTTAATCCCTAATGTTTACTTTCAGTTTCCCCATCCCATCCTTAAATCCTCCATCCGTTGGAAATATGCAGTCCTGTTTTTGAATGCCTCGATTGTTTTGGGGGGGGGTGTAACAGTGCTGCAAATAATACGTTTCCTTTCTTCATATTGAGTTTTAAGTAATGTATTTTCTATTATCAAATCAAACACACGTCTGTTGCAGGCAATCTCCAGCATAACATTTTTGCATTACTGGGCCTCCAGGCCAGCACCTCAGACTTTTATTGCACTTTAGTGTCATTTCTTTTACTTATTTTAACACTGCTGTGGTGCTTCACCTGTAATAATCAATCATAATTTATTAGTATGTAAGGGACTCATTCTTTAGAATGCGTCTAGTGGAATAAATGCTATCTCTGACTTTAAAATAAAATCACCCCTGCATATTGCAGCCATCACAGCAACAGACAAGGATGGAGGCTCCTGCCAACCTGCAGCAAAGTTTACAAAAAGATGGTGGTGTACAAAGCAAGTTTGTTTGCATCAAAACAGCTAGAGTTTTAACTTGTTCTCCTTTGAGTTTTTCTGTCTGTGTGAAAAACAGTGAAGGGATAATTTTCCAGCAAGTAGTCTCTAATGTGTGTAAATTAGTGTTGCCCTCTAACTTACACACAATATAAAAACTTCTACAAGGGTTTGAGCTGTCACTTGAGAAAGGATCATGACAAAAAACAAAATAAATCAGTTAAATTTGAGAAAAAGAATTGTTGATGCTTACAGAGGATGAAAATACAAAATTATTACAGTATTTTCAAGTTTCAAGAACTGGTGTGAGAAGTATCATCAACAATCAGAGACCTAGAACAACTACCAAGACATTAGTGAGTGACTTAGCCAAGTAGGAAATTGTAGTCTCAAAGCAGACGATGACTAGAACGCCGCATGGGAATGGACAGAGGTTGAAGACTAAGGAAAACTTGATTTTCTACAGAAGAGATACCTTTGAGCCAAATTGAAGGATGCTGAAAACAACCTGGAGAACGATTATGTATGCTGGAAGGGCCTCTTTTGGTCAGATGAGCTCTTTGCTTATGATTTGAGAAAGAAGGGCGAGGCGTGTGACCCAAAGAACACCACCCCAGTAGTGAAACACGATAATGGGAATATTATGCTGTGAGGATGCTTGAGTGTGTCTAGAACTGGGAATCTCGTCAAAGTGGGAGAAATCATTACGGAAAGATGTGACGATTTTGAACAAAAACCTCAAGTAGTCTGGGTTGTGGCTCTGTCTTCCAGTGTCTTCCAATACAACAATGACCCAAAAAATATTTGGCTCCAGGTCAAGACCATCAAATCTGAAGGAACTTCAGACATATAACAGGAGGTCTTGGTTAGCTTTTAGTTTACATTGTACAAAATACACTAAAGAAATATTTACTTACCTGGTGAACTGTTTAAGAAGTGCTAATAGCAGGTTCCAGGTTTAATTTTGAGGCAGGACTTTTCCCACGGATCCCTCCTATATGTTACATCAGTGACTGGTTAATACCATAATTAGAAGCCAGGATCTGTCAATCATTCTTCATTTTTCCCTCCACATTAAAAACACTCGTAGCAACTTTGGTTTCTTTTTTGTTTGTTTTACAGTGTTCATCACTTCGAAGTTCGTTCTCTTTTGGGAGACTGAGTTTCATTCTCCTTTTTGCCTTTGTGAAATTACACTGCACACAGTATTCCCACTAAATAATTGATTGTTCACAGTACTGTATCTGTTACCAATATCCAGTCTGTATGGATTGTTCATAGTCCACATACAGTGTAGCCTCTTGGTGTGTATTATGAACAGTAGGGTTTTTTCATTGTTGTTTTTTTGTTCCATTAATGTTTCTCTGTCTGTGTCATGCAGTCTACTCAAGATGATAAGGCTACTATTCATTGTGAGACGTCACCCCCCACTACTCCACGTTCCATCCGACTGAATAGGGAGGTGGGCCACGCCGCTAGTCACGAGGACATCCGAGACATCCGAGGGTAAGACGTGCATTTTTATCCAGGAAAAATTGTTTTAGTGTTTCTGGGATTTAAACATTTGTTTCTTCTTTCTCTATCTAATAACTTAACCCTTATTTGTGTAGGCTGAGCAGCCTGCAGGATGGACAGGGCAGTAACCCAAGCAGTAGCAACAGCAGCCAAGACTCTCTCAACAAAGCAGCCAAGAAGAAAAGTATCAAGTCATCCATTGGACGCCTGTTTGGGAAGAAAGAGAAAGGTCGGCCCAGCATTCCTGGCAAGGATCCTGCCAGCCAAGGTCAGACACTAGCAGCAGTGCTAAGCCGATGTTCTGGACATGTATGCTACTAATAGTGATGAGTTTATGATCTATGTTAGATCTCTGAGCTCAATGTTATGTTCTAGCTGGCACTCCCGAGGCAGAGAGCTCTCCGAAGGATGGCTTGGGTGTGGGCACCCTTGGTGGTCCTGCAGAGAAAAACAGGAAGCTACAGAAGAAGTAAGTGTCTGTATGACAGTCCCATCCCTTCCAATGTTTATGCAGAGTAAGAAAGCGAATATAGAGGATAAAAGGCTCTTGTAATTGTGCAGATATCAGTCTGTGTTGTTGTGCTGCAGTCCAGGGCTGCCTCACAAGCTCTTTCTGGCTCACGTGCACAGCCTTTCATTCCACCCCACGGCATTTCCATCGCAATCATCTCTCACATCTCCTGTTTTGTTTTGGGGGTTTTTGACACTTTCATTCTTAGTGTTGTTCAAGCAAATTGCAAACACCATAAATGTTTTGCTGTCACATGGCCCTTCAATAATCATCAGTTCATTCTTTCTCTTTATTTTTTTTCCTTCTTTTTCACATTTTGTACCACCCCCACTCTCTCTCATTCCATCTGTAGTCCAAAGACTGGGTAAGTTGGCTCATGTTGCTTTTTGCCTTGCCCGATCTTCTCGCATTTGGCTTCACATTGACCTCACCAGTAACCCTGCAGACCCCGACCAAGTATCTCTTTGAATGTCTGATAGATTTTCCATGCTGCTTTTTATCCTGCTTTCCATAGTGGAGCATAACTAACAGGAATGTGTGTGCACTGATTGTAGTGAGTGCAGGATTTTCCTATCGCAGTTTTCCTTTTGGAGCATGACGTTATGCACTACAGCCATAGGAAAAATGGAAGTTGGCTCTTTGCGTGTGTTCTTGTCCATAAAATAAACATTAGCATAGTTATATTTTTTTGTTCCTACACTCCTTTATTTACGTAAAACTGAATTGTTACTTAATAACGTGCTTTTGGACATTTCTGCCAACTCTTTAAAATGGATCTGCTAAACAGATGGTGAGCTTGTTGATGGTGTGGCACACAGCTACATCTAGTGGAGCACTGAGTCTTTCTTGGGTTCAGGTCCTGTGTTTGTCCCCTCCCCCTTTCCCCTTTCTCTCTCTTTCACTCAGTATGCATGTCAGCTAATGTCTTGGGGTTTGTGTGTGCATAATGGGATTTTGTGACAAACATTTGGATCTGTGGCTGTGAATATTTTGGTCCTTGAGCAAGTGAACCACCAAGTTGGCTTTCACATGTATTGCGTCTTCCAGGCATGAATTACTAGAAGAGGCTCGCAGACAAGGCCTCCCGTTTGCCCAGTGGGATGGACCAACTGTTGTGGTTTGGCTGGAGGTACAAGACCAACACAATTCATTTTAAAAGCAGTAAACTCAGTAGCATGTCTAAATCATTAATCCTGTTTAACTGTTGCTAATCTGTCCCCTTCTGGCCAGCTGTGGGTGGGCATGCCAGCCTGGTACGTGGCTGCATGCCGTGCCAATGTGAAGAGTGGAGCCATCATGTCAGCACTATCAGACACAGAGATCCAGCGGGAGATTGGAATCAGCAACCCACTGCATCGTCTGAAGCTTCGTTTGGCCATCCAGGAAATCATGTCTCTCACCAGCCCTTCAGCCCCACCGACCTCCAGAACGGTACCCGTCAGTGCATTCATACCTGCAGCTGGACCACTGTGCATATTTAACACTGATCACATTGCTTACACTTTCAAAGTCTTGATGATACTTTTAAGCACTGTCACATTCATATCATCTCATTAGCATGACACTTTTGACTGCCTACATACTTAACATGTACTAATGCTTGAATCCAATTTCTACTGGTTTCATCTGAGTTCAGTTGCTAACAATGAATGAAACAAATGCTTCATAGTTTTTTCTCCATTTGGCTCTCTTTCTGGCCTTCACCACTCTTCCCGCTTGGCGCATTTCTGATTGGTTGGTGTCAAATGATCAGACAACAGGAAACGTTTGGGTCACACATGAAGAAATGGAAAGTTTGGCAGCCACGCCTCCCACGGTTAGTCTACCCTGATTGGCTGGGCACTGGTGGCTTCTCACATCTATGGTTGTGGTTGAGCTTTGTTTCAAGTTGTCTTCAGTATTGCCAGACTTCACTTATTACATTGGATACGTCCAGTATGAATTTGGCTGCGTGCACGATCACTGAGTGTCTTGAAACAAAGCCTTTTTCGTTCCCCTAGTGGGCGACTTCTTTGTTGTTCTTGGATTGGGCTCATGCTCTTCTTTAGTCCTTGTACAGTATATGTATGTTTCACCTTTTGTATAGCTTTCACCTTACATGGACATAGATGGAATACACATGAAGAACTACCTCCCACTACCAAAGTTAGATTGGGCTGTTTATGAAACATTGCCACTCATTAGTGGGTGATGTATAGCCAAAAGAATCAGACATTACACACACATTTGTCTGATACCAGAAATGCTTCTCTTTAATAGATCTGGTTGGGTTAAACCTTTTGAGGACAATTTAATGTCCTCAAAAGGGTTATAGGTTAATGTTTTATTCATTTATTTATTTTCATATTTATATATACCTTTGATCACCCAGCATTTGTATTTCCTGTTTGATGCCTCACCATTTGTTTGTCTGTTATTTTCCTGCTATTTTTACTGACTTGTTATTTTGTTTATTGCTTTATACTTTCCACTTGAAGCTTCTCTAACCCCAGCACTGCACACTAACCCCTCACCTTTCTGTTCTTCTCACCATGCTCACTCTAACCATGCTAACACCAGGAGGATGACGAGGGTAGCTGGGCCCAGGTTTGCATACGTTCTCCAAAACCCACCTATTCTCACCTGTGATTGTTTGTTTGTTTGCTTGTTTGTTTTGTTTTTTAAATTCGGTTATGATTGCCTTGTACTCCTTTATTCACAACAAGCACATTCTAGCACAGTTTAATTTGGAGCTTGTCTGCATACAGTTGCTACTATAGAGGTTTGCTCTTAGAGCGAAAGCAAACTGCTCCAAAAAACTCCAGCTGAATTTTTATGTATCCAGTTTAGTTGAGCAAATACATGATAATATAATAATGAAACAGTACACTATCTGCACAACAGCTGCTGAGAGGCGGTGCTGTAGTTCAAAGGAAAATAACAGTAAAATGAAACAGAGTAACCTTACACAATGATTTCTTTTAAATCTGTAGTGAGTTCATCCAATTAAAGTAAAAATATATCTATTTATTTAATTATTTTAAACAACTTTCAAAGATAAATCTATAAACATGAATAAATGGCTTTGATTATCTGCCAAATCAGATCTGATGCGTTAAACTAATAAGCTGTACTTCAACATCAGGCACGACTTAATCGTTACTTTCCTCATGTTCAATGCAAATAAATCATCCAAGAATATGCTTAATTAATATTTAGTATAAACCAAAACTTAGATCCTAATTCATTTTAGTGGTAAGAAACGAAACTTTCAGGGTTTTATGTTATAGTTTTTGAAATATTCATGTTCAGCAGCTGCCTCATGAAAGGTGAAAGAACAAAGCATTTTATTAATTGTAAATTAAATATGAATTTCATGTTTCTTCATTAAATGTTCATTCAGCTGGACAGCTGAGCACAACAATCGATTTGAGATGGAATGATCGGTTTGTTAGTAAAATAAGTAATGACAAGGGGCAAGATTGGTTTTTGTTTAGTTTTTTAAACATGTGTCTGAGAGGAGACGGGTCAAGTCAAAAAAATGAAGTCCACTAAAAGTTTACCAACCAATGTGACACGTGACGAAAGAGCCAACAGTCAAAGCAATGTTGGAGCTTTTCAGTTGACCACAGTCTGCAGCCAAGTCAAAAATTAATACGAAGAAAAGCTGTGGGTGTATGTGTTAGCTTCCTTCACACTGTGTCAGCTTTCCTGATAGGTGCACTGCCACTGATGTGTGGAGTCTTTTCACAGATAACTTGCTTCATTTTGCTTTGTGAATCAGGATTAGTCGACCTGATTATTTACATCCTCAGTGCATACACACACTTTGGTTTTGTCTTCCTTTGTCTCTACACAATAAAGAAAAAAATGTAAAGCATCCCTTCCTGGACTTATTCACTGTTGCCGGGCGACTCACTGGGTTCATCTAGTTGCTGAGTTGCAGATTTGTCTCCCACCTTTTACGTTCTTAGACTTTCTTAGATATTTTCTATAAACTGGTCATTAAACAGGTGGAAACATTGTTGATTATCATTCGAATATTTTCTTTTTTTTAATATATACATTTTTAATCAGTTTGCTGTTAAAACGGTTAATATACACCTGCTGTAATTAGCCTCTACCACGCCTCCATCTTTTTAGCCCACTCTCTCAAACACCAGCTAAGTCTCATCTTCTCTGACTGTAGACTTTGGCGTACGGAGACATGAACCACGAGTGGATCGGTAACGAGTGGCTGCCCAGCCTGGGTTTGCCACAGTACCGCTCCTACTTCATGGAGTCGCTGGTGGATGCCCGCATGCTTGACCATCTAACCAAGAAGGATCTTAGGGGACAGCTCAAGATGGTGGACAGCTTCCACAGGTGAGACATAGATTCATTTTTATTAGCAGCAGTGAATATCTTGAAGAAACCACAGCCTACTACAATCATGCCACGCATACATGCAACTTTGTCCTTTCTGCCACTAGTCAAAAAGAAATAAAACAGCTTACTTTGGGGAAAAAGACGAGCACATCGTGGCAGATTAACAACTAAGAGGCTCCACAGTGAACGAGTGTGTGTGTTTGTGCTACAGGAACAGCTTTCAGTGCGGTGTGATGTGTCTGCGGAGGCTCAACTATGACAGAAAGGAGCTGGAGAGGAGGAGGGAGGAGTCCATGCTGGAGTTTAAAGGTAATACATGCTTTTTTCTTTCCTCATTAAAACAACTTGGTGTTATCGTGCGTCACTCATCTCTGTTTTGTGCTTTCAGATGTGCTGGTGTGGAGTAATGAGCGTGTCATCAGTTGGGTTCAGGCCATTGGTCTCAAAGAGTACAGCAGCAACCTTTGTGAGAGTGGCGTCCATGGTGCACTGCTCGCCTTGGATGATACCTTTGATCACAACGCCCTGGCCCTGCTGCTGCAGATCCCCACTCAGAACACACAGGTGCACAAAACCAAATGTTTATGATGTTTCACCATCCAGCTGTTGCTTTTCATATTTGAAGGCCCAAACATGGTCACTTTTCTCACATGAGAATCAGTTAGTCCCAACTCTGTCCAAAAAATCCTTTGTTAGAACTGCAAGTGCATTCTCACTACTGTTTATTCGGTTGCCTGTGTGGTCTATTTTCACAGCTGGCATGTTAAAAACAAGTGTAATTAGACTGCATCACACACGTTTGTTCTTGTCTAAATGTTTCCAGATGTGCAATTGTACAGACCAGTTTAAATAAAAGTGCCGATCCATATAAAAATAGAATTTCTGCAACCACCTCCTATAAAATAACTGAGATCCATCAGGTGCTTAAAGATACCTGTTAGTTACTCATTGCTTGCTTGGGCCAATGGGCTCCTCCCAAAGACCTTAAGCTTTGAGTTTGGTGCAGTGCCCGGGCCATACAAAGGAAATTGATGTACATTTATATACATTTAAATTTTACTTACAAGATGGGGTTTTTGTTTTTTTTGGGTTTTTTTGTCAAGCCATTGAGATAAGTGGCACTGTGCTCCATGTGTAACTGCAGTGCTGGTGTCAGCCTGACATGAGTGACCTGAGGTTTACATCTGAAAGCGCATAATTATATAGGAAGTTGCATGAGAACGGGAACTGCACGAAATGGGTTTTGATGACAGAAACGAGAGATTTAGTGAGGACCAAAGTTCATTTCAGATCAGCTGCTCAGCAGACAGGAGGATGAGGACAGTGCAGGTCAGCGCCAAGGTCTTCTGTTAATCTCATTCTTCTTCTTTTCCTTCCTCTATAGGCCCGGGCGACTCTTGAGCGTGAATACAGCAGTCTGCTGGCGATGGGCACAGACAGGAGAATGGAAGAGGTGACAAACACGGACATTTGCTGACTTGTTGACGCGGCTAAGTAACAATAAGAATATCTGTGGACTAAAAACGTCTCCTGTCTTTCCCCCCCTTTTCTTTACCTCATCATATTCTAGGATGATGATAAGAACTTCCGCCGTGCTCCCTCATGGAGAAAGAAGTTCAGGCCCAAAGACATGAGGGGGATGTCCTTGGGTGCATCAGATACCCTGCCTGCCAACTTCCGAGTTACCAGCAGTAGTGCGGCATCTCCCTCGACTCAGCCAAAGAGGAGCCCGATGGATGGTAAGCAGAGAGAGCGGTGTCAGTGTGCGCATGGTGTGTGTGAGACGCTCTGTCGATGCTTAACATCTCCTCACGTGCACTCGCTTCTTTTTGGTTGGCTTTGTGATGATGCTGTGACTAACGGCATGTCTTTGCATGTGATTTCTGCCTACGTGGAAATACAGGAAGTCAGTCTATACAGAGGCTGGACACTGCCACAGTCAGGACCTACTCTTGTTAACACACAACGGTAAGACCGCACATGTCAAAAATGATGAAATCCTCAAATCAGAGACGTGTATGGCTATTTCTTCACTGCTGAACTGCTCCTCTATGCAAGCAGAAGTAGCTTTCTCGTACTGGAGGTCTCTGCTCTAACGCACGTTTTACGCATCTCTTTCCTGTTTCTCCCTCATCTCAACCCATCCACCCACCTCTCGGCTTCTGTCCTGCTTCCCTCTCACGTCCGGTGATCTCTCGCATTCCCTTCTCAGTTTATCCTCATTATTTCTATAGGTAACCGCTGGTCAGACGATGAAGGGGAATTCCCTGCATTCAAGACCAGGATGATGAACTGAAATAACTTGCAAGGACCCTACAAAGATATTTTGCTTCTTGCTGACATCACAGAGAAAGACTTTACTCACTAATTTCAGTATCCCTAGAAGAGCTTTTCTAGATTTACCTACATTTGTTATTATATATTTATGTAAACCAATGGGATTGTTGATTTTAGAATTTCTATGTAACCCCTTTTTGCCTCTCTCCTCTTAATCACCCCCCCACCTTTTTTTAATTTTATTTTAATAAAAGCAACATTTCTCCACTGTGCCCGCATTAAGCTCAACTCTCAGATGTATGTAACTGAATATTTCAACAATCTGGAGTTTGTATATTTCTACCAACAGACATTTCATCTAATCTTTTTTTATAATTCTGATTCAGTTGAACAGATGTATGTTTTTGTCTCTCATATTTGATTTGAATTCTAATCAATGAATTAATTCTCAAGTGACTTGGATACGTGATATAACTTAATTCATATCTTTGCCCTTTTTAACTGTTGTAATATTAGTAGCTTATTACTTGTGATTTAGTGTAAATGCAGCTCTTAGGTCAGTGGATGTGTGAATATCAGAGAAATTGCTGGAGTCGTCAAACCGTTTCACAAACTGCTCAACACTGTGAGTCCTCCATCTAACTGCTGGCAAGCCCAGGCGATGGTGACAACACATATCATGTGAAACGCAATATATTTCTCTCTTGTCTGTTTATTTTCCATACCTGTGATACCAAAATGAAACTCTTAAAGAATTAAAGCCATATAATTGTAGCAAGGATAAAAACTACAGAGGGCTACATTTGGATGCAAGTAAAAAACAACAGATTTCCAGGTTCTCTGCAGTTTACCTTGCATGCAGAATCCACTCCGCTTATATGCACGCTTATATGCACCCAATTTATCCCTTTAACAAAATCTTCCTCACCTCTGGAGAAATGCTCACTCGTGCAGAAGATCGTTAAACAAATGTGTGGATGACTCCAAAGTGTGGAAACTCCTTCAACGGACCAACTTCACTGAGGCCTCAGTCGATCCCCACTGTCACCAGAAGCCCCTGATGGTGGTGCAGTCCACCAGCAACCCCTTTTTAAAAACACTCTGTACAAAGATTTTATATCAAGCCTTACTGTTTAACTCCTCTCTGTCGTCTCTTCTTATTTATTATTACTCATTCGTGTTTTGTGGCGTCAGTAATGCTTCCAGAGCTACGTCTGAATGTTGCAGTGCTACTTATGTTTTTCCGTCTACACTCACAACACGGGTTCCAGCATAAGCCTTTGTGGCAAATGAGTCGGAACCGGAGACTTTTCTTTTCACTCTACATGTAGTTGAAGCTGACATTAGAAATGTTTTTTGTTTGTGATTTAGCCATTTATGCACAATGCAAATCATGTTGCTGTTTTTATTCCTGCTCTTCCTGATGAATCTTCTGATCTTGTAACAATGATGTACAGTCTGAGTACTTATAAACTATTTTTATCACAGTATTATTTATTGCTTACTTTCAATAAAATACTGAAACCTATTTTCCACTGCAAATAAAAGACTGAAGAGTTGTCTTTTCTGCTCCTCCTGCGGTGGACAGACGGTGTCCTTTAACAAAAAGCAGTGCGAGTTTTCCTGGATATTTAAGTATTCACGAGACTTAGTAATGTCTTTTTTATTATTATTATTAGATTGATACATTTCCAAAACCTTTCTGCCATCCATCTTCTTCCACATTTCTGGGGCCAGGCTGCGAGAGCAGCAGCCTTAACAGCCCATAACACTTTCTCCCCGGCCACCACTTCCAGCTTGTCCGGGTGAACACCAAGGCGTTTCCAGGCCAGCTGAGAGATACAATCTCTCCAGCATGTCCTGGATCTGCCCCCGACCCTCCTCCCGGTGGGACATGCCCAGAACACCTCACCCAGAAGGCGCCCAGGAAAACTGCAAATCGCTACCTTATCGTGGTGGAGGGGTTTGTGTGTCCCAGGGATCCCAGGGGCTATGTAGTCCGTCGGGGCTTTTGTCCGCTGGTAGGGCCCTCTATGGCAAATTCATCATGGGTGAGGGACCCCTATGAGTAGAACATCAAGGGAACAGTTCACCCTGCCCAGGATGGGCTTACTGAGGCCCTTCCCTGGAGCGTGCCTGATGGTGAGCGTCTGGTGGCTGGGCCTTAGTCCATGGGCCCTGGCTGGACACAGCCCAAAAAAGGAACATGGGTCCATCCTCCTGGAGGCCCACCACCCGCATTAGGCACTGTAGGGGTCGGGTGCATTGTGTGCCAGGTGGGGGCTAAGAGTGGAAGCCCTGGTGGACTAATCCCTGGCTACCAACACCAAGACCTTTCTGCCCAAAACACAAATTCTAATAAAAATGGAGGTTTACCAAAATAATTTCACCTAACTACAATGGAAGTAGTTGCTGCATCGTATATTACACCACCCTACATCAAAAAATAAAGGTTCTGCTGTTTTCCAGAAAATAGTTATTACCTAATTCAACGGTGAGCAATGTTCCCTCTAATTTTTCATGTGTCTGAGCAAACGCACAAACTCCCTGAGTGATCCCTTGGACCACTGTGAGCAACAGCAGACGTGTGCACTGTGGTGACGCCAGCATCGAATCCATGCAAGTTACATGGTTTATTAAAATAATAAAATTACAGCATTTACATTTATGTTAGACTACTTTTAATTAACTATTTTAGCCCACTTACAATGAAAATTTAAAAAAACAAAACAAAAAATCTTGTTCATGACCTGTGTAGCATGTTAACACTATTGGAAGTAAAAATAACTTGAACTCCAATTTTGAAAACACAAGTTTCTTTTGTTTTTTTTTCATAAAGCTCTGACTTGTATTATGAGTCTGTGGTCTGGGAGAGAGTCTGTAACTCTGTCTGCAAAATACAGTAAATAATGACCAATGTTGGGTAATTAATTATATAGTTACTTCTGCAAAAAAGTAACTGAGTTATGCAAACAAAGTTTTTTGCAGCTGTTTACCTAAAAATGCAGCCAAGGCGTTTTTTTAAATAAACATTTCAAACTATTTACAGAACAATCAGCTGTTCTGCATCAAATCTGATGCCACACAAATTATTTGTGCCGCTCCAAAAATAATTTCTGTCAACTATGAGATGAAGGAGAACAACAGCCTGATACCTGCAGGCCTGACAGCAGCAGATGTGTCACTGCTGTAACACCTGTAACACTCAGCAGTCGCCTCATTGTTCTGACACACACAACAAAACTATTGACTACACTACACACTAACTACACACTAACTACACAAGATTTGCGCTAAACGTGGCAAATCTCTCACATCTCAAAACACGCCGTCATTCCTAAAACTTTCCACTTCCTAAATAACTAAATGCCATGTTGCCATATCATTTTTTGATTGGTCGACATGGTACATTTTTCGACCAATAGGAAAGGGTGGAGTTTTTTTGGGTTTTGTTTTTGCTCACAGGCTTTCGAGCGTTTTCCTTATAAAACGCCGTTTTTACCGTTTCTTCCCGCAGTAAATATAAACAACGACAGTATTCAGGAAGAAAACCAAACAGTGCAGATATTTTTATCATAACTCTGGTTTTACGTGGCCAATCAACACAATTTAAAAACTGGTATAAAGTCCACACTTTTTATGTCAATTGTTCCTGTCCTGCTCACATCTCCAATGGTTGTACACGTTGTCATTAACGTGGCTTCACTCCACATCCAGGCTGTACCTGCTGCGGAGACTCAGGTCGTTTGGAGTGGAGGGCCCACTCCTGAAGAAATTCTATGACTCTGTGGTGGCTTCTGCTATCTTTTATGGTGTGGTCTGCTGGGGCGGCAGCATCTCTGCTGGGGACAGGAAGAGACTGAACAGGGTGATCCGAAGGGCCAGCTCTGTTCTAGGATGCCCTCTGGACCCAGTGGAGGTGGTGAGTGACAGGAGAACGGCGGCTAAGCTGTCATCCCTGATGGACAACATCTCCCACCCCATGCAGCAGACTGTGACAGCACTGAGCAGCTCCTTCAGTGGGAGACTGCGGCACCCACGGTGTGGGACGGAGAGATTTCGCAGGTCTTTCCTCCCCACTGCTGTCAGACTCCATAATAAAGACTTTAACTGATCAAGCACACACATCCATACATATGCAATAATACTAAGTGCAATAATCATTTCTGTCATCGTTGTATTTTTACTCAGTTGTATATAGTATTTGTATTTGTATTCTATTTTTATCTTATTGTATATTTATTTTATTTTATTCTATTCTGTACAGTTGTGTACTGTATTTATTCTTATTGTATTCTAATTTTTGCCTCATAACTTTTGCACTGTCCACTTCCTGCTGTGACAAAACAAATTTCCCACGTGTGGGACTAATAAAGGTTATCTTATCTTATCAGCCGCGCTGCTTTGCTCGCTAAACACCGGTGTCGGCACATAAGGATGCTGTCATAGCCGTATATGCGAATGTGAATCGCATCATTGGCTGGACTATGGGATAAGGTGCCATCGTTCTGATCCCATACGGGAGCAGCCAGTCACTTACTGACTCACACTGCAAAACAGAATTGTTAAAGTTTTCATTTTAATTTCAATTCAGGTTCGATTTTTTTTTGTGCGCAACGCAGATTTTCTGTGCGCAGAGACCGTGCCAGCAGTGCGCAATTGCGCACGCGCGCAGCTTAGAGGAAACGTTGACAGTGAGTTCAAAGTTTATTCAGTTTTATCACAAAATGCAAATTGGTGGGGGTTTTTCACATATGGTGAATTTATGCTCAGTGTATTTCAGCTTCTCCAGCACAGTTAGCATATTTTCACCGGTTTCTTTTAACTGGACAGAATGACCAGTTGTCCCAGATGCCAATTGCTATTACACCATAGGACACATTTTAGGCTCTTGTTTGAGCAGTCAGTCAACAGCTTCCACTCATCTCCATTGCACTAAAACACTTTCAACATGAACACAAAAGAAAGTCCTCATCCATTTCAAGGAATGGAATAAGATCCTCCTCAGATGAATGAACAACTGGGGTCACAAGAGCTACTAGTAGATGTCGAATGCTGTTCATGTGGAGCAGTGGCGGTCCTAGCCTGTTTGGCGCCCTGGGCGAACACTCCCTCTGCCCCCCCCCCCACACACACACACATAAAACATACTAAGGAGTGTACATTAACATAAAAGTGTTGTCGGAACCATACTGAACTTCACCAGAGAAACACACACACACACACACACACACACACACACACACACACACACACACACACACACACACACACACACACATGAAGAGAGAGAGTATCCATAGTATGCAAACGGCTACCAAACAGCCATCATAATTCGTCATACAATGAGAACAGGACAAATCAACAACTGACAATGACTAATTAATATTAAAATCTGTAACATAATGTATTGTTTGGAGTTTAGTCTGTTACTGTCACTATTTTTACCATTTCTTTTTGGAGCAACTGTAACCCACATTATTTCCTTAGGGATAATAAAGTATAAAGTATTAAATAAAGTATTCTGATTCTGATAGTTTCAGGATGACCTGCCATTATCCAATGACACATCTGCTTACCTGCATCTTTTGCTCATTTCTCCTCCTCTTCTTTTCTATTTTTTCTAAACTGAGCACCTGATGGCTTTGAACTTTTCTTGTTCATCTTCCATTGGTTTTAATTTTGCACTCCAGTATGAACACAAATCCCCCATATCGAGGACCACCACAACATAACCTAACAGACCTACACCTTAGTTCACAGACTCGCTTTGTCTAGGGTGCATTTCTTGGATTTCGCACACCCCAGGATTCAAATCATGAATACATAATGGGCTTGGATTTACATCATTATGAATGAAATGTGCTCTATTTGGAAGCAGCCTGGTTGTGTGAGAGACTTTAAATCATCAAACTGTAAATTATACATTTTAAATTGTTATTGAGCTTTACTGATAAAGTTTTACTTTGACTTCAGCAGCGAGCAGGCGCACAGAGAGCTCTCGCGCTCACTTTTCATGTATAGAATTTAGAAAAAACATCGGTGCAAATTATAAGTTTGTATCATGATGACTGGTGTTTTTGTGTTTGTTGTTTTGTTTTTATTTTGTTTTATTTTGCGAGTTGGTTATTAGACGCTGCTCCAGCCAGCCAGAGAATCCCCGCCGTCCCGGGGATTCTCTGGGGTTTTCAAGTTTTCCAAAAAACTTGAAAACCAACATTCTAAAATGAGAAAGTGGAAAACATTCATGCATCAGGAGTGAACATCCCAGCAAATGCACCCCAAAAGTCCGAACATGCAGTGCTCAGAGAAATTCAAAAAAAAAAGAAAAAGAAAAATCAAAGGACATAATCAAATTCAAAATTGTTTGGAAGGATTTTTTCTCTCTAAATAAGATCTATTTATAGATGTGACAAGAATAAAAACGAATAATTTGCACAAATAATTTCAGTAAATTGTTGAGAAAGTTGTGATAACCAAACAGTAGAAAATCAACGTAGTTACTGAAGAAGGGCTAACTTTCGTTTCAAAAAAGTAAACCACGACCAAAGGTTTATGGTTGGGTTCCCTCTAGCCCAAGGGTGTTCAACCTGAGGCTCCTGAGCCCATCTCTGTGCTCGATGTCCATCAGAAAAATCAGTAAACCGTGAAAAGTAACGTGGGAAGACATTTTCTGCACAAACACAGCATCTACTACAGAATATTATAGATGTGTGTGAGAAAATCCATGACAAAGAGAGCAATGAACCAGCAATAATTACTCGGTTGCTATAAGTTTGTTTGTTATCAAAGCACAGTCGTTTTATTAATTTTGGACAAACAGCGGGACTCAAAGCAGGCTTATAGTGTTTTTCCTGACTTAAAATGCGTCTTTGGGGTGACTGTAGGCACAAATGATGAAGGTATAGTTAAAATGTGACTTTAAGTCTAAAGTGCTGTATAAATGTGAGGCAAATCCAGGCAGGCTCTTCGTAATTTCGTATCCTAGCACTGATTTTATTGGATACATTCCCATGTTAACAAAATGAAAACACCAGTTCCCTGCGGCTTTATTAAGCTGCAGCATTAGAAGAAATCTGTTTTTCCACTAAATTCCATTTAGAAAACCACGGACAGGTCGCGCAACGCCCTCTTGTGACGTTGACGCTGTGGCGAACAGGACGGGATACTGGGAGAGCCGGAAGAGTCGCGCGGATAGATAAGAGGGAGCGCGAGCTGATCCACAAACGCTTCTCCGTCGAAGCTACAGCTGCGACAGGACCATATCCTACCGGAGGAGTTTTAACACTCAATTGTTCGGAGCTAGCTTTGTAGCAGACGGTGAGCATGAACTATTATTTCGGTGGAGCACGTTAACGTGTCCGCGCGAGCCGAAGCGCTTCATCATTCCAGAAGGCATGTTAGCTTTAGCCAGCCAGCTAGCTGGAAACTGGAACAGGAAATACCACAGCTAGACTGACACAATTTCCAGTTATTTAAGTAATTTATAGTTTTCTTACCGCTCTTGGACATCTAACTTTGATTCGTCGTGTGTCAGTAAGCATTGATGAGGTGTACATCTTATTCCATAGCCTGTGTCCCGGTTCAAACCGTAATTAAAGCCTGAATCACTGACAGTTGTGTCAGTGTTCCCGTTGAGACCATCAGCAGAAACACGCCACATAATTTCATTACCCGTTTTTATGGCAAAAACGGGTTCATGTTTGAGTCCTGACAAATGAAGTCTGGCCTACTTTACCGAGGCAAGGAAAACCATTAAGGTCAATGTCACAGAGAGCTTCAGGGAAATTTCCTATGTGGACTGGAATAGTCAACTGTGCCAACTGCTCCCTGTTATCTGCATTTTATTTGCACCACAGTCACACCTAAGTGGACTTTCGTGTCTCAGGCCTGGTCAAGGAGAGTAGCAGCTCGATGTGAGCAGCAGATGGGTGTGGTTGTGTTGTGGGACACAAATCACACATTTGGTGTAGGGACTTGCCAGGTTACAGTTTCCTGGTCCCGATGCCTTCCCTCTGTTCTCTGTACTGAGATGAATGGAGCCACGTCTCCCGCAGCCTCTGATTGAACACAGATGCTGATTGCCCACATGGTGCTGAGTCAGGAGTGGGGACTGCCACAGAAAGCGTTTGTTCCTAACAGATGCGCGATCACAGGCCGCATGTCATAAGCGAATTTACAGATTGTTAATCGTCCACTTTATATAAGCGTAGAGGACTTGGTGTAGTCGGGTGTCTTGCTTCGTTGTACCAGCAGTCATTAATTTGTATTCAGTCAATGCTGAAATAGAGAAATGCATTTAAGCTTAACATGGATCTTATGTGCAGCTACTTTTACGTAGTTATAAGTAATCAATGCAGCTTTTGTCAGACTAGTTGATGAGTCGATCGATTTGATCATTTATTAACTCAGAACTTACACAAAACCTCCAAAAAACAGCATTGATTGCATACTTGGGCTTTTCTTTAGTTTGATTTAAATACAAATCATTTTTTTGTCATCATTGGATAAAAACAACATAAATTCCACTGTTATGTCTTTTTGGGTAAACACAGAAAAATTGAATTGCAGAGCAAACATACTGTTCAAGTTCCAAAGAAAAGCAAGTTTATAAGAATTTTTTTTTTTTTGTTTGTTTTACTGCTTTTCAGTTGTTGCTTGGTGGTTTGTTTCAGTTACTCCCACAAGAAAATTTGGCACATCCACCCACTTAAATTAAATATCCTTATGGAATTATGGAAAGGGCATTTACCTGAATTTACAGCTAAGTGATAAAAGAATTTGATTGAATCAGATGAAAAGTAATTGTCAAGTAAAATGACAACATGTATGGTAAAGGCCACAGTCCTAATTTATTACTAACATTTATTCACAAGTCCAACTTAAGCTCATGTGAGGATCCAGATTTCTGGATTCGCCACATCAAGCTCTTTTGACGTTAGCGTATTTTCAATGTAAAAGTAAAAAAGCTTAAATCCCAAACCTTTTACTGCAGAAAGGTGTTAGAAAATACTTACAAGTTATAAATTTACTTTCTGCAGAGCATGCAGAGATAAATGTGCATCAGTGATGCCCTGCAGACTGATATCTGCATATCTGATAATAAGGTGGTGTATGCTGGGACTGAGCTTTTGTGGAATAGGTTTTGCGCTCCTTAATAGAACTAATGTTCTCTGGAAGAAAAGTGGGGGAAACAATAATAAAATGGTAATACTGAAATAATACTCTAGTTGTGCCTCAGAATGTCAGTGGGCTCAGATGCGACTGAAATGTTGATCTGTATATTTTTAAGTTTCGTTGTTTCCTGAACTTTAGCCATCAGGTCGCTTCAAATTTGAGCCTGTCCTCAGACGCCTCTACCTCTTCAACTTGTGTAAAATATTTGTCTTTAATTTATTTCAGTGTGTGTGGCATACGGTTCACAAACATGTGGAAGGCAGCAGCTGGACAGTCAGTCAATGTGTCTGTAGACGATGGAGGCGACGACTGGGAGACTGACCCCGACTTTGAGGTACCTGTATTTTCTCCTGTTTCTAGTTCCTCTTGGTTCACTTAAATAAAATCTTATTTTGCTCACTAGTGTTCTTGGCTTTGACATTATTACTCTGTTTTTAAAAAACTAGAATGATGTGTCTGAGAAGGAGCAGCGCTGGGGAGCCAAGACGGTGGCTGGCTCAGGCCATCAGGAGCACATAGAGTAAGGATGCGACTGTTTTAGGTTTTTTTCCTCCTTTTGGGAATAAATGCACTGTGGGAAATCTACAAATTGTGTGTCCTAACCGTGTTGTCTTTGGTGTAGTATACACCGTCTGCGTGAGACTGTTTCTACGGAGCATACCAACCTGAAGCAGAAGGAGTTGGAGAACATGCCCAAAGCCTCGCATGGCTATGGAGGAAAATTTGGAGTGCAGCAAGATCGAATGGACAAGGTGAGGGAGGCAGTAAGACCTGTGCAGTCGATCAAAGACACACAAATTCTGTTTGTTGTCGTTTTGTTTTTCTTCTTATAGATTGGTAAGAATTACGTGAACTATCCTTTACAGTTTGTATTGTAGGAACTTGTCTGTCTGTGAATCATTGAAGACATTTGAAATTGCTTTTCATTGTAAAGAGTAGGGATCAGTGTTCCCCAACTGCAAATTCTAATAGGTCTTGCTTAAAATTGTGCATAAATGGAAAACAAAGATGGCAAATTCTACTGCAGGGAATGACCCTACCTGTTGCATAACAGGTCTGTCTGCTTTCACATGACATCCAAAGATTATTATTGTTGTTAAGGGTTTAAGGGTTGATGCTCGCCACAGACCAATTCTAATATAAGCACGTCTGGCAAGGTGAGGGAGTGTGCTGTAGTCTGAGGCTGCAGAGCTTTTTCACTTTACAACTCCAACTTGACAAAATTGTAGAATTTGATGAAAAGATGAAAACCACGTGTAGTTACAGTCAATGAAAATATGGAAACAATTTCCTAGTAGTCTGACTGATTTGTTAAAATAAGTGTAACACATTGTTTGTGTGCACAGCTGTACTACAGTGTTAATGTTTTATTTTGTTTCTTTGTTTGGAGGGTTGAAACTAGTAGTTCCTGTAGTTGTGGTTTTTCATGTAGCTGAAACCAGCCAGCTTGCTACGTGCTTTTGCAGGTGTGTGTCTGCGTGCGTGTGTGCGCGCTAAGTCAGTAGTTAGTGTTCCACAGTCGATACCCCTCCTGCTGGCTGTGCCTAGTTTTCCTTCTATTTTCATGTTTTTTGCCATCTTTCATTAGCGTTGTCAGTCTTCTGCTTTATGCAGCATTTTAAATATCTACATGCATTAACGTTTGCGTCTTTGTACCTTGACAGTCTGCTGTTGGACACGACTACCAGAGCAAACTGTCCAAGCACTGCTCCCAGGTTGACACCTCTAAGGGCTTTGGGGGGAAGTTTGGAGTGCAGGCTGACCGTGTTGACCAGGTATTTCCTGTTGCTGACCTCATTCGAACAGTAGCACAACACTTTCTTAGACACTTTTTATTAGTAATGTTCCTGCTGTGTAAAATGAAGCCCCGCCCCCCCAACACCTTCTTTTTACAAAAATGAAATGATGCATTGTATTGTATGTGTCATGTTTTGTTTTTAAGTTTGCTAAAGAACGTATCTCCTCCACATCAAGAGTAATTGCTCTACTGCACAGCAGTGTTCATGCACATTTGGCTGGAAGTAAAACTACAGACCTAAGGTTTCAGAAGGAAGCATGCTGTGTCACAAAACCTTCTCCATAAATGACAAAAACGAAGATTTGAGTTTAATCAGCCATGGCAGCCTTATTTGCATGTCATTTACACAACTTCGACAACATTGCACGCTACGAATGCAAACCTTTTAAATGCGTCTAATCAGTAGAATAACTGCTTTGCTTCTTCCTGTCTCCTTCCAGTCAGCTGTTGGGTTTGAGTATGCTGGAAAGACGGAGAAGCACGCGTCACAGAAAGGTGATGTCCTTATTTGTTATGTCTTTGCAAAACTGCTGGTTTTGACTTCTTTAGATATGCAAAAGTGTCCTGGACATGGAACTAAGGCTTTACTCAGTGGACACATTAGTAATAGATTAGATGGATAAAAAAGAAAAAATCAGGTTAAAGCTAGAATTTGAGACATAATAATGGCGTTTTTGTTAGACCCAGTGTGCTGGGATAGAGTCAAAACAAACTACAGTTACAGACTGCAGTGATCCTGCTACTCAGGAAGGCTTCGTGGCTCTCAGTGCTGAGGCTGCTTACCCAGGCTGTCAACCTTTGTTGCTCTCATTCCCTCAACAGTGCTTTGAACCACAGTCCTGAATATCTGCCCAATTCCAATACTTCCTTATTGCTGTCCCTTGTTGCTACAGTAGGTGTACATAAGATGTACATGGCCCTCAATGAGTAATTAAAAAAGCATGATATGATTGCATGATAATCTTGTTAGTTTGTCTTTACTGTTGTGATTCTGTCTTAGCTGTTGAGTCATCCCATGAAATGTCAGTGTTTAGCCACCTGAGCTTGTCAGAATTGGTCTGATTTTTGCAAAATAACTTGAGTAGATTCAATGAATGCATTTCAGCATGCAGGAGCGATCTACGCGAAGGGTTCAGCACTAATGAGCAGAGCATATTCAAGCTCTGCTTAAATTTATTTCTTTTTTAAAAAGCAACTAAATCAATTCTACACCAACTCTCTCTCTGAAGCCAAAATCTTGTTTTTGTTTCTAATATTTTATTTTTTTATATTCAAATTCAAAGGTGCCAAATTTCAGCCCACCTTCCCATGTACTTGAAGTCTGTAATATGACTGTTTCATTAAATAGACTCAAGTTATTGTTAAAGTCAATATCTCAGCTGATTCTGCAGAGATCAAGTGGAAACTTTTCCAAATTTAAAGTTTTATAAAGTTTTTATTTTTTGAATGGAATGACCCAGAGGCTAGCACCCGGAAGTGTCAATAGGGAGTTTGGAATTGGGCTGCTCCACGATCACTGCTCCCATACTGCTTCACCCTGATCTTTGAACCTTGCCCCTTCCCTCCTCCTTGCTCTGCTATGTAGACTACACCACAGGGTTTGGGGGGCGATACGGAGTGCAGGCTGATCGAGTCGACCAGAGTGCCGTGGGCTTCGATTACCAAGGCAAAACCGAGAAACACGAGTCCCAGAAAGGTTTGTCGAGGTTTCCTGCCGTATGGCATTCTCATTAATCTGCAGAAAGATGGCAAAAGTGAAGACAGACAGACAGACACTAGAGCTGTAATTGCGCAGCAGCCTGCAGGTCCTGGCAGATCATGTTTGTTTTTGCATTTCTTCATTCCATCATTCCTCAGCCTGCTTATTTGAGATTGCACAACAATAACTTAACTGCTTTGAGCTGCATGTTTTTGTTTTTTTGCCCTGGATCAAAATGCATTCTAATTAAAGACTATAAGTTATCTTACATGGTGTTTTGTACATACGATGTTTTCATTCCATGGCTCCAGTTTATTTTTTTTATTTTTTGGGGCTGGGAGGCTGTTTCAATTTGGACTGCTGTTTTTGTTTAACACCTTAACATCCATCAGGTAGTCAGCATCTGTAGGGGGGTTTTGTTTTTTGTCTACATTCTCAATAAGCACATTTCCACTTGACACAGAAGACAACATCATACGTTGAATAAACTAAACGTACTTGATGCATAAGCAAAATGAGTTTTTCTGTTTTGAACTTTGTTTTCTCCTCTCCCCTGGGCCTTTGGCAGATTATGCCAAGGGCTTTGGAGGCAAGTTTGGCGTTGAGATGGACAAGGTGGACAAGAGTGCCGTGGGCTTCGAGTATCAAGGCAAAACAGAGAGGCACGAATCCCAGAAAGGTAACAGCAGTCGGCACTCGCTGTGAACATTTTATTTTCTTAAAAAAAAAAAGACGCTCTTATTTTGATCACGGTTGAAGCGCGTGCAAACAAACTGATGGCAGATTATTTTATTGACACAAGTGGTGTTGGTCAGATTACAAACAAACGTTTAACCCAACAGTCACACAGGCCTCAAACTTGTTTTGTAATTTTGGCTGAAAAAAAAAAAGTCATTAATTTGAATTTTGGGGTCAGAACGGTGGAGCATGTGACGCACAGATGGTGACATCTATGCAGAGCTGATTCTTCACACAGGGGAGTTACTGTCTCTGATTTTAATTATTTATTATATAATTTGTGACTGAAGTTTGAAGGGTGTAATAATAGGATGAGTTTTGTTATCATAAAAAAAATCACATACTAGTTGTTGTTGTGTGCAGTGACCTTGTTTTCACTGCTTAGATTCCTTGTTACCGTGAAAGAACGAGCGACAGAGTAAACGGCTTTTGTTTGCTTTCAGCTCGTGCTGTTAAACTCGCGCTGCTGATGTGTTATTAGCAGCTTTGTGTCCAGAGGGTCTCAGTAGGTCACACCCTCATGTCTGTCCTGACTTGTCTGTAATTTTGCAGTTTCAGCACAGCAGCTGTGTGTAGCTGCTTGCTTGTCACGCCTCATTGGCCAACAGCAGATAAGACTCGTATCAAATGCATAAACGACCTCCACAATGCCCCGACTGTGTTTGTAACCTACGTTTGGGTATAAATCAGTCAGGCGTTTTAAAGCATCATTGTTGGAATAGGTGGGCAGCAGACAGAGTTTAATACCGCTCACTGTAAATCCTGTTTGGAACGAATGATGTGCAACATGCAGCTGCCTCCGCTGTTAGGATTGAATGAGTAAACGTTAAATAATGTTTAAATATAAAGTTTGTCAAACAAAAACTAGTGTCACACTGATAGAAGTGACTAAAGCACTTTCTCTGCTGTAGCTTGTAAATGGTGCAGTGTTGTTTTTTTTCAAAGTAGCATTACAAGATTGTCATTAAACATTTTATCTTAGACACCTGCGTCTGTGTGTCATGTTTCCCTGCAGACTACGTGAAGGGCTTTGGGGGCAAATTCGGTGTGCAGACTGACAGACAGGACAAATCGGCTCTGGGATGGGACCACCAGGAGAAACTGCAGCTCCACGAGTCCCAGAAAGGTACTGGTGCCGAGTTGGTTTCTGTGTTTGAGCGTGACACTCGCACGGATGCACTGCCGATATGAAATAATTAAGGGTTTATTAAAATGGCCACCTTTACAAGTTTGAGTTTGGCACAAATCAACCGTGAAACCAAACTTCCTCCTCGGCCGTGTACTCGATCTCAGATGTGGTTTTGTTGTGGCTCCAGTGCGGTGTTTAAAAAGTTGCCAACTTCCTCAACTAGCATGCAAAAATGGCTCAGAAAGCGGAAACGAAACCCACAGCTCAGATTTATATTTGCATGTCGGGTCTTAAGCTGATGCTGTGTTCAGGACATTACAAGCATGTAAATGAATCTAAACTAAAAGGCATTCACACAGTGAGTTCTATGCAGAGCCACTTCTAGATGGTCAGAGAAGTTGGCCTGTCAATCAGATGTTCATGCAGCAAATGAATGGGAGCAGTTCAAACATTACTCTTATGTCTGCTCTCATACTTTCATTTCTTTGATGGGAAGTGGGTCCTTATCCTAAACCGAAAGATTCCAATCAATCACATGCTGTGTTCTGTTTCTGTGGGGCCTATTCCTCCTTTACCTCCTCACCCTAACCTTCATTCGATTCTTTCTTCTCTTCCTTCCTTCCTTCTTGTGTCCTGGTTCTTATTCTCCTTTACTCCTCCTTTCTCTTATTAACTACTTCTTTCCTTCTCTTCCTCCTACTCTTTGTTCCTTTCCTCCTTCATTTTTATCCTTTCCTCTTCCACCTTCCTTTGTCCTTCTAAACATCTTCCTCCTTCCACTTCTCGCTTATTCTCTTCCCATCTGTTACTTGGATGGATCATCATACACGGTTCCTATCTTAAACTATAGTTTTCATATCCTTAATAATCCCTGGCTACAAATTTGTCGAGGTGCTTTTACCATTTCTGCAGCTTTTGGTAGCAGACGTCATGTTACTCAGTTTTCAAAGTCATTTCAGTTCACAAATATTCCTTTCTCCTAAAACTGAGGAAATATTAATGTGCAGAGGAGACATTACTGAAGACGAAGGTAACGAGGGAGCAGACCAGCTGAAGAGGAAAAGCCTCTTCATAGTTGTAAAAACCATTCGCAGTGAATCCGAACATTGAGTGCTGAGTGAACGGGCAAGAACACGAAGGCCTTTTCTTTGTCGTTCTGTTAGCACGCAGCCTGGTGGGTGCATCATTGTCGCTATATGTGTGTCTTTTACATGTATTCGGTGTGTATTTTGTAATATGTGTGTGATGTTTGTCTGTCCGTATATGTGTATATATTGTGTTGCAGACTATAAGCGTGGGTTTGGAGGGAAGTATGGGGTAGAGGTGGAGAGGCAGGACCAGTGTGCCCTGGGCTATGAGCACAAGGAGAACCTGGCCAAGCACGAGTCCCAAAAAGGCACAGATACTTTCCTGAGCACGTCACCCAACCCCACCCTCCCTTTTACAAAGCTCCTCCTGATCCTTCCCTTCCTATGAAAAGTCCTCCCTCTTAGCTTCTTTGGCTGGCTCTGACAGAAGCCCCTCCCACTCCCACAGTGACACGCCCACCTGTGCAGCACTGACTGAGACTTTTAGTTTACTGTCATCAATCCTATTGTAAGGCCTTGGAGGGGCAGAGGAATCTATCAGACTGTTATAACAAACAAATGTAGGCAGTAGTGCAGGTGAGTGAGAAGATGCAGTGTTATGCGTTCAAGACAGCCGTGAACGGGCACCAGCACGCCAGCCCCAGAGGCCTGTTCTGCAAAGTGATTTACTTTCAATTTTATCTGATCTCCTTGATATAGTGATCCCAAAGTGGCGCCTAGGACTAACAATCACTTAAAGTGAGTCTGCCGGTCACCAGCTGGTTTATTAGACACATCTTGCCAGAATCAGTTGGGGCCTCTTGTAAATGGTTCTTATAAAGCGCTTTACCTTCAGAATTGCTTCGATTGTCAGATTTGCCAGCTGCCCTTTACGTGAATCTCCTGATAATAGTTGCTCCATTGGAGTCTTGTGACCTCACTCTAACAGCACCCTGAACTGTTGATACACGCCATGATGCATTCCTCTGGCCTCAAAGTATTTCTGCCCAGAACTGCTGCTCAGTGGACTTTTTTTTTTTTCATTTTGTTTTTGGACCACATCTCTAAACTCTCGAGATGGATGTACAGGGAAATCCCAGGAGATGAGCAGCAGAGCAGGGCGATAAGACCAAAAATATTTATCATGATATACATTTGAAAATTTGCGATAACGATGTAATTGACACTAGACAAAATACTTTACGCCATGTGCGTATGAAAACAAAGGCACTGTGCATGCGCGTTTTACCCATATTCTATCGCGATATCTCATTTTGTTATCGTTGTCCAACATTATACCGGTATTACCGTGAACGGTATGATATGGCCCAGCCCTAATGAGCAGTTTCTGAAATATTTGAGCACCAAAAAGCCATGCTGGTGCCAGACAGGCACATTTGAACCACGTTCAAAGTCATGTAAATAGTCTTCCCCATTGCGATGCTCTGTTAGGACTCTAGCTTGTCTACATGTCTTAAAGCATTTAGTGTGTGATTGGCTGATTCGATATGAACAGGTGTACCTAATAAAGTTGTTTTTGTTTTTTGTTTTTTTAGCACCAACTAGTCTTGCATTAGAAAGCATACCAACAATTTAACAACAAAGCCTGTCAGTTGAGCAGAAAACACAACTGTAAATTCATATCCAATCCTCCAGTGTCTTCAGACCTTTGTGTGTGAATGCTCTTTGTAGTGAGGCATTAGAAAACAGTGAGTCTCAAACTACTTGACTCAAGTTGATAACCGCCTCTATGTGGCGGCTAAGCCTCATCGCTGATGTTGGGGTGGCTGTAGCCTGATAATATATGCATATACTGAGTATGCTGAACTTTGTAGTACAGGCCTCAGGTCTTAGTGGTGCTGCTGGTCGGCTGCCTGGATCCTCTCCATTAGACGGCCAAAGAGTTTTCACAATATGAATCCTTTCCATCAAGTCTGCACTGCTCAGGTGCCCCCGGCCTATTATTATTATTATTATTATTTATTTATTTTTATTTTTACATAACAGGAAAGCACTTGAATGACAGTTTGTTTGAGCTTCTGCTACCAGCTGCAAACTGCCTTCACTTTGGATGAAGTGATATCAGTCACTACATGGACGATACGCTGTCATAGATGCTGGTTTATACAGAAAATGTAGTGCGCTTATTTTTGGCATTTATAAATTCAATTTATGCAGTAAGTATATCTATAACCCAGTGTGACACATTAATAATTCAGCATTATGAATACAGACAGTAGTTTCCCAGTAGGCTGTGTGCTAGAGCAGGGCGATATGACCAAAAATATTTATCACGATATACATTTGAAAATTTGCAATAACGATATAACTGATGATATAACTGACGATATAATTGACACTAGACAAAATACTTTACAACTCCACAACTTTATTAGTGCAAAAAACCCCATCAATGTATTTTCACTTAAACAAGCAGCTGTTTTTTATGTGCATTAAAGTTATATAAAAATGTAACAGTGCAAATTCCTCGCTGACAGTTTAACCAAAAGGCATTTCCAGTGGAAACTGGCCAACATATCCTCAGCATAACCATGTATAATATCCACAACACTTAAAAAGAGGTTATACACACACAATACGGTAATATCATGTTGAAGCACAGTACGTATCGCTCCGCCTACGATAGCCGTAATGCTCCGACAATCCATCGAGCGGTGCGGCTTCGTAGCTTAGCAAAGTCGTACTAAAAAATTTGACAGATTTTCGAGCGCCGTGCACATAAAACCGTTTCGAGGTCAGTAAACACAACCAGAGTTCATACATAAGGCACACGGGATTATAAGGGGCTCTGTCGACTTTCAGAAAATTCAAAGGATTGATTTTAAGTGTGCTGTATTTTCCAAACAACACGGTAATAACGACGGCCCGCTAGCATTCTCTACCATAAATAGTGCTTTGTTGTGTATCTGACGGACGAAAGCTAAACCAGTTCCACACCACTGAAGCTGCAGCATTTTACAAACCAGTTCTGGTTCATCCATTTCATTCTACAATCTGCTTTCACCCTCCTCGTTCTCCGTCGCCGAAATGCTTTTTCCACCATGTGCGTATTAAAACAAAGGCACTGCGCATGCGTGTTTACCCATATTCTATTGCGATATCTCATTTTCTTATCGTTGCCCAATATTATACCGGTATTACCATGGACGGTATGATATGGCCCAGCCCTACTGTGTGGTTTGCAGCCTGGATCTTTTATCCAGCTGCAGGAACGACCCTACGAGGATGTCTGTCAGGGGGACGAACAGCAGACTGCTTCTGTCAATCATATCAGCAAATTCCACGTAAAAGGCAGTGAAACCATAAACGCAGCAAACAAAATGTCCAAAGGGCCAATTAGGGGGCAGTTCCCGTGAATAACTTGAAAGCAGCTATCATATCGCCTCGGCCTTCCCTGTTCACCACCCCTGGCTGTTTGTGGCACTGCCGTGATGCTGTTTGTTTTGCTTATGCATATATTTTGTGCATGATTCTGTATGACCACACTGCATATTTCTGATTTATTCTTTAAAACGAAGGCTTCCTGCTATTGTTGCACGGACACAGCTCTTCTTCATTGCAGAGATTAAGCTGAGTTGGCCGCATGAACAAATGTTTCCTTGTGTCAGCATTCTCCTGTCAGCCCGTTTCGTTTTCCTCCTGCTTCTTTGATTCTTGCACATCTTCAGTCGGCCCAGTCAACCTACAGTGTGCTTCAGCTGAACTCGGACCAGAGAGTGCGTTTCAGCTCTCCTCTGGAGCACAGGCTCTGGTGATGCACATTGTGGTTGAGTCCTTAGACACAAAGTAACATTCACTTTTTCTCCTCTTTGTTGCCAGATTATTCTAAAGGCTTTGGAGGGAAGTTTGGTGTCCAGAATGATCGCATGGATAAGGTAAGGACTCCGTGTTTGTGTGTACTTTTCTGTAGAGGGCCTTGTCTTACATGTTACGTCTGACATTGAGCAGAGCGCGAGCACATTCGAGGATGTGGAGAAGCTGACTCCAGCTTACCAGAAAACCAAACCTGTGGAGGCCGGTGAGCATCGTTCATCATCAGCCGTCTGTTAGTCACAACTTGAGGAAACTAGGTAGTCGACGTCACTTTGTTTCCTCCCCGTTCCCAATCGTTCTCATCAGGTGCCAGCAGCACAGGAAGCATCAAGGCCCGCTTTGAGAACATCGCCAAGCAGAAAGAGGAGGAGGACAGAAAGAGGGCTGAGGAGGAGCGGCTGCGTCGTCAGGCCAAGGAGCAGCAAGAGCAGGAGGCAGCGTGCCGCCAAATTGAAGAGACTGCCAAAGCCCCGTCTCCTGTCCCTGCTGCAAGTCCCAGTCCGACCCCAAGCCCGACTCCAGCGGTTCAACCAGGTAGAAGCCACGGGGTGAGTCGTAGTGATTTTTGAATGCTTAGGTTTAGGCCTAAAGCTCACTGTGACGCTGCCCATGACGCAAAGAATGTTTTTTACAGGACTTGATTGCGATTGCAAAGTTTTTATACAAAGACTGTTTCCCAGGAAGAGAACTCAGCACATAAATGGCCTGGATTTGTATAGTGCTTTACTAGTCCCTAAGGACCCCAAAGCATCCAGTCATCCACACATTCACACACACAGACTGGTGATGGCAGCTACATTGTAGCCACAGCCACCCTGGGGCGCACTGACAGAGGACCCTGGCATCACTGGGCCCTCTGACCACCACCAGTAGGCAACGTGTGAAGTGTCTCGCCCAAGGACACAACGACCGAGACTGTCCAAGCTCGAACTGGCAACCTTCCGATTACAAGGCGAACTCCCAACTCTTGAGCCACGATCGCCCATCAACACAGACACTTTTGCATCACTCTTTGTGGCACCGCTGTGTTTTAGACCAACAGTGGATTATTATTGTTATCATCATCATCATCGTGTTATTATCCAGGAAAAGCTTGGATGCATGTATGTAGTATACATGACACCAAACTTTAAAACATTGTCTTCAGGTCTTGTTTTTTTTAACATATAAAAACCTAATTTGATCAGGAGAAACTGTAACTTGTTGGGACTGGAGTTGTTTCAGATGCTACTGTGTCTGGTAAACCTTACTAATACTATTACAGTATAGTTTGGCAATAGTATAAGCTAGCTCTCCAAATCAGCGCGCTCTCTCTAACATGAGTGCTGCAGTCTTTAACATGCTGTGTTTACTGTGTTAGAACACGGAGGAGGAGGAGGCCTACGACACCGCTGAGAATGGAGGGCAGCTGTATGAGGCAGAGCCACAGAGCCACTACACACCGCACGATGATCTGTACCAGAACCCCAAGGAGTCTGCAGCAGAAGGTGAAGCTCTTTATTTTATTTATTTTAATTATTATTATTATTGTTGTGTTATTGGTGGCTTTTCCCCTCTGGCATTCACACAGGAATGCTTACACTGCATTACAGGACGGCATTAATGCAGTGTAGCTTTCTACTTTGGACACAGGAGCCAAGAAGGGACTAAAACCTGTTACACTCATGATTCTTTTACTTACATTTCATCTGACAAACTGCTGTTTGCTATGTAATTGTTTTTTTGTTTTATTTTATTGTCTAAAGGTAGAAAATGACACTTTGTTTTAAAACAGTATTAAACAGAAAGATTTGTGTGAATAAGGAATTAGTTGAAAAAACAACATTTATAGCACCGTCATGTCTTTGTTAATCTGTAGGTTAGAGTTCCTTGTAGTGTAGAACCACCTGATTGCTCTGTAAGCTTTTATTTAAACTACTGTTCAATTGCAGACACGCAGCAGTACGACTACGGGGAGGACCTTGGGGTGACAGCTGTGGCCCTATATGACTATCAAGCAGGTAGAGTTTATGTATATATGTGTATGTCCTTTATAGAAGAATCAAAGTGCACTTTAGATCCTGGATGAAATTATTTAGAGGATCAGTTTTTTTTGTTTTTGACCATTATCATATCAACAGTAAGCTCTTGAGACATTTAGAGCTCCTTCTTCATGAATGTCTTCCCATTTCAGCGGGCGACGACGAAATTTCGTTTGACCCCGACGACATCATCACCAACATTGAGATGATCGACGAGGGCTGGTGGCGAGGCGTGTGCAGAGGTGCTTACGGCCTTTTCCCAGCCAACTATGTGGAGGTTCGGCAGTGATGACGATGATGACCCGTCTCCCCGTGCTTTTGCAAAAAAGGGGAGGGAGACGTTTTCAGATACTGTCCTTCTCACACCTGGGTCTTTTTTTTTTTCCTCTCTTTTTTACTTTTTCCCTCCCTCTCTTCGCGTCATCTTAGTGTTCCGACACAATGCTAGATGTCTGAGCTCCTCACAGCTTTTCTTCTTCTTCTCTCCTATCTATTCAGTTATTTTTAAATCGGAGACAAAATGGAGAACCGGTTATCTGACTGAATACTCTGCTTAACGCGGCACAAAGCTTTGCACCTCTGTTTAGCAGGAGTTAAAGCTACAAGATGCAACCAATAGTTTATTTGGAGACTGAGCTGATTTCACTTTTTAACACCAGTCATGCAGTCCCAGCTTGCATTTTGCAGCTTTCAATATTTTTTTTTTTTCATGTTCAGCTTCACAAGGTGTTGATCAGGCATTGTTGCTTCTCCGTATGTCAGTGAATAATTATTGGCTAATTATTCTCCCCCCGGTCCTGTGGCCTGCAGATGGTTCCCCCTCCAGCAACATCTTCCAGCCTTAAAAGCAGCTGGAGGAGTTGGTGTGAGGAAATGCAGTGATTGCATCATGAAGAGTACTCTCAGTCTCACCAAAGAGCAGAGAAATGGCTAAATCGAGCTTATAACATCTGAAACGATGTGCACAGAGCTCAGGGTGCTCACTGTGTAGTAGCTCAACCTTAATTTAAGCAGGAGAAGTTTGAAGTGAAACAAATCTCCCTTCCTCTTTGGATTATCATGTATATTAATGGTTATATTCTGTCCAGTCCAATGACCCAATGATCCCATTTGCTTCTTGGTGTTTGTAGTTTGCGGTGTTGCACAGGAGTCCAAACCCCCCTTCCAACTGTAACTGTGCACGCTGATGAAATCTGAGGGTGGTTTAGAGCTTCGTGTAGTATGAATAAGTCTTTTTGTGTCTGTTGGAGAAAACTTACCTTTATTAAGTTGTTCTCAGAATCACAGGGCCAACAACACCAGAGATTCATTTGTGCTACTTGGGTGAATCACCAGATAAAGACACAGTGTTATTTGAATTCTATTCTGCAGTGCTGAATCATAGACTTCATGCTTTGAATCATGTACATAGAGCTCATACTTTATAATGCTTGAAAGAAGTCCTAGATATAAAAGCAGGGTTTTTGTTCCGTCACTGTGTTCTTCTGTGGAGGTGGACAGGACTTTTATAGGGTTTCTTTTCTTGTCGCTGGGAATGCTTGGAGGTTTTTGTGCGTCATGTTGATATACACGTGAAGCTTTGTGATGACTGCTCTGGAGCCTAACTGACATCCTTCGCTATGACCCAGCGGTGCGTGCGACCTCTCGTTGTCGGCAGTGACGATGACCTGTGGAAATGTATCCAGCTGATGTTGAGGGACAGGGCTTCAGTCTGTTCTCCAAACATGAATAATTCCCAACAGGCAGCAGGCTGGACAAACTGCTCGTCTGTGGAGTGCAGTAGTGTAGCTTCCACAGGTGTGTGCGTGCGTGTGAGAGTTTCTTCGTTTATTCATCTTCTGGGTTTTATAATTAAAAAAGTGACCTTTTTAAATGTATTATCTGTACCTCTGTTTGCTTGAGTCACATTATTACCTGCTTGTTCTTTTTATTTTTTAGTTTCAATAAATAAACTAAATAAGCTTGTTTATGGTTTTGTTTTTTTGCCCTCAGGCTTTTAGTTAGTGTTAATTTTTAAGTGAACGTCTCGCATTCATTTAAAAATTATCGGGGGTTTAACAAATTGCAGTGATGTCATGATATCTGTAGACTATTTTGGGCAAATGCATCCAGTACTGCTGTGACTGCAAACAAGGACAGGTTACATCATTTACAGTATCATACATATTATTTTGATCTTGTGACACTCTTGGAAAATGTTGGTTGTATTAAAACTTAGTTTCCAGATGGGACTCCATTTACAACTTGGAAAATAATTTTGTTAAGTGTGTGCAGAGTTCGTTCATCTCCAATTTGCTTACATTTTTATGTTTCAAAGTGTGGACATGTATATGATTGCTAATAGATTTTAGTTTCATTTATCACATTTATTTATTTTTTTGCACACTGAAAAGACCGTGCACCAGTGTTTCAGATTATCACAAAGACTTAAAAGCCTGAATTTCACTGTTCTTTTTTTATCAAAATGAATTGGGATCTGAGACACATGCATTAAAAAGGTATTGAACATTTCACAGTTGAATAGGTTAAGCTGTCCTGCAAATTACTGTATTTGAGAACACAAGAACTTCACATTGAATTTGTGTTCAAAGCATACAGAATACTTTGCACCTAGAAATTCTTAGTCACCGGCGGACTCCATATAATTAAATATATACTATCATTTTATGCCTTATTAGGATTATACATTATATTTTGCATTTATGTTTGCTATACTTGCACGTTTTAGTAAATCACTGCACCTATTTCTAAAGAAATGAAGGGTCAGTCAGACTCTTGCACCATGCTGAACAGGTGAATGTGTTATAAAGCAGCAGTCTTCTTGGAACAGCAGGAAACTTTTTTTTCCGACACGACGTGAAGGCGCTATAACTGCCCGGATGCGTTACCAAGATGGCGGCTTAGTGGACTTCAGTTTTTGCAAAATCAAATGTAATTGTTGTATGAGCATTAGTTAGTACAACGTGGATACAATAACAAGTTGGCATGCCACGTTTGTGTGCTTTCTGCGGCTGTAATAATCGAGTGGGCTGTGGGCTTTCGTTTTTCGCATTCCCAAAGGACAGTACAAGGTAACTTAGTCACAAAATCACAATGTTTTTAATGACGTGTTTTCGTCAACAGACCAGTCATTAAAGACTTACATCAGCGGAGATACGCAAGGTTTCTTACTCTGTGGTATTTAATCACATCAGCTCAGTCCCGTTAGGTGATTCATCCTTATAGCAACCTCGCCACTCGGCAGCCATCTTGGTAACGTCTGCAGGTACTTACGTAGCATTTTGATTTAGCTTTCGTTTATGTTCACGGAGGGCGAAAAACTCCACGCACAGTCACCAGTCAAGGGTTATAAAAGGTCAGTTTACCTGGTTACTGACCTTTAAAAAAAGAGACATCCAAATTCGTTTTTCTTTAGCAAAGGTGCCTCGAGGCGTTACCAAGGTAACTGTCACATAGCAATACTTTGGTTTAAATCACTTCTGATTTTACGTAATGACGTCAGGCAGAAATGTGGCATAAGTAATGCGCGAACAGCTGTTTCTTAAACACGTGTAAAGCGAAACATGCAGAAGACGTCTGTGAAGCTGATCTGATTTGTTTTTGAAGCAATGTGAATAATTAATACAGGAGGCGGAAATGGCTTCTTAATTTGATGAGGGCAGACTTATCCCCCGACATGACGAGAGAAGAGTCCGACAGAGCTGGGTATGTGGTCTGCGAACAACATTTCAGGCCAAAGGACATAAACTCAAAGGTAAACCCTGTTTCTCACAGATGTAGGTCAGGAAGGCAGAAAGCAGCCCATTGTTTCTTTTTGCTTCCAAGTATTTCTTGTAATAAAGTTAACAATCGATCTCCAGGATTTCAGACTCAGTTCCAACACTTCATTTCAATTTTATTCCATTTATATAAAGCTAAATCAGAACAACAGTGCTTTATATTCTATGAGAAAAGACCCTACAACCCCTATGAGTGAGCACTTGGCAACAGTGGGAAAGAAAACGTCCTTTTTAACAGGAAGAACCGGCTGGAGGAGGGGCAGCCGGCCCAAGTCTCTGTGTGAAGCATGCTGTCTTAGTTTCATTTACAGATGTGAGTTTTTTTTCACAAGGCCACTATTCACCTGCACGTATTAGGCAGTAGCACATTTGCTGCTAGCTTGTAACCTGCTGTCCTGACGGTTTATATCACACAGGTGCCTTCATTTAGCTGAAAGCACCCTTTTCTTTTGTAATGGGTGCAGCATACAGACCAATTTGTACATACAGATGTTATAGAAGTTTATTACTTGTTGGTGCAGACTCTCTTAAAGTTGCACTTTGTTTTTTAAGGGTAGAAGAAAACGTCTGGCTCCTGAAGCCGTCCCCATCCTTCTGCACACTATAAAGGAGGAACAGAGAGGTACAGACATTCAGTGAGAATAATGGTTTACATTCTTTTGTCTCTGACAGACAGTTTTTAAAAACATATTGTGCGTAACTTTTCTGGTGCTGTAGTAACATTTGAAATTGTGTTCTTCTAGATTTGGAGATGCCTTCTACTGATGTTCATGCTCCAGTGCCTCTGCAAGACACACCCCCATATGAACAGGTCGTGGCAATGTTTAACAAGCTGCTGGCAGAGAAGGATGAGGTCAAACAGAATCAAAGAATCCTGCTTTTCTATTGAAATATGTTGTTTTCATAGAAACTATAAATATCTTTTAATACACTTTTAGAAAATCAAGGATCTGAAAAGCATTCTGCAGAGAGAGAGGGCCAGAATGCGGCTGATGAAGTTCCGCATGAACAGCAAAATCAGAGAACTGAAAAGAAAGTATGTAGCAGTTTGGTTATATGTGTCATTGCAGTAAAAACAGTACATTTAGTAAATATGAATGTGCTTCATTTCAGACTCGAACAGCAGCAGAACAGTAGCAGTGACCAAGGCGATCAGCTGACTGCTGCCTCCGACTGCCTTCCACAGGCAGCAAAGGAGTTTTTTGACAAGCAAATAGCCATGGCCAAGGTGAGGAAACACGGCCAGAGATATGACAAGAAACAAAAGGACATGGCAATCCAGCTGTACAAACAGAGCCCAAGCTGTTACTCTGAACTCCAAAAAATGTTTCAGTTACCGTCTTCAACCACTCTGAGGAGGCACCAGGTGGTCAGTCAGGAAGCGAGTCCAGTAAGTTTGAATGTACTAACGAAAAAATCTGGATACTTTAAAGAAGTTCTCTTTTTTCATGATTTAGTTCCAGGAGGTCAACTTTCACATATTCTAGATTCCTTAGATATTTTCAGCCTTTTTTAATTTTAAGATTTTGGTTTGTAGCTTATGAAAATCAGAACTCCAGCACCTCAACATTAACCAACAGATTCTCAGAGGGATTCATGTCAGTCAAGTTGGCTGGCCAATCAAGCACAACAATAACATGGTGAGCAAACCATCAGGTCATAGTTGTAGCACATAAACAGAGGCTAAGTCCTGCTGCAAAAGGAATCTCCATAAAGTGTAATAGCTGATGAAAGCATGAAGTCCTCTGAAATCTTCTGCATTGACTTTGGACCTGATAAAACAAAGTGGACTAACCACTACCCACACCAGCAGATGGCATAGCATCACAAACCATCACAGACCGCAGAGACCTTGGATCCTGTACCTCTCCGGTCTTCCTCCAGACTTCTGAATCCGAATTACTGAGCATGGGTTCAGTTTTTTTCTCCTTAGTAGATCTCTAAGGAAGATCTCTCAAATGTCATTGACAATCCTCTGAAGGTCATCCCTGTGCTTGAGCACCTTTTCCTGCTGTATGTTCCTCTTCCAGTCTGTTTTCCATTAATATGCTTTGATCCAGCACTCTTACCTACTAATGATCATCAACCAGACAACTGTCAAGTAAGCGGGTCACATTTACTGAAATACAGTATTTCTATTGTAGTAATTCTACAGTTTAAATAGTAAATTACTCAAACTTGACATCAGATATTCTAATAATTTGAGATACCAGATTACTGGGTTTTCTTTTGATGGGGACTTGACCCGGTATACTTCTAGTGCCGGTCCCAAGCATAGATAAATCCAACATACTGAGCATTTTGGAGAGAACGAAGTTTGATATTATTATGTGTGCAAGAGATGAGGTGGAAGGGAAGCAAGGCCTGGAGCACTAGAGGTGGATTCAAACTGTTCTATCATAGTGTAGATAGGAAGAGTATGGCAGTAGTGTTCTGAAGGTGAGGACAGGATGCCCCACACGTCTGATGTTAACAGGGACAGAGGGATTCTGGAGTAAGTTGGATGAAGTGGTAGAGAATGGTGATTGGAGCACACATCAGTGGACATGTAGCTGAAGGGAACAAGATAAGATAAGATGAGCCTTTATTAGTCCCACTCGTGGGAAATTTGTTGTGTCACAGCAGAAAGTGGACAGTGCAAAGTTACAGCAGCAAAAATTAAGAAAAACACCGGATTAGGATAAGATAATAAGAATAAAACACTATATACAATAGAATAAAATACTACGTTGTCAGAAGAAAAAAAATTACTTAGTGTTATTGCACCTGTGTAGATGTGTGTGTTTGGTCAGCTGCGAAATCTTTGTTGTGGAGTCTGACAGCAGTAGGAAGGAAAGACCTGCGGAGTCTCTCCGTCCCACATCGTGGGTGCTGCAGCTGCCACTGAAGGAGCTGCTCAGTGATGTCAGAGTCTCCTGCATGGGCTGGGAGATGCTGACCAACAGCGATGACAGCTTAGCCGCCATTCTCCTGTCACTCACCACCTCCACAGGGTCCAGAGAGCATCCTAGAACAGAGCTGGCCCTCCAGCCTCTTCGTTCTCTTCCTGTCCCCAGCAGACCACACCGTAAAAGATGGCTGAGGCCACCACAGAGTCATAGAAGGTCTTCAGGAGTCAGTCCTTCACTCCAAAAGAGCAAAACAGCCTGCTCTGCCCTTTTCTGTAGAGAGCATCTGAATTATGAGTCCAGTCCAGTTTATTGTCCAGATGAACACCAAGGTACCTGTAGCTGTCCACAGAACAGAGGAGAAGAGGAGTACCGTATTTTTCGGACCATAAGGCGCATTAAGTGAAACAAAGCAGTCAGATAAGTCAAACTTTACTCAGCTCATTCTTCTTGCTTCCTCCACTTCTGTACCATTGATTCATTAATGCTGAATTCTCTGGCAGCTGCTCTATTCCCATGTTGTTGCAGTATATTAATGACTAACCTCGTATTGTGAATGGATCATCTCAGTTGTTCTCCTGACTGAAGTTTGGTCCATTTACAGCATAGGTGTCAAACTCTGGCCTGCAGCCTAATTACATTTGGCCCATAAAGCCATACCAAATTACTATTAGAGCTGGCCTACTGGTATTACACAGCTAATATATATATTGTTTAGTATTAAGCTTTGCTTGTTACATATTCAGTTTTCCAGCAAAACTTATTTGAGTCCATAAGAAAAGATTCATTCTTATATCTGGAGGAACATTTTTTTTTCAATAAATATTAATGTTAGCCCGCGACTTTGTTCCAGTTTTGAATTTTGGCCCACTGTGTATTTGAGTTTGACACCCCTGGTTTACAGCATCCTGCCAAGCGATTGCATTTGTCCCTAACCATCGGGAACCCTCAGGTTAACATTTATTGAGTGGAAAAAGCGAGTTCATCCTCCAGCTTCACTGCGTTTATGTTATGCTAACATAGCTGTGTAGCTAGTGATCACGTAGCAAATGTAGCTGACGTAACGCCGCAATGCATTGTGGGAGCGCGGCACCATTTGAGAAGGCCACGAATCAAAACAAACACAAGGGTCGTGTCCAAATTCATGGGCTGCATCCTCCTGAGGACCCGGCCTTCGCGGTGTACGTGGGCCGGGTCCTCAGAAGGTCGGGTAGGCCGGAAGTGGACGGTCTAGCCTTCTGATTAGCGTCACCGCTGTCTCGGTGGAGTTTAATAAACTCGTCCGTCTGCTCCTTGCTATCTAAAATATAACAGGACAAATTCTCGACCATCTCATACTTCTGTTTAATGAGTTTTCTGTTTGACATTTAGTCAGCTGTGTGAAAACCAAGGAGGAACCCACCAGGGGGATTAATAAAGTTTTATTTTATCTAATCTAATAACTTTAATCTCAGCCAAACCGATTGACTCACGAACAAATAAAACACTGAAAAAAGCCCAACAATAACATTTTTAGGTGATGTATATATTACGTTTAACCTGAGTAGCGAAAGTGATCTGAAAATGATGTACCGGGAGTTGTGCCGTTCTCGGCGGCTTCAGTGACCCTCAAGCTCCCGACTAGCTATCGAGCTGGTGGGTAGCAGACGTCTCCGAAAATGTCGAAGCACTTTTGCAAATATGCAATATCTTGATAAACCGAGCAGATATTTGATGTTTACACAGCTACTTTCTCGCCTGAAAATATGTTAAAAGTTTATTTTGTGACCCAGAAAGATTAGTATGAGTAATTTTAAAACTTAGCAGCGGCCGCCATTGTTGGAAACTGGAGTTTGGCTGGGCCGCGCTATGAATTCTGGGATATGGTAGGCCACGAAGGACACACCCGGCCCATCCTTCAAATTCAGCGAAAAGGAGGACGCATTTGTCGGCTGCATTCGGAAGAGTCTACGAATTTGGACAGCCTTCGTCGCGTTGCTGTGACGTAATCGGTCTACAAATGTGGCCTCAGGAGGATGCAGCCCATGAAACGACGTAATCCAATAACAACTGATGTCTTTACCCGTCGGCTTCCCATGGCTGTCATGCGACCGGCTATTGCAGTTAATAATACAACAGCTTCTTGCCATTTTTTGTATTTCTTTTTATCGCTGTGTAATGTAATTTCAATTGAAAGCCTGCGTGCGCTAGTACCTCTTGCCATGAGTTCTCAGAATCCTTTGCAGTTTTACCCCTGAATGACGTCACATTATCAATCTCTATACCAGCTAGCCCAACTTCAGTAACCCTACAAACGTCACTGCTGTTTAGTTTTCTGTCTTCATTTATGTTGGAAGTGATAGCAGAGCTGTACGTTTGAATGTTGTCAGAAATCTCTCAGTCAGAACATGCTATATCGTGCTTAGCTAGCGAGCTAACTTCCTGCTAACTTTTACATTTAATAAATTCTGTTTTCATGGATGCCTGGATGTTAAACTTAATTGTTACACCTGGTAAAGCAGCAACATCGATCATTTTATTACAGATGAAAGAATTTAGACAGTTTATAACTCTCAGTGTTTGTTTGACTTTGAGACGTGAAGCAGACAGAGTTTAGGACCCAGATTACTCCACGAGGCTCCTGACTACGGTAGCCGTAATGCTCCAACAATCCATCAAGCGGTTCGGCTTCGTAGCTTACCAAAGTCGTACTAAAACATTTTTGACAACTTTTTAAGCGCCGTGTACCGCATCAAAAAAGGTTCGAGGTCAGTAAGCACAACCAGAATTCATACATAAGGCGCACTGTCGATTTTTGAGAAAATTAAAGGATTTTAAGTGCGCCTTATAGTGCGGAAAATACGGTAGTTAGGTAGTTAAGGTAACGACCCTACAGATGGTAGTGGATTTTGTAAAAAGAATGGAAATTGCTGTGTTAAACACTTCAAGAAGAGGGAGGAACACAGAGTGACAGAGTGGAAGAAGGTGAAGTCTGAAGGAGACACGAAAACACAACGTGGTGTCAGGGGAGAATAATTACGAACGTTGGTGGGACAGGCTCAGACTGAGCAATTTAGATTTCAGGTAGCATAATAAAATGGGAATAGCACATTGTGCCAATGACATTATCAATGACCATATGGTCATGGCTGAATGTAAAAATGTTCACTTTGTTAGACTGTACCTGGTCAAAGATGCCACACATATGTTCCAATTGAATGCGTGTCTGAGAGAGACTTTTAAATGTCTTCAGTAAAAGAATGAACCTCACTTCAGGCCATTGTGTGAATGATCACGCTGTTATTACTTGTTTGTGAATGAAACTGTATTTCTTTCTTAAACTAGAGTGAAGAGGAGGATCGGGAGCCTTTGGGATGGCCTGCCAGTCAGAAGGTGATGACAGTAACAGTGAAGAGTGTGTTTTTAGCAAATCAAGGCAATTGAGCTGTGCATGTTTTAATTATTTATGTTTGCGCTCTCTGAGCTGAAGAGCTGAAAAAAAGTCGAGGCTCAAACGTTCTTGTGTCTGTATAAGAAAAAAAATGTGAGGGCAAAACAAAGATATGAAACCTTTTTTAAAAAAAATTAAGGATCAGCTTTAAGATTTCAGTGAGTTTTGGCTCTGAGACTGTCGACGAGAATAAATGCCTGAGATCTTCAAACACCCTCACTTGAAGAGAACCATAGCTTCAGACTTTCAGACGGTTTACTTTAAATGACTCGAACTGTAGTAGTTGGCTCGGTCACCTCACAATAAAAAGATGCTGCGTTCAAATGCAGTCTGGGACCTTTCTGTGAGGAGTTTGCGTGCTCTCTGTGTCTCTGTGGGTTCTCTGACTGGGGTTAGGAGAAATGGTGAACATGGTCAACACATTTTTGTAATAGTTCAGCTTTCACTAACGGTTCTTTTTTTTAGGACACACCAAGTGACCCAGAGAGAGGTGAGGAGGAGAAACTTGCTGATGTAGCTGGATGGGTGGTGCAGAAAGTGGCTCAAGATCCAGAAGTCAGTGCTTGTACCGAATGTGAAAGTTTGCTTGTGGAGACCAATGACACAGAGCACAACTATCACACACGGATGGAGAAGGATGCCGTCTCAGCTGTGAAGAAAAGCCCAACCTCTGCCCGGCTGCTTCATCCATCCGAAGCTTTCAAAGAATGCATTTCGAAATGTGACAGCGTCATCCAAAAAATCCCCCCAAATGCAATGGCCCCGAAGAAATTAAAGGCCTACCTCAGAGCCAGCGGTGCTTTCAGTGAGCTCCACCGCATCCATCCTGCCCACTCAAAGGCCATCGAGAGGGTCGCCGTGAATAAATATGTGATGTGCAGGGTGGTGGCCGAGCTGAAGGAAACAGCACAAAACAGAAAACGCACACATGAGAAAAAAAGTGCTGCGTGTCAAGAGCTAAATGTTAGCACCCTTGAAGTAAATCAGGACTAAATAAATATAAAATGTTGTTAATTTGATAATAAATTATTTTAGGCCATTCTAACTTGTCTGTGTTGTTTCAAGCTTTCCTGCATTTGACCTAGACGCATTTAGTTTTTCAATTTCAGTTCAATTTTACATAGTGCCGTGCCCAAAGGCACTTATTGTAAGGTAAAGACGCTGTAATAATACAAAGAAACCCCCAACAATCAGCTGTTTCAGTCTCCATCGCTGTATTCTAGCTGTCCGGTGCGTGTACGTGGGTGTGCGAAGAAACTCTAGCCAGAGAAAACATGATATAAATGATTTAAATCAGTGGAACTTTTGGTTGCTTCCTTATTCTCCTTATTTTACCACAACACACAGATCCATGTATAATTTGACACCGATTTTCCATTGGATGCTATTCCTGACACAAGCCTCCCATAAACCCAAGCTTGGGCCTGGCACTGGGTCTAGCTTGTGACCCCTGAGGTTCAGTTTGTGTCTCCTGTTCTTGCACTGGGGTTCTCTTGGCTGTAATGTGAATGTGGCAACTACCAAACTAGATAACATCCAACATTTTAGTGCTACATTGAATCTGCTGGAGTGAACCAAACGTAAAGGGATCAACTGTAGACTTGGGAAAAGGAAGCTTTAACTGATCTGCTGCTTACAACTGCTGAATTGTGACTGTAAATGAATGATGGACACAGCCATGCCAACCACTGGTTTTGGCTGCAGCCTGTACTAAAAGCACAATTTCATCTTATCCAGGTAGCTTTGGGGTTAAAACTGGATTTTCTGTACTACAAAGGTGGTTCTCTTCTTACTGGGGCATACCATCTGGTCCTAGGTAACAACACATGACTTGACTTTTTTCCCCTTTTCACTGCAAACAGTTTTGTTGTTCTATAAGCATTAACATATAAACCAGCGCACCTGTTTGTACTGTACAGGTAGACTATACCTGCGTTTGAACTCTGGTTTTGTTTTCATGCTTTACTTGCTCTCAGACTATGAAACATTGGGGCTGCAGCTTTCCAAGAATAAAAACTGAGGCGACTGCTGTTATGATTTGGTGCTGCATAAATAAAATGGAACTCAATTAAAACAGTCTAATGCAAATATAAACATTAAATTAATGGACTGGTCGATGAGAACAGATCACCGCGGTCGGTTTTTATTCCTACCTTTAACTTGATGACTCTTCTCAGTCTCACATCACTACTTTATCTGCAGCAGCTGGATTACTTTCATTCTCCTTTCACGTGAACAAGCTTGTACCTAGATCAGGAAACGCTGGGTTGGTGAGTTGGATCATGTGATTCTTATCCTGACTGCTGATGTTAGCGTGAAGTCACTAAATGGAAAGATTCCCCGGGCACGTTAAGCTTTGTATTCAGCCCAAGGCTGCAAAACAAGCTCAGATCACCACACGTCCAACCACCGTTACAGGTTACAGTAAGTTTGACCTCACCTGTCCAAAGCACATTGCTACAGAAGTCTTGTGGTTTATTCACATGCAGACTTGAGCAGACAGGGATTGAACCACCAGCCTTCCAGTTAGCAGGTAACCTGTTCTACCACCTGAGCTACAGCAGTAGTCTGTCTCGCTGTGTTAGCCCTGCAGACTGGTGACCTGTCCAAGGTGTACCCCACCTCTCGCCCAGACTTACACAGCAGTCTTAAATGAAAGAAACAGATGACTCACAGGTGTGCGGGGCAGGCCAGGTAAGAATGCTCCACCCAGAGGCTGAGACTGACTGCAGCCTGGCTAACGAATCCACCTGAAAGAGAGAGAACAGGAGAAACAAACAGCCCAGCCAGCTTGCACCCACCTCATTTAATGGATGCCCCCAGTTGGCCTACCAGGTGTATCTGGATGCTGCTGTACGAGGAGGGAGGGGACGAGGATGAAGGAACAGGGAATCCAGGAGCACCCCCCTCCAGCAGCTGGAGGCCTCGGCCCAGTGACACACATCCAAAAAAATCTTTGGTCTGTGTTTATTCTCATGGAAACAGAGTAAAAGAATTTCTGTTTAACTGAACAATGTACTAAATAAATACTGGAATTTAGAAACTTTGACGTGGAATTGGATTAATATATTTTAAAGTTTAATCACTCAATACTTTAGAAGATTAATATTGTACTCTGTTTGTGGCTCCATAATGTAGTGGTTCAAGCGTTCACTTGGCAAGCAAAAGGTCACTGGTTTGATTCCAGCTGGAGACACAAATCCATTGGTAGATGTTGTAAGGACAGGACACATCACATTTGGAGCTTCCTGCTGTGGTGACACGTGACAAAGGAGCAGCTGAGTTCAGTTTAATGGAGTTAGTATGTAAATCATCTCCTGGGAGGGTCCCTGTGCATCTGTGATGCAGAAACATCATCCAACTTATTCTTCATAACTACTTTTACCTCACTGCTCTCCAGCTACGTCTTCATCCATACCAAGGTTGCTAAGCACTCGCTGTTACTGTGCTTAAGTAGGAATTTTTACACAATTTTTCTGATTTTCTCAATGAAAAAAAAGGAAACGCTCTGGTGTAATCGTCTGATTATTCTGGCGATGCACACGATTCTCAGCCAACATACCAAAAACAAAGAGACCGTAATTGTGGAACGTACAAAGCAGGACAACAAAACGCAGTTATATGAGCATTCAGCGTCTGCGTAATAAAGAAAAGATGCTTCCTGTTATTCCAGATGACGGAATTTAGTTCATCCCCACAGACCGACTACCTCAGGTGTGGCTGGCTGCTTCTTAGCTGACACACAGACACTTAGACCCACGCACCAGGCCTGTACTATAAGGACTGAGAGGGATACAGTAGTGCAATATTATATTTATTTCTTACAGTGAATTTTGGTTGCCATACAAGAAGTTTTGAGGAATTGAGGGGGGAGGGGGAAGGAAGAGTGCAGTTACAGGAAAATTCTCTCTCTTTTCATTTCAGTAATTAGTTGACTCTATGATGATTTAATAGCACAAAATTACAGCAACATAGAAAACATGAACACAAGTCTTTGCACAAATTACCGAAAACATCTTAGCCTCTATGAAGACTTAATCAATGAGTAAAATCTATTCATGGAAAAAAAAACAGAACTTAATTGATCAAAAAGAAAAGAAAAAAAAGAAAAAGTTACCCAAATGTTGGACAATGAAAGAGTGGGAGCAGTGTTTTGACGGGGAGTGGAAGTGGGTTAGTGAGCCATGCCTGTGGTGAACACGGCCCGGTGAAACGCCACGCTACGGTGATGCTCTTTAAAGATTATTACTACATCTACTCAGCTCTACATGTCCACAGATAAAAGTGCTGAGTGACCCACTGATCCACAGGAAGGGATCAACAGGCACCGCACATCTTTTTGGTGGATCTCTGTATGTATACATACACACATATATATATATATACGTTTCATATAGTTTCCTATCAACATGGCCTGCAGATATACTTTTAGAAATGTAACTTTTGTGTTTTTTAACAAAAAACCCAGACTCGGGGATTTCAAAGCCTGGGTTCAGTGGTCACTTGATTGGCCAAAGTATTACTACTGCAGTAGAGAGTGCATCTATTTTAGGCAACGCTTAATAAAACACTGACAAGTGATTGCATCATGATATGTAACTTTAAAATGGCAAAAGAAAACACAACCAAGGAGATTCAGTTAGAATAAATATTGCTTCTTACATAACCCATAAGTTTAATAATATCCACATCGCATCTACGTATATATGGTATTTCTGTTTGGCAATCCACACATCAGTGTTGAACAGTTTTTGTTCAGGTAACCTCTATAAAATTTCATAGAACTCTATACAAATCTTTAAAAATACTGTGCTTTTCTACCCCGCCTGGCACGCCACTGTACGTGTTTTGAAAAGAAGTTCAAACAGGAACAGGATTGTAGCAGCATTGTCCCGTGCCGGCCTCCGTACGGCTAATGTTCACAGAACACAGAACTTGTGTATGTTTCATTTGTCACCTCAAAAAGCAGCGCCTACGTGAAGCTGTGGAGTGCGACATGAACGCAAATAAGGGCAGAAGAAAACCAGATATATTTCCAGACACTGCTTACTGTCAAGCACATATCAACGCTCTATCTAAGAGTGCTCTGAAAAAATCTACTTGGAGAGAGCGCCTTCTATCTACGGAGCTGTGTGACTGACGGAGGTGGAGGGCGGAGGGGGGCGAGCTGGTTACAGATGATGACGGGGCAAATGAGACCAGTGCTTAGGTCATCAGGTCAGCTCTGACAACAATAAATCTATCTTCTTAGAATTTTTTTCTTCTAAACATCTGAATAGATCTATACATATAATCTAATAGACATTTTAATCCATTTAAACACTCTTATATACACGACAGCGCATACTGCACTTCTACTTCTGACTAACCCGTTATCACTGCTGGCAAACGCACCGTCTGACTTGGGTTTAAACTGGATCCTCGGTCTGAATCCTGCCTCTGCTGCGGTGAAACTATGGGACTCGAATCGAGCAGCAGTTTTCTATCCCTGTCTGCTCTCACGCCGGGCTCACACTGATGACCGCGTGCTGGCTTGGTCAAGTGATTATTCTCCGTTTCTTGCACAGTGGTTAGAATGTAGGAGACGGCAATGTGAACACATAATTATGTAAAACCCAAAGCTCGAAAATGGTTCAGCGTGATTCGATGACATCTGACTCCAGCTTGCAGTTAAGGACGTTTAGAAGAAAGTGTCCTGTTACGCCCTAAAGACAAAGAGTCTGCTTTCAGAGTCTGTGACTATTAGTTTGCTTTAGTGCTGCTTGCCACCACGAAGGACTGTTCCAGTTTTTCCATTTTGAATCTGGTCAGATTTGAACTCAAGTTAACCAAATGCACACAGTTTGTTATTATTTTCCTCATAAGCAAAAAACAGCATACAAAATGTTTCAATGATTCTTTTTTGCTCCATAAAAATGTTACTTATCGTAGCTTTTGAAATACCAATCACTGAACTGAAGTTCTTAAACGTTAGTTTGCTTAAAGCATTCTGGTATATTCAAACATGTAAAAGTTCAAAAGTAAACAAAAGAATGTTTGTAAAGGATTTCACACTGGAGTCAAACGCAACAAAACGCCATCCAGTGAGAACCTTAAGCAGCTCAGTATTTTGGGAAATACACACACTTCTTTCTTCCAGGAAGAAAATCTGCACCAGTCTTCTGTCTGTGAGTCGAGCTCAGGGAGAAATATCCACCTCAATAATCAAAGACAAGATAAAGGTCCTCACCAACAAATCTTTTCACAACCTGTGGCTCGACTCGATGCTAAGCTAACCTACTTTGCACTCTTTGCACAGAGAACTGCATGAACATCTCAGTTTTACCTACTTCTATAAGTCAATGCATTCTTCAACTGAGCAATTTAGTTAGTGTACCTGAGTTTGACTTTTTACTGTCTACACCTTCTAAAGCTGTAAATGCAGTTGTAAAAGAGAAACATTGTTTCTAAATGAGTGTCCTTTTCTACACGGAATCACGTGATATTCCAACCGATTATTATTGGATACTAACGTGTTGTGTCCGTGTATGTTTTGTCCGATATGTACGAAACCTTTTTTGTTTTATAATACAGAAAAAATGATCCTTCAGTGATCTAGAAACACGTGTGTGCTCTAAATAGGACTGACGTTTAAAGTAAAAATACTGATATTCACTAGTAACTGACGTGAGTGGCTGTAGCTCAGGAGGTAGAGCAGGTCATCCACTGATCGGAAGGTTGGTGGTTCGATTCCTGGCTTCCCCTAGTCTACATGCCAAATATCCTTGGCAAATTGCTCTCCGATGCATCCATGTGAGTGTGTGAATGTTAGCTATACATTCACGCACATCTTAGAAAGGTGTGCTTGGGTGAATGCACAAGTTGTGTAAAGCACTTTGAGTGCTCAGATGAGTAGAAAAGCGCTAGAACCAGTCCATTTACCATTTACTTAATCTTTGGATTAAGTGTAATGCTTCCAGCATGTCTGTCTCATAAAGCAAACACTTTACCAGACAGATGATTTACCAGTCCAGTATCTGGTACTGAGTTAGAACACCTGGGTCCTGTACCACAGCAAGTTCTACACAACCAACTTTCCATTATGTGGATTCACTCATCCTAACATTAGCAATAAGGATAAGTGGTCACTCAAAGCTGGTTATCAACTCCCAAAACTAATTTAGGGTTTCATCAGCACGGGTATATGAAAGGAGTGGTGTTGGCAGCATTTGACCAATCTGAAAGGAGCATTTCACTGGTCATATATGAGTCTTCTTCCACACAAAACGATCCCTGTGAGTGTCACCCACACCAATCAGATGATGATAAAAATCTAACAGCAAATGCAACATTGCTGCAAATAAGATGGGACAGCAGTGCTACAAAGCATGAATCTGGTGATTTCTCGCACACAGCTGCAACATTTATATTATTCCTGAATGCTCTCTCCATGCTGCTGTTTGTTTTTAAGGTGCACTTTAAAGATCTGAAACGTTAAACAGGAGTCATTTAAACATTAAATGTTACTGCCCACAGCCTGATAAAGGAGAAATGAATCTGACTGGTTGAACAGGTGCTCTTGTTGGGCGATCTTCATCCCAGTAGCTGCAAAAGATATCTCGCAGCAGATCAGAATCAAGTATAACAACATTTTACACGTTTTCTAAATCACCAAATTTATATGCGCACATTCGGGGGACAATGGGAAAGTTTACGCTTCATTCTGTGGTTGTAGGTCCAGCTTAACAAGCTGCACATGTAAAATGTGTTTCCCCAGCAGAGAATCTACAATCTGTAACCTTCTCCTGACAGTTTTAGTTTTTATTCCTTCAGTTGCAGACTCAGTGCTGTTTAAGGGGTTTGACAGATTAAATATAAAAACAGTTCAAAGGCTTAATGTGTGCAGAGATGTCATATGAGGACAGCAAGTACAGTGTAGGTGTCCTGTTTTAGGATGCAGCTGACGGATAAAACATTCAATTATAAAGTAATATCTACAAATCTATATTTATTTCTGATAATCATCAGGGAAGCGCAGAGACATTAGGCACTGCTGAAAGACTTTAGTCCCTCCTACTCTGCCTGTAGAGGTCAGAGGGATCCTGCTATTTTCTGGAGAATTGATTGGTCAGTAGCCAATGACTTAGGTGGACATCGTAAGTTACCATAGCGATGTACCCCAGTATGATGTCAACCACCTTTGCACTACAGAAAACCAAGAGTTAACCCAGAAGTTACTTGGATGGCCTAAAATCCTGCTGCACAGTACAGGCTTCTGGTGGCCTTCTCTCATTTTTGTGATTTAACGATGCAAACAGCCTGTAGGTGCATTACTGCTGTCCGGTGTTATATCCTGCTAAGGACCAGGAAAAACAAGGGAAATGTATATAAACAAACTACAGGATGATGTCTCCTAGCTTGGATCCAGTGTAAGAATCCTGTCAGCACTATCTGCAGTACATTTATCAAAGTAGCAAAGCCGAGTAGTTGGTACTAGTTTGTGAAAGACAGTCTCTCTCTTGAAATGACAAAGTTCCAGTTGAAAGTCAAACTCATGTGAAAAACTTGACCATCTTCTCATCATCCCACACAGTGGAAGCTTAGTAAGGTTTAGACCACCTTACATTTGTTGGTTGATAGTTTTCCTTTGTTTGAATAAATGCGTGTTTATGCGTATCGATGTGTCATATCTTCTGCTCTCATTGAAAGTGAGCATAAAACAGGTGGACGGATGTTTTGCATTTCACTCCAGCTCTCAGCGACCAGTAAGAGAGCGATATCGATCTTTCTATTTCACAGCAAGAAAGCGAGTAAGTGGATTTCCCAAAATAATGCACGAATGCTAGAAACACACAGTGTAATAACCACTCTGTTCTACCACTTACACACAGGGTGTCTGGTACGTTAGCGTTACTGTGGGCCATACTGTGGGCAGGTGCCGACCTGCTGTAAGTGAAGAAGATTTGATGGTAAAAATACAAAAAGTAACACTTTTCGTTTCTCTATAAGTGCCCTATATAGCAGATTCATAGAAATAGTTAAATGGACCTTAATGATATTTTGGGTGAACTATTAACACACACACATGCACACAGAAGTAGGAAAGGAAAAACCGAGAGAGGAGAAGGACGCACTCTCAGCGAAGCTGGCACAACCATTTTCCTGTTCCAACATCTGTACGTCCATCTTGCATCCTCACCTTGGTTTTTCTTGAGTCACGAGGTGGACACCGAGCAGGTGCGGACTGCCGCAGGACTTCACGGACCCAGCTCGGGCGCAGCTCCTCCTCTGGTGACCACCCCTCTCCACACTTTGATCTTTGTCAGGGAAGAAGGCCATCGCAGTAACTACACGTGTGTAAGTGCTCAGGATGTAAAGACTGTGTGAAATCTCATTCGTCAGCTTGTGGCACTGTGCAGAAAGTGTGTGTGTGTGTGTGTGTGTGTGTGGATATGGTTTAGTATTAGTTAAACATGTCAGCAAATGCTGTTGTTTTGACACAAACAGGTGAAAAGCAAAAAAGAACAAAAAAGAACAAAAATGAAGTCTATCTCAAATTGTTCTCTACAACCTTAGATGCACCCAGAAATATAACTCCGGTAGGACTCTAGTGAAGAAATATTCTCTGAACAAACTCTAGCAAAGATAGAAAAGGAGCAACGACCAGCTCAGCTGGGTTTTCATGCACCCACACCGGGGTGTATGGAAAAAGTCTTGAGTATCCAAAGCAGTCAGGTGACCACGAGTCTTTGTGTGAAGAAACTTCCAGACAAGTGTTTTTTCCCAGTGTTTCCAGAATATGTTGTTTTCTTTACAGTCCCACATACTGTCCTCCTTTCTCTCGCCTTGATTTGACATAGCAGCTATTCTCTTCTTTCTCCCCCTGCAGTTCCCCCAAACATCCCATGATCCCCTGATGCTCAGGACAGTGGGAAGCAGGAAGAGGGCGAACAACACTGGAGCACTGAGATGAGGCCGACAGCGGAGGATGGGAGGAGACATACACAGCAAGAGGCAGCATCAGCTTGGACAAAACTTCCACCCGGTTCCACGTCTTGAGATTATGTCTGATGAAGAGATTGGTAAAAGTGATTCGTGACACCTCCCTCTCCTTGGCCCTGACTCCACACGTCGCCAGCCCGTCACCTCGGGGCTTGTCTGTCCTGCAGCAGCTTGAGGGCCCTCTCAATGTTCATGCGGTGGCCCACTCTTGTCACGCCCAGGTCTATCAGGTCCTCCTTCTGCAGCGAGGGCAGATGAGCACCCTCGATCTCATTGTCCAGGAAAGCGTCCCTGTGCTCCCCCAGGTTGAGACTCTCCAGCCAGTCCGCCACGTCGTGCTTGCTCCACAGCTCCATGGGTTTGGAGGCGAAAGGCTTGCCTGAGGCTGCCACGGCCTGCATCAGCGTAAGTGGAGATGGAGAGCGCGAGCTCCCGCTGCCGCCACACGAGGAGCTCAGGCTGTAGCCGCCGCCGCTGCCCAAAGGTGGGGTTGGCAGGCCGAAGACGTCTGTGAGGGTGGGCGACACAGAGGGAGGCAGTGAAGAGCAGGGGGTGAGGGAGGACGCCGAGTCTGGAGGGCTGCAGGGGTGCGTCTGGGATGGGAGACTGCTGGGAGGGGTGGAGGTGAGGGTGGTAGCGGCGGCAGCATTGTTACGCATTCCTGAGTCATCGGTAGGAGGCCTAAGAGGGACAAAGAAGAGATGAGCGGTTAGTTCGGGTCAGACTGAGCCAACATAAAAGCCTGACATAAATAACACAGCAAACACTTTGCATTTCTTTGGCACTTTAAGGAAACGTGCAATAAATGTGCAACTGAAATCATAATTTGAAACCTGGATTAGATCTTAGTCAGACTCTATTCAGTCCAGTTCTACGTTTACAATAACATGTGGTTGCCACAGGTTGCTAACAGAAGCTAACAGCAAAGGCTCGAAGTATCACAGATTAAGAAAAACCACTTTGCAACATGAAGGTAGGTCAGGACCCTTGAGGATGCAGGCGTATCACTGTCACAGTCTGCAGTGTAGAGACTCCATGAAGGGAGAGTTTACCACAAAGTGCAAAACACTTATTATCCTCGAGGCCAGGAAGGCCTGGTTACACTGTGACTGCTGGCGCTCATGCTGCAAAACTGACTGAGCAATGACTCAAAGCAATTCTTCAACGGCATACTTTTCAGTCACTAAAGACTTGCAAATAGTGGAATAGTGCAATACTCCAAAAGACCACAAGGTGGCACCATATGCAAACAGCAGGTACACAAAGTCTGAGGCCATTTTCCAGTTCTCTGGTTATTTAGTTAGCTACTATGAACTTGTTAGTGTATCTTTGAACTAACACACCATTATTGTAATATGAGCACAAGATGTGATCATTAAGATCAGGTGAAAAATCTAGATTTTCTTCTTCTGAAAATGATTTAATGCAGAAATATTAAAAGTACATCAGTAATGCATTTCTCTTTAAACTGCGTATCTCTGATGATTTAACGAGTATTTAGTAAAGCATTAAGAAAATAAAGAGAAGCTGAAGTGAAACTAATAGTAAATACACCATAGTTGTGGGTATGAGCTGGACCGGTAAGCTCACCACATGTAAGCTGGAACAGGTCCCGATGACCAGCTGAAGGCTGCTTACAGCTAATGGATTATTCTCACTTTTGCATTAAATTTGGGATCTTCGAATAACATTTCTTTCGGCTGAAATTCATTTTTTAAGAACTCAAGTAATTTCATTCAACCAAAAAAGCCCATACAGCCTTCATTCCTTGTTGCAGAAAGGATTTTCTAGGCCTCTTAATATGTATGTGCAATGGCTTATCACATGATTATGACATAATTAGTATAGCAGCTTTAGTAACGAGTGAGTGCAGGCTTCAGCATTCAGAAAAAGATGCTGCATGCTGAGAGTGCCGCAGCCCGAGGGAAGCCGGCAGTGTTCACACCACCCATTGGCTCTTAATGGATGGATGTCTACCACAACAATGTGAGGAGGGGAAAGGTTAGCCACTCTCATCTTTTTATAGCTATTACAGCATGAGAGAAGCTAAAATAATAGAATAATGAAGTTGCCTTTTCGACCTGAAAAATGTACACTGTCAGCAAAGAAATATTAATCAAATTTCCTCTGAAAGAGGCACAAACATTTCAACTTGTTAGTTTCAGACACTGTGCTCCAAAACAGTCACAGGAAATTGAAACAGGGAAGCTTAATGCTAATTCTTCTTGGTGTTGTGGCTTTATTTAAAGCACATAGTTGAATAAGCGTAGACCTCATTATCCTAGTAATAATCCCGGCTGTCACAGTACTGGAAGATGGGATCATGATACACTATAGCTCACATTTGTACCATGTTTTCAGTCTTGGCTTGAGAATTGCTAAACTTTACTTTACAGAAAGTTGCAGTATAAATTGACAACTCACAGCTGAGAAAAGTGCAAGAAGGTCTTTACACAGTCTGCGGTGTCTTTCTTATCGTCACCAAATTCCATCAAATGACCAAAAACAAAGAACGCATCCCACTGTGTGTGTATCAAACCCCGCGCCCTCCCGAGGCGTAATATACCAACGATTTGTCAAGTCCCAAGGTGACCTTCTGCGTTCTTATGCTACGCGCCGGTTTATGGATGAAATCCAATAGAATGACGCTCCCGCGGTTTACACGTTCCAGCCTTGTATTCCAGCCCTAACCTTAGCCAGCACTTTAATGACGTTAGATAGTGTTTTCCAAAGTGATTTAAGTAAAACGAACATACATATGTGGGTTCATTCCAAACGGTTCTCATGTTTCCTCATTTTCCCGATCTCGTAATAAAGGGACTAGAGTTGAGGCTCAGGTGTGAAATGTTTGGTTTTCAGGGTTTTTATTTTGTTATCGTTTTTATCGTTAGCTCTGTTTTCCTGGGTCTTTTCATGTGTGTTATGAATAAATCTTCTTTTTTTCGGTACCGGTACTAGTTTCATTTTGTTGTATTTATCCGCGACACCTTAAAGGCCGGTCCATGAAAATATTGTCGGGCATAAACCGGTCCGTGGCGCAAAAAAGGTTGGGGGCCGCTGATATAGCAGCATATAGGAGCATTCCTAGACTTCTGTTAGCCAGCTGGTCTGGTTATGGTCGCTGAATAAATCTTAACCCTGGCAAACAGCCAGTGTCAAAGAATTTATCAGCAAACTCACCTTAAAAACTAAACAGCACCATACAAGAGTCATTGAGCAAAATACACAAAAATAACAGCATAAGATAGAAACTGTACAAACAGGACAGATGTGAAGTGATCGTTGCTGCGTGGATAACAGTGGTAGGCTTCTGTGCTCACCCAGAGCTCCGTGCCTGAGATAATCGTATCATATCCTCTACGTCTAAAGCCGGAGCTTTTCATTCACAGGGATCATTTGTACATTTACTGGCCTCGTTATATATATGTATATGTTTAATATGAGCATTCACTACTCACACAGCATATATACATGACAGAAAATGCGACCCTTTCTGCTCAACTTTCTGCTTCACGTCTGTGCAGAGCCTGAATAATGCTGTGGGAAAAACGATGTAAGACTGTCACACAGCTGTGTACCAGTGTCTTAGACGTGCAACAAAAGCCCTCATTTTTGCACAAAAAGTAGGCGATGGATTGGCTGATTCTCTCAGCCTGCTTTGAATTGGTGTGTTCATTGTTGCCACTTTTTCCCCTGTTGTGCTAATTTGAATGAACAAAAGCAATTTTATTGTTCCTGTACTGAAGAGAAAAACAAACAAAGAAAAAAACAATTTAAAAACAGCTTCACTGGCACCCTGGTTACTGAAGGCAGTCATTGATCCACATCTTTGAGTTGGCCAAGACTTCGTGCTGGACGCCTGTCCTGAAGAAACCCTCAGCATTTGGCCTCGCTTGGGTCTGCCACTAGGAATATGCCTCCTTGTGACTGGGCCTTTCACATGACACCCTACTACTCTGACATCTTTTACTTCCTACATAGTAAACCTGATGAGGTTATCCATTTAGTTGATGCAATCAGTGAATTGTGGTAGATTCTAAGACTTGATTTTCATCCACAATAAACTGGAAGAAAATTTAGCTACCTGAAGCAACAGCTGGCTGATGCTCCTGAAGTGGGAATGGTAATATGCAAACTGCCGTGACCAGTAATCAGTGGCCATGACAATTTGCCTATTAAAACTGATGAAACTGAGCTCATGGCGCACTCTTGGTTATTGGTGTAAGTTTTGGTCATTATGCAAATGTGCTGTTGAAGAAACCTGCTGTCAGCTGAGACCGAAGAAGTCGTGTGGAGGAGTAATTAAAGATTCCTCTCACTGAAAACGCTGCGTCCAGATGAACAGAATGAACTTTCTGGAATGGTTGAAGCTAGGCTGAGAAGAAGGTGAGGGTCAGTGAGCAGTAGTGCGGCTTCCAGCTGAAAATAAGCACTGCAGATGTAATGTTTGCTTTGAGAGTGTTGACAGAGAACTATGTGGATCTAGAGAAAGCATACGATAGGGTGTCAAGAGAGGAGCTGTGGCACTCCAACTGGAAGTCATAGAAGTACGTGAAGGTCTTGCAGGACATGAGGACAGTGAGATAATGGTGACAGAAGTGACTGATGAGTTCAAGGTGGAGGTGGAATTACATCAGGAATGATCTTTGGTGTTGGAGAGACTGACAGCTGAGGTGAGGCCAGTGTAGCCGTGAAGCTGCAGCGAGCAGAGCTGCGCTGATTACAAGGAGCTGAGAATCACACGCAAGATGTGGTGCAGTGGGAATGTATATTCTGAAGAAAATCCTTATGTCACCGTTCAACCGAGCCAGTTATTAAGTAACCCGACATCACAACAACCAAAAACAAACACACACAAGTGTGTGCTGTGTAAATCTGAATGAGTAAGAAGCATCACCATCACACATTACCTGAGGCTCCAGATGGAGGGTTGTGACGGCCATGCTGGACTGTGGAGCAGTGAGACACCCCCCACCCCCACACCTCACCACCACAGCACACAAACACACATCAATCCATGCAGAACCATCATACCTTAATTCAGTTTCCCCTGTTGAGTCCTCTGCTAATAGATTGATTGAATTGTCAACACACAGTTTGTGCGCACACTGACTGACTGCACTGAGAAACTGCGCCAGGAGGCAGAAAGCAGTCCAAATCTGACCTCTGCCCTGTCAGACGGACTTTTCCCATCAATTTCTCTGTGCTATGTGTAGCCTAGATATTGTTCTTTCCTACTTGTAGCATATGGAAAGGCCCGAGGGGAAGTGAAGTAGACTAAGGGGGTCCTTCTGCCAAAATGGAACTAGGCCAAAGTTAAAGTGCTGCTTCCCTGCTTCTTAGTAAATAAAACTTTCACTTTATCACAGCGCATGTTGGATGGATGAGATGGAAACAGAGGACACCATGTTGACCACAGAGAAAACTGCACACATGAAAGACAAAAGAAGAACACCACATGTTTTAGAAACAGGTTTTACTCCACTGAAAGGTTAAAAATACTTCATTCGAAGCCTTCCCAGTGTTTCTCTAATTGCTCTTCTATCATCTGTGAAAGACTTTTTGTTGCAGGTGTTAAACTGATGTGAAAAGCATGTAATTGGCTATTAAGGCTGATTAGCGCAGGGTCTTCTTTAGCTTCGCTGACCTTAATTCCATTTCTTGCAGCTACAAAGAGTAGCACATGAAAAGCCGAGCACAGCGCTCTGCTGTGTAGCAAAGTACTGTGGATTGCATAACCTCGGGAGCCATCCACGATTTATATAGTCCAGATTAAGTTATGAATTTTATATTCTGAGAAAGCCGGACATCACACTTCCTGTCATAAGTCCCAATAGCTCCATCATGGGTAGAATTTGGGGGCACTAAATAGGTCTAAATTCCATACAGAGGCATTGTTAAGCCAAGTCCAGCCAAGTAACTGACAACCATATGGAAGCTAAGGTATTTACTCTATTGTTGGAAAAAAGGTAGAACAGTGATCACTCCCTAAACATGACACAGAGAAATCGTGCATTGAAGAAACCTCACCCTGAGCCTGTAGGCCAGGGGTGTCCAACTCCAGGCCTCGAGGGCCGGTGTCCTGCAGGTTTTAGATCTCACCCTGGGTCAACACACCTGAATCAAATGATTAGTTCATTACCAGGCCTCTGGAGGTCATTTAGCCATTTGAATCAGCTGTGTTGCATCAAGGACACATCTAACCGGCACTCAAGACCTGGAGTTGCCCCCCCTGCTGTAGGCATGTGGCTGAAACATTACACCAGGCACTTACAGTCCAAAGACATCAGTGTTAGGTTGTTTGGTGGATCGTAACTGGCTGTAGATGTGAATGCAAAGTAGATGAAGTCCTGTGTGGATTGAATAAATTTCTGTATGAATATTTGTGAACAAAGTAATGTGGCTGGGCCCAGAGAAGCACTATAGAAATGCAGATGTTCAGGTTATATTAACTAATGTAAGTTAATGTAACCTGAATGTCTGTGACCTGTTTGCCCAACGATCACTCAATCCAGCCAAATACAAATCTTACACTCTGCATTTCTCCCCCACACATAAGCACCACGAACACGTGGCCTCTGCTGAGCACAGGGACAGTGCTTGCTTCCCATCAGCTGAGTGACTTTGGTACAAGATGATGCAGTGCTATTGATATCGGTGGTGGGAGACCTCACCTTCACCACGCCCACGCATCGCATGACACCCTTCGTCTTTCTAGCACACACCGGCTCATGCATACAGGGTCGCGCTCACTGCCATGCACAGAAGCCTTTTATAGAAGCCTTTAATACGCACTCTCACACACAGACTGACACGGGTTACGTAAGGATGGCCTACAAAAGCAGCGCAGCACGTGACCTGCGTGAGATGATGCTGAACTCTGCCGAGGGTTAGGCCTGCCATCTCTTGCTCCATCTCTCTCTTACACACATGCACGCACACGCTCGCATATAAATCTGCACCCCTCCCCCGACTCAAACTGACATCACTGCAGGCCTCAAGGCTGCTCTCATCAGGCGGTTACTAGGCAACCGTTTCGTCCACAGGCACAACCAACGCACATTTAATCTGGGAGACCAGGAGAGAGAGAAGTACAAATATCCAGAGAAGAAAATCTGATGTTATCACCGCTTCTTTGGCTGATTCCAACATACCAGAGAAGACAGAAAACCGAGAGAGGGAGAGAGCTGTAGAGTGTGCACAAGAATGAGCGAGAGAGCAAAGGATGCAGTGACAGAGGGAGAGCATGTGTGAATCTAGGCCATGTTCTGTGCATTTCTGTTGCCATCTGTTTGACGGTCACAGAAACAGGAGCACCTTCACCCTCCTCGGGCTTCTTCAGATGACGAGGCGCTCTCTAGCTGCCTACAACCGTATATTCTGCTGCGGCGCTTGGCAGCCTTCTCCACCACACTAAGTAACGCAGGCAATGCAGGCAGATAATCAGAGACCCTGGTGTATACAACAGAGCAGGGTTTAAGCTGACACGAGAAACAAATGCATCGGTGCGACGATTGAAAAGCAGTTACAAATAACTCACTGACTTTGGCGAGAGCGCTGCAGTCACCTCTAACCGAGGAAACATCTGGCTCTTAGATCCAGTAAAGGAACTGATCTGAACACATTTAGGTTTTTATCTTGTAGAGAAGATAAAGCTCATCCTGTCTCATCCACAGATATCATCTCTAAATGCTGTTCTGTAAGTATCGGTGTTTTTGCTGATGAAGGCTTTAGTGGACCTCTGTGTAGCCACTGATGTGATTTTATAGGAATAAACGAGGTTTGCTTTTACATTTTAGAGACATTTTAAGGAATGCAAGATTCATTTGGGACATTCAGCCCCTTACATGCTGTTTCATCATTCTGCATTGAGTGGCTTTTCACCTGTGCAAGTGGTTTTTAACACAGGACATTTCTACATTTGTAGACCTTTGTAGACTTTTAGTACGAAAGTACGAAAAAAAAAAGTGTCTTACCTTTTCTTAACTTTGATCTCTAGTACCTTACTGTTTCTATTGTTCAAATGACAACTGTACTTAGTTCCTCTGTTTGTCACTAACAAGCTCCATGTAGACCAACCCTTTCTGCAACTAAATACTCTACATTTTAAACAGCATATCATTTTCTATACCATGTCACATGGCAGAAATACATACGATCACATAAGTGAAAACAGGCCTTTGATGGAATGTCGGATGATGAGGGAACCTACCTGTGAGAGTGGGAGACACAGAGGGGCATGAAGAAAGGAGAGGTGAAGGAACAACGGGAGACTGGAAAAAAATGGAGATGAAGCTGGAAAGGCGTGAGCTGGAATGAATACAGAAGTTAAAGGTCAACAAACACGACTTTAAGCTGCAGAGGATGACGATGAGGATAACACGACAGCGTGTGGAATGAAGCATGAAGGGAGGAACACAGAGCTGGACCTACTGGACCTGCTGCTGGGCATCCTGCTGCAATTACCCCAAATGGACACCGCTGCGTGGAGCTAATAGTGTTTATTAAATCAGAAAGCACAAGTGCCCAGAGGAACAAAAACCTTCGTGGCACTCTCTACAAGTCTCTGATGAGTGATGGGATTGTTCATACAAAATGCATGCAAGCAGTGAATTATTTATCGTGCTTTTTATTCCCTCTCACAGGAGTGAGATGTGGGTTAAAAAAATGAAAAATGAAAAAACATGAGGTTGGCTGATTCAGGCGCAGTTTCCATCAAAATGTTGTTCCAGCTTGTGTCAAGCACAACGCTTGCTTTGCTAACTGATCATTCTTTAACCATCAACAGGTACAGCTGTGGTCAAATGTTTAGGCAGCGGCACCACTCACAAAACTAATTTTATATTTATTTGCCAACTAATGCCTTTGTGGCTGTTCAACAAACGAGCTACGTGCACGGTGCTCTGTGTTTCTCACATGGACATTTACTGTAAAATGTGCCAGCAAACAGAAGAAATGTGACATAGAGGAGGATTAAGCTAAATAGTGAAATAAATCAGGTAGTAGAGGCGTCATCTACTAACGGGAAGGTTGGTGGTTCAATCCCTTGGCTGCTCCAGTCTAAATGCTCAATATCTTTGGGCACGATACTAAGCCTACGTTGCTCTCTGATGCATCCATCAGTGTGAATGTCAGCTCAAAAGCACTTAACCATAGAAATAACTGCGTGTGTGAAAAAGGCGAGTAAAAAAGCACTAAATAAGAACCAGTCTCTTTACATTCCCAGTGAGGAATCCCACAGTAACTCTTCCATTAAATCTTCAGAAAATTCCCACTGCTACCACAATAAAGTGAAATCTCACGGTGACCAAATATTATCACAAGAAATGTTCAACATGGCTGACTGACGTCAGCAGGTGCTTTATTCTGGAATGTGATGCATCCATACATCATGCACGGATGAACAGAGTGTAAACCAGAACAGGCATACTACCATTTCAAACAACACATGTAGCAAAACCCTGCAGCCACACACAGTTCACAGAACAAGCTGATGTTCCTCCCAATCCCATAATCCTTTTGGGCTCTTCTGACAAACACAACAGCTATAATCAACAATGAAAACACAGGTAACAGCTGGAGTCACCGGACTACACAAAACCAAACTTGTCACAACAAAAACAGAAAAATGAGTTCAAATTTTCACTAATCACTAGTGCTGCCAGCGTTAAAATGACGTTAGCGCCATAACCGCATTAACGCAGCAAATGTCCGTTAGCGAGTTAGTGCAGATCGCCCGGTGCGTGGGGCTGGACAGCACATGTTAACGAGCTAACTGCGCTATCGTGTTGACGCCGTGCAGCCCCACACACGGGGCAATCCGTGCTAACTCGCTGACGGAGATTTGTCGCATTAATGCGGTTATTGTGTTAAGATCATTTTAACGAGACTAACGCTGACAGCACTACTTTTCACATATTCTTTTCACCACTTACTCTCTACTCACTGTCAAACTCAACACTGACATCATCATTCTACTCCAATTATACTCCTGCTCGCCTTCTACAAGCCAATCAGGGTTTATTCTGTGTGCCTTGTGTGTACTGTGGTCATCATCCAATCCTCCATCTTCATCATGAGCAACGTCTAGACTCTGGAGGGGGGGGTTCTTACTTATCAAATACTGCATCTTAATAAAGCAACTTCATGTTCTTCCAAATTGTCTTGGACTACTTCGGACTATTTTCAGATTTAGCCTAAGCATTCATGGATGCCTGGTTATAATCAGTGGTGATCAATAATTAGTGGATCAGCTTATAAGCCAATATGCATGAAATTTTACAGCTTTCTAGAAGCTAAATTAGACAGAAAATGAGTTTGCTCAGACTCTACAGTGAATAAAGTTCTTACGTAACTAAGCACTAACATGAAAAAGGTGCAAAATAAACAAATGACACATGAACAAAATCTAAACAACAGAAGATAGGAAAAACTAAAGTAAGGAATGACTTCACATACCTTGTTCCGAAGCCCCCTCTGGTGCCTGTTGGGGAGTCAAGGCTTTCTCCTGGCTTGTTTGGCCTGTCGCGATTCATATGCTGTAGAATGGTGCTCAGCTCAGTGATAACTGTGTTCTTGGAGTCTGGTGTGGATGGGGGGCTGCGTAGCTCAGGGGGCTGATCACCCCACAGCTTGGAGGTCCTTTGAGTAGGAGTCCTAGGAGGTTCAGAGGACGAGGGAGGAGGGAGAGGGGCCTGAGGCGGTGACCCATAAGACTCTGGTGGCTCTTCAATGAGAGCATCGTGATAAAGTGACGTTCTATTAATGACAGACTTGCTCTTGGGCTTTGGTGGCACAGGGGGCCGATCCACCAGGAAGGCGTGACCGTCTGCAGTGGCATAGAGGCTCTCCAAAGCACTGTCACAGAAGCCTCCTTCTGATGACAGGGTGGAGATGCTAGACACTGTGCTGGTGGTCTCCATGTGCTGAGGATCCCCACTACTGCGGCTGTCCACCTCTTCAATGCCTGAGTCACCTACCCCTGATTCTGGGTCAGGTGGAGGGGCATACGAGGGGGGCATATTGTTTGCCAACCTTCTGTGTTGATCAGTGACAGGTGGTGGGGCATGAGGGTGGTATGGGGGTAGAGAAGGCCCCCCATTCCGTCTCTGTTGCTGAATCATCTCTGCAATGGCACTAGCCTGGTCATCAGGAATGTCAATACTGTTTGCAAACTCCAGAGGTGGGGGGAGGGGTTCTGAGAACTCAAATTCTTCATCAATGTCAACTGAGGCCAGAGGGGGAGGAGGGATGCGAAAGGGCAGTTTTACAGGTTCGTCCATGGATTCGCCTAAAGGAATGCTCCTCCTCCTTAATGTGGGTGGCTGTGGAGTGGACAGTGTTGAAGAACTAAGAGGATCAGGCTGGTTTGGATCTTTCAGCTCAGACGGTCGGTTGCTGTCCTGCCCCTCGGCCTCTTGGTTGTTCGCCTTGTTGCTTATGTCTGTGCTGGTGTGAACCATCAGTAATCCAGCTGACTTGGGCTGTGATGTGTCTGCCACATCTGCTGGTGCGCTTTTCCTCTCTTCAAGTGCCTGATGCTGCCGCTCTTCCCGTGCTCCATCAGACTCGTACTTCTGCTCTGTCATTTGTCTTTGAAGGCCACCTCGGCCAGGCCGTCCCATTGTTGCCGTGGAGATTGCAGCAAAACTCGTCTCGATTCCAGAGCGGAGTTTGGTGTCAATAAATAGAGGCTGGTTGAGGTCAGGTTTGTGACTTTGCTGAACTGGCAGGGACTGGGCTTCATGCTTGGGGGTTTGTTGAACCTGAGGATTATTTTGAGACTGATTCTGAGGATGGTTTTGTTGCTCTTTCATGGCCCGGTCACGAGCTGCAAGGGCCAGAGCTAGTGGAGAATTAGGGTCCAACGGCTTGCCAGTGACAGGATGGAGGTAGGTTCCATTGGCCCTGTAGTGGCTCTTAGGAGGAGTGGCTGGGAGGCTAACAGGACTGTCCAGGTTGGGACACTGCCCTGTTCTAGTGTTTAGTGGCTCCCAAACAACTGTGGGCTCAGGAGTGTTGAAATCTGTCATATTTCCACTACCGCCACCAACAGGGCGACCGAGCTGCTTTGCCAAAGGAGGGGCTAATATCCTTTGAAGACGCTCGTCGCTGCTGAACATGCCTTCATCGATGGACTTGGACTGGCGAAGGCGAGGGGTTGGCGTGGGACCACTCAAGTCATCATCCCCGATGTCTATTGACTGGAAGGCAATCGAGTTCTTTTTTGCCTCGAGCCTCTTTTCGCGGTCCCGTACTGCTCCAGCAATAGCTGCTGCAAAGGGGTTGCTTAGTGAAAGGGGGTCTTCAGGGCGTAAACCTCCACTTCCACCGACAGCAGGTGTGAGAGGCGGGTGTTCAGGGGTTGTAGGCTCAATTTCCATGCTGCTACCCTGGCTGCTCTTGCCACTGCTGCTAGTGGATGGCTCCTTTACAATGATGGTGGGAATAGGGATAGAGGAGCATGTTCTTTCTACAGGCGTAGTAGGCATGGAAACTGGGCCTGATGGACTTGTTGGCATGTGACACGTCTTCTCTGGGCTGTCTTCCACGTTAGACTGCTTTACTAACATACCCTTCCTTCGGGCTGGTTTTGCTGGCACATACAGCGTCCTATTGCCCACCTCTGAATACGGGTTCTCAGGCACTGGCGTACGCCCCCGAGTTCGTGTGCTCTCAAAGTGCTCAGAGCTCTGACGGAAATAGCCACGCCTCAACGTACCGACGTCGGTGGTCCGGCTTATGGTCGTCACTGCATTGGGCGAGTTTTGGGTAAAGCTTGGTCGTGTTGTGCCATAGCTCTTGGGTGTAGGTCCAGCAGCTGAGTTGTAGGCAGGTGGTGAAGGGGGTGAAATGGCTGGGGGAGGAGGGATGTCCTCTGAGGTGTCAGGCATAGAGAGACTGCGTGAGAACTTGAGTAGGGGAGGTGTGAGGAATCCCTGTTTCTCATCCTCCGATGTACCTTGAAGAAATGGAGCAGAAGGAATAATTATCTCAGGACCTAGGGGAAACATCCCTTTGTTTCACTTCCTGCTTGGCCCCCTAGTTCCAAAAGAAATGCCTTCTTTAGCTCTCTCTGGTTTTATTTATATATGCAGGAAAGGTTCCTGAAATTTGTGAGAGGCCAGATAGATGTGAAATGTAACTGCTGTTTCGACAGTAAGTAGGAATATTCTCACCAATTGAAATGTTCAATCTGGAAATCAGGACAGAAGTTATGTAGCTGTTATTACAGAAATAAGGGCAAATGGCCTGCTACTTATCCAGGCCTTTTCCACGCTGAACACTCAAAGCACGTTTTCAGTACAAGACTCATTCACCAAGCACACAAGCACCTTTTTCTATACCTTAGCCCGCTGTCTAACGGTCGCAAAACACTCACACTCTGATGAATGCATTGGGTGCAAACCAGCATTCAATAGCTTGCATGAGTACACGCAGACTGGAGGACCCAGGAAGTGAACCACTGACCTTCCAATTAGTAGAAGACCTGCCCTACCTGCTGAGCCTCAGCCACCCAGAGGAGCTGATGGCTCAAATTAGCTCAAAAATTCACATCAATTTCCTGTTTTTGCTAACATATAATACCAGAAATAAAGGTCTATGTGGGTAAAATCTATGTCTAGTCCAGTATCCAGTTTTAACTTTTACATTAAGATATAAAATTTGCACCAGAGTTTTAAGAGTCTACTCTGTAGGTACAAACCACAAAGCACCCACCGAGTAGTACCATTGAGTACCCTTGAGGATGCAGCCTCGTGACAAGTCTCTATACCGTTAACCCTTTCACGTTAACCCTTTCAGTGGTCACTAGGGTTGGGCGATTGGACGAATATATCGACTTTTTTTTAGTGCTGTCAGCGTTAACGCGCCGTCATCACGACTAACGTGATCAATAATTAACCCATCTGGAGCGCAGACGGAGTCAAAATCCCTGAAATGTCTCTGCCAACGCATTTGGGGCAGTTTGTCCAGAGCTTGTTCATTCTGTGCTCCAGATGGGTCGAGCGCATTAAAAAATTTAATCGCCTTAATCGCGATGAATGCTTTAACGCTGTGTTAATGCTGACAGCCCTAATTTTTATAATTTATAAAATTGTAAAAAAATAAATAAATTATTTTTTAAATTATAATAAAAAATAATAATTTTTAAATTAGTTTGTCCATGTTTTCTTGTAATTGTTACAGTATTGATGGTATACTTGCACATAAACCACTACATTGGACACTGATGTGCTGCTCCATGCACATCAGTGTCCAATGTAGTGGAAAAGTACATGTTTAAAAAAAATGAAGTTCAAATAAAAAATCCTGTTTGAGGTTGTCATAATTCATGCATGAAAGGGTTAAAGGGACAATAAGGTCCTTAATTTTCAGAGAGTGTAGAGAAGAGTATGGCTATGCAGTTTGTAGATAGAGCCCTGAATGGATTACTGTGCAAAAAGAAGATAAAGAAGATAATTTCGTGGTAATTCTGATGGCACTGCAAGTCAAAAAACCTGAAACCAACATTAGCATGTATGACATCCCTCTAGTTCGGAAGTGAGAATGAGGTTTGAGCACATGCTTAATGACCTCCAATATTATCGCCTGAAAGCACACTTTGCTGACTGGCTCACTCTAATTTATCTATAATTAGCTTTAATATTGCTAGACCACAAAGAGCAAGTCCTCAGAGCATTAATAAAATATTATGACAAGCTAAAAGCACAGGTTACTGGACACTCAAACACATATTTTTTACTGTATATATATCATACCTATGGACTTTTGCTTTTTCATAGTGCCCTTCTCAGGTATCCCCAGGAAGGCTCCTGGCACAGTGGGTGGCACCACAGCTACTCCTTGGCGGTCATGATACAAGGACTGAAAAGTCAATTGTAAATTATTAATATAACTAGGAATATATAATTGTTTCATTAGATCTCTAAATAACAATAACAGCATTTGCTTACAGGAATTCACACATTAGGATACATAACATATAGGCCAGGTCCAGGCATCACCTGCCACTGGCTGTGTTGACTGCTACTTGCAAATAGGAGGACAATTTTTCTGTTTTGACACTAGCTACTGATTTCAGGTGTTTTAAATAAAGCAAACTTTCAGAAACGGGAAGATGTTATCTTTCAAATGAATTCTCTTACATGCACTTTAAGATCAGCTCTACTTTTATAATATTTTCTTACACGTAAACTTAACCCTAACCTTAAATCGGCTGCTAAACATCAGCATTAGCCCTGAAGCTTTTACTACAGGAGCTCTAAAAGGACAAACAGTTTTTCATCATGGCATCCAGTCTGGGGAAGCAGCACAGGGTACAGCCACACAACCTGATACTGAACAATCTAATTTACAGTAACAGCGATCTGAAACAATGATCACCATAAAGTGAGTTTGCTTATGCTTACATTCATATCAGTTGGCGTAACCAAGCAGCGACTGGATGGGCGTGGTTTAATTGTGGCTATCTTCATGTCAACAGGTGATGTCTTCTGGGCATGGGTCATCTCTTCTACTTTGTCTGCAAAGCAAACCAAGTCATAATATGTCAGCACTGAAAAACGTGACAAGGGGCAGGAGTGAACTTGCAAAGCCTTAGTTTCAGATCTGATGGGTCAAATGCAAGCTACTCATTCAGTCATTTACAGTGACCCTTCCTTGTGTTTCCACACCGAATTGTGAATGAAACTGAAACCAAAAACAGTTGAAACTCTTTTTTTTGTGGGTGTGGGGGTATGAGGGAGGAGGAGCAAGGGGAAGGGGAGAGAGGGCAACTTTGATGAAATGCGCCTGGCATGTCCAGCCTTGGAAGCCGTGCAAGCTCTTTCCAAACAGCCGACTCAGCAGCATCATCCAGCTCTCAGGGTCGTTCCCTCGTTAAATGTAAAATGAGCAATGGATGTGAAAGCCTGCCAAGCTTGCCATTACCTTTCTCTGTGTTTTTATTGTTTTTTTATCTTATTTTTTTACTCTGCCTGCAACACGAGAAAGCTATCAATGGCAAATTTGGCAAACCTGAACTTCCCTCTGGTGTGTGATGATGCCATCAAATAGAGTCCAGCTAAAGGGTTTTGCTCAGAGAAGCTACATGCTAGCCCTGATCTCTCCTCTTACTGTGTCACCTGCCTACAACTGTCTAGGATGTACAAAGCTTCCATGCATCAGCGGAGTGATTACTTAGAGTGACTTGGAAAACAATCCTCTTCTTCTGCGCATCTATACACAGAGGAGAGGAAAGGGGAGGAAAGGAGCATCAATGACCTTAACTACGGTTAGAGGTAAAAACCACACAAACACACAGAAATAGCAGAAAGACGCACATTCCTTTTCACTCTCTCTCTGATCTGTCTCCCAGTTGGATCGCAGCTACAACCTATCAAACAACATGCAACACGGTTGCCCTGGAAACCTATGTGTGAGTGAAACATTTCCTAGAATAAACCTCCTCCTCCTCACACGAACACACACACTAACACACATAAGTAGCTTACAGAAAAATGCACACATGAAGAAGAGAAACATGAAACTTTAAAGGTCAGGTATAGTGAAAAAACACTGACTCACACTCATTTGTAATTCCTCATTAAGCCTCTGCCACTATGTATATTTTTGTGTTTAAAGCGTAAAAAGATTCTAGAAAGTAAACAGTGTATGCTTACTGCTGATAGTGTTGCAAATTAGGTTTGTGGGTCTGCCTGCAAAGAAGCACTGTGAGGTGACATGCCCCTTTAATCAAAAGCAAACCCTGGGAATGCTCAGCAAGAAGAATCTATAGCCTGTGATTACTACGACATTTAACCATGCACTAACAACATTTAGAAGACAGAAACAGCTGCAATCAAAACACTTTGTAAATCATGCAAATGCACTATGGGCGTAGCTCCATTTGGTTTAATTCGGTCGAAATGGAGCGAGTCAGAAAAGGAATCACTAAATACAACAGTGTTAGTTAATCACAGTGGGGTGGACTGTGTGGGAAATACGGGACAGAAATCAATCACTGGAGATACTAGATCAGACTGAAAGCATGCCCGCTGTAACTTACCACCTTTCTTTTTCCTTAGAGTGGCTTAAAGGATGACAAAAAAAGAGTCTTCAGAGCATATACACAGACTCAACGCTTTTCCCCGGAGACATGAAAAGCTGCCCTCGTCCCAAAGCCCTGTGATGAGGGCGGCTCATGAAAGATGTGAGAACTTCTTATTTTGGTCGTTTGATTAACAATAATAAGCACAATTCAAGGATCCTGTTCAGTACTATTAACTAAATGCTACTCAGTCGTCTTTCTCTAATATCTTCTGAATGTCTTTTCTGGCAGCGGTCCCCGGGCCTCGGACTGGTACCGTGAGTCCGTTTGGTGCCGGGCTGCGAGAGCTGAGGCTCGGGTGTGAAATTGATGGTTTTCAGGGTTTTTATCGTTAACTGGGTTTCCCTGGGTCTCTTCTCGTGTTGTAGTCGTGCGTCTTATTTTGAAAGAAATATTTACGTGTTACCATAGCGACCAGAGAGCATAAAGGGGCAGAGAGGAGGATGTTACTCTCAGTGTTGTTGGCGCATTTCAGGAGGACGCTGCTAATAAAGTTACACAATTACACAGGGAATTCACGTTTATTATTATATTTTCAAAACACCACAGTTTTTGTCTTGCTCGTATCATTTTATTTTGTCGTATTTATCCGCGACACCTTAAAGATATTATCTGACATTTAAACCGGTCTGTGGCGCAAAAAGGTTGGGGACCGCTGTATCAGGTCACAGTTCCTTTTCCAAATGTCTGACCCAGTTCTGTGCTCCAAATTTAAGCTAATTCCTACAAAAGATATAGTGATATAGTCACATGGCCAACTGACATTGTTCCTCCTAACTTCATGAAAGAGGTTTTGCCTGTCATCTCCCCCAGCTTCTCTCTGTCATAAATAATTCTCCTTCATCAGGCTGCATTCCAGATTACTTTAAAGCAGCCAGTGTGTTCTCGCCGCTTAAAAAACAAACCCTAATCAGCTCCTAAATCTTAATCTAGAATTTGGCTGAGGTTTTTAAGGTAAACATGGGAGGGATAGCATAGGGATAGCATGCTTTTTCAGGATGTGGGCCCAAGCTCGTTTAAAACAGTCTGAGATAAAGAAGAAAACTGTCCTATCATCTGGCCAAGAGAAACTGAAATTATTATTAGGAAATTATGGAAACAACTTCCTGGATATGATGACATGATGGTGTGATCATATTCAGTTTAAATGCAGTCAACTATATATCTGTATATATAGTTTTTTTATTTGCATGTGGTAGCCAATCAGAAGAGTGTTTGGTGAGTGGGAGGTGGGAGCAAAAAAACGACTTCATTAAGAATAAATAAACTGATGCAACCCAGCATCACAGCAAAACGTGTATTCCACAGTGTCCATTTCACACTGTGCCTCTCCAAAATGTGAAATGGACACTCATGCATGCACACATGCAAATGCATTATACATTTGAAGTCAAGAAGTCAGCAGTGAGTAAAAAATGTATGAAGTAGATTCTAAGGTTCGTAATTGGCTGAAACGATGAAGCTAGGCAGCTAATGTGTATTTACATTAGTGCTGTCAGCGTTAATCTAATTAAAAAGACGTTAACGCCATAACTGCATTAACGAGGCAAATCTCTGTTAACGAGTTACCGTAGATCGCCCTGTGCGTGGGGCTGCATGGCGTCAGCGCGGTCCAGCGCCACGTCCAGCCCCACGCGAGGGGCGATCCGCGGTAACTTGCTAACGGAGATTTGCTGCGTTAATGCAGTTATGCCGTTAACATCTTTTTAACTAGATTAACGCTGACAGCACAAATTTATATGTAAATGTGTTAGTTATGCCTGTTTAAACACAAATAAAATATCCCCCCCGTGCTGTTACTGCAGCTTAGAGCAACTTCTGCACGGACACAGTGGACATGTGTGTCTACTGCACATTTTGCCATGATAGCTGTCTGATGAGCTGCACATAGACCAAGTGTAAGACAAATAACAATTATTTTGGACCATGTGCGATGCTGCTTTAGTCCAAAGATTAAAAAAAAGGTTAAAAGTTCTAACAGGTCTCCTTTAACATGTGTCTGCCTAACAAGTCAAAGTAAGTTTGGGTTTGCCAGCAGATCAGTTTGAATCGAGCAGCTAGCAGCAACCACAGCAAGCTTTAAAAAACCACATGCAACAAACTGCATGTATCCACGTCCTCTGCAAGCAAACCAAGTTCAGCGTGACATCAGTCACAAGTTATTACTTCCTAAATTCTGTTTAAAAACCTTTGGCTACAGTGGAAAGAGATCCACCTGCTGCTGTTTGTTGTTTGTCTACCAAAGGATCAGCTCAACAATGATTTGTGTCATCACGGTAACGACAGGTGTCATCACCTCAGACTATAATAAGAAGGGTTACAACTTTAACATCAGGTAAAAATCAAACATCCAAAAACCTTTCTTCACCTGGGAAAGGTAGGACATTTATGCGTGTGAGCACTCATAAATTGATTGTTTGTCCTCTTCTAATGCTCCTTTCACATTTCATGGCTGCCCTCCTTTCAGGCCTGTGTCTCCTTTGAACGCATCATCTCAGAAACTCTAACTCTGCTGTTTGTCATGAGGCGTCAGGACAACACAAAACACCTCTAAAATGTACATCGTACTAGTGCTGGGCGATATGGAAAAAATATTTATCACGATATGAATTATTTTATATCACGATAACGATATATATCACGATATACCACCTGACCTGTGGTCATCTGGAAAGTACGCAGTCTGTAAACGAGCGCAGAGGTCTTTGTTAATGACATGGATGGTTACGCTCATGTAGGGCTGCGTATCTCTGCTCGTCCATATGTCAGTCGTCAAGGCATAATGCACGATACTGCAAACATCCTTCTCTACTTTGGCAACTCGACTTTACTGAAGTGCTTAGGACCGGGCATAACATACCTCTGATCAAGGACTTTGACGAGGTCACGAAAGCTGTCCTTCTCAGCTACATAAACAGGGGCCATGCCTTTAGAAATGTATAAATGCCGTCTTGCATTTATAAATGCGAGACGGCTCCTGTGATTTGTTTATGGCGCTGGGACGTTTTCTCATACGGCGTGCCTTGTGCGAAAGACTGCTGTATCTTCAGCTGGTATAGTTTTTCTTTTCCCAACTTGCTCCCGTCGTTCCACAACTTGGTTTAGCTTGGATTTTCTGATCTTGAGTATTCTTTTTCGTGGACCTTCTGTAGGTGATAGAAGAGATTTGTTGTGTTGCCATTGAGTGCAGGAACAATTTTATAGCATAGCTTGCAAATGGGCGTCTTCTGCTCTGTGTTGGTGCTGTTGAACTCAAAATGTAACCAAATCACAGACGTACCTCCTCTTTTCGGTAAAAGTGCTTCTTCTTGGGCTGCTTGTGTAGCTGTGTCTGCTGTTGCATGTCCAGGCATGAAACTGCAACCTGTCGCTCGTCCATCGTTTTGAGTTACCTTAAAGCATGTTGCAAATCCGGGTGCACGTAAAGCAGCACCATGTCGCAAAACCACAAGAGGGAGTTTCTTTGTGAAAAATATAATTTTTTATACTTTATTTCTTCTTGCATAAAGTTAAGAGTATGTATAGTGAGAAGACAACACTAATATATTTGCCACAGGCTATTTAACCCTTTAAGACCTACCATAGAACCAAGTCTGCCAGAACTTATCTTTATATTTTTACATGCTGTAGTGCCATTTGTGGGAGCATTTCCAGTTGCTATACATCAATACAACCATTATAGCCCAAATTTTAATAATACATATGCATTAAGTCCATAGTAACTACATAAATTGCAAAAAAGTGCAAAAAAAAATTGAAAATTGTTTTTGGGGTTTTCTTTACATATATTTCTAGTTAGAGAAATTTAAGAGGCTTATCCCTCAAAACTGCAAATACAAAAAAGTTGCACAAAATAGTTTCCCACCACAGGAAATTTATTTTGAGTGTCTTCATAGTTTTATTTTTGAGATACACTAATTTTTATATACTGCAGGGAAAATGAAAATAAATATTATAGTGCAAATTTGCAAAAAAAACCAGCATGTGCATCAAAATAAACTATTTCCAACAGCGTAATTTGAGTTATAAGCGATACAGAAAAGCATAAAGTCAAACATGACTTTAAAAAAAACTCCAGCATAGGCTTATAAGGCCCTAAAGGTAAATAAAAAACATTTTCTGTGAAAATGACGTCACTTCCGGTTCTGGCCAGTTAATGGCGGACATGTGATAGTTCGCGCTGACGTCTATTCCAACGTAGGAAGTGTTATGAACAACTGATCGGATCGGCAAAGCCTGTTTCTGGAATATTATGTTTTTGTTGCTGCAAGTGCTTTTTATGCAATTTTTGCAAAGCCATATGTGGAAGGAAACCGTGACCGAGGACAAGCTGATGGCATAAGATGTAAGTACAACTCCTCCGGTTTCATATGCAAAAAAAATTATTGCGCTAGCTTACGCGGTTCCGGTTTTACAGGGATTTACGCAAAACGGAGCGTGCTGCTCCGACCGGCTTTAAAGGGTTAATGATATATTTTATGTAATAATTTATAAAATTAGGTTAGAAACGATAGAAAGGCACAATAGACACTTTTCTATTGTCCACACAATATATATCGTCATATCGCCCAGCACTACATCGTACACACGGACAAACAGAAAGACGAAGACGATACAGTCACACTAATACTCTTTTTACTCGTTTGCTCTTTGCAGCAGAAGCAACAAGTCATGAGTGTGGATGAGTGTGGGCATCCAGAAGCAAGAGCACTTCATGCAACGGAGGAGAGGAGATGAGGGAGGAAAAGCGTTTTTCTTCTATTTTCTTCTTTAAGGCAAACTAAAGTGACCAGATGATGGAAACGCATATTGCATTAGTCTGAACGAAAGCCTCAATCAGCCACTGTGAGCAAATGAATATGAAGTTGGGCATAATGGATGGCAGAAGGTTATACAGCATTATCTGCTTACCTTTATCCACTATTGAGAGATTAACCAACCATGAGAAAGAGGTACAAAAAAGATCTTCTGTGAGACACTTGCTCCCATTTGCCATTGTGAGTTACCAGAGTCAAAACTGCAGCTCTTACCGAGTTCCTCGAGTTCAGACGTCATCGACTTTGAGCGCATTGACAGGGCTGTGGTGGGGGCTCTCTTTGGAGGTGGAGGAGCTGAGCAGAGAGAAACAGACATGTGACCAAAAGCAGGCAGGTCATCTGCAGTGATCTGGAGGCGTCACACCTTTTCAGGTAAATCTTTAATCGATCAGTCAAATTTCACTGAGGGAAAAGGATCAAATTAGAAATATTTTCTGATGATAGGAAAATATAATAGAGTATCAGAAAAACACAGAGACAAAAGCAATATTCTGATCAGAGATTTTTGACAAACATTTAAAGGTTTGCTTATTTCCATGTGTAGATTTTGTCTAGTTTGTATTAAAACCACCTGGTCTGACCTCTCGTGTTTGCGGTTTGTATCCTAAGCACAGAGTTGGTCCGGTTTCTCATGGTCTTTGAGGGGTATTATTACACAGTCCTTCTTTCCCCCCCCAACCAGTTTCAGTAGATGACCTCCCTGATAATGGCTTTGTTGGAGGTCTCTTCCTGTTGACCTCTAGCTGACCTCTGTTGGTCTCTAGCACTGTGACCTCACATCAAGGAGATCCTGCTTGGAGTTTTCATGTTTTCACCATGTCTCTCCAGCTTCCTCTCACAGTCCAAACACATTAGCTAACTGGTGATTATAAATTTATAGTAGGCATGAATCTGAGCGTGACCGGTCTGTCTCTATATGTGTGCACCCTGCCTCATGCCCTGTGACAGCTGGGATAGGCTCCAGCTCCTCCCGGGACCCTGAATTGGAAAAGTGGGAGCAAATGGATGGATGTTTGGCTATTAAAGAGGATTTGCTTTACAACACATAGTGCGCTGAGATTTCTTCTAGCTATACAGATAATAGTGAACTAAATCATCAGTCAGTGTGTCACTTTAATATTTTAATACAGGAGGTACATCTGTGATCAGGTTCACACAGCACTGTACTACAGCAGGCTGTATGCTACAGCTGTGCTCTGCTGCTCCTCAGCTGAAGCACCTCATGACGATTATATTCTCGAATCCATGTCTAAACACGACTGGCAGCCATTTTCAGTCTCTGTACCTTTTTTGCGTGCTGTGTCCTCGGGGTCCAGATTCCGGCTCACTGTCACCACCTTAATCAGGAGCCGGTTGCCTCCCTGGCGGATCATGTTGACCACCTGTCGATGGCCCACCTTCACCACATTCTCCTGGTTCACCTGCCACAAACAAACCAAAAGTTTTCTTATCCTGCATCTTTGCTCATGTTATTAACTGCGTATTTATGAACAGCACAAACATGTAAACACTGGACCGACACCTCAGTTTTGTGTGGGAGAAAACTGCTGCTCATTTAAATCTGAAGATGCAAAATTCAATACAAAAGAAACTGTGAAAAGTGCAAGTATGGCTTCACAGTGCAAACCATCATTTTCTACTGGAAACCAACCAGACTGGTAAACTGTCTCTCCAGCCACCACATCCACTAGTTTGATTTAAAACGTTACTAAAATGTATTTTTATTGAACACACTGTGTAGACATATTTCAAGCAGTTAAAGCGAGTGAGTCTCTGTGCTAACAACTGTGCCATGAGCTAGTTTGAGTCAGATGTTCTGTCTAAGGACATAAATGTATAAATGAAGATCTACAAAGTTCAGTGACTGACCAGCACTGATCTTCTCTACAGCTGTGGCCAAAACTAATTTATTTATTTGCCATTAAAAGATTTTGAAACATATTAAATCCTTGTAATTCTTCTTCACAATATCATAGAAACGTGTATATAATGTTCTAAATTAAAACCTGCAAAGTGCATGAAAAACAAACTTGTGCCGTTGTCAAAACCTGTTGAAAGACCGGCTGGTGTGAACCATTCCTCGATCACAAAAACTTTCATAGAATTATAAAAGCAGCTTTGAGACGTATGGAGCTGAAAAATGTTGTGTTAGTCTGCAAACCGAGAAGCTGTCTAAATGAAGGAAATTTAGGAATGTTGCTACTTTGCTTTAGGATTTGGAATCTGCAAAGATCACATAATTACAAAAACCACTCAAACACCTTTGGAACAAAATTCTGTTGAAAGCAAAATATTGAGCTTTGTGGATAAACGCTTGTCATGAGAAAACAAGATACAAATCCTGGTAATTACCCAGGGTTCACCCACGGGCTGCATACAATTCTGTTTACACTTAGCCTTAATCAAAGTGTCTTGATGCATGCTCAATCATCCAGGTAAGTAAATCCCAAAAGGTTGATTCTGTTCATCTGGACGTAGCTCGTCCAAAACCTCCAAAAAGTTTACATTTTGTCTCGGGGACTTTTGTCACAGATAATTTCCCCAAAAGTCTCGGTGATGATCAAGATGCTTTTGACATCTTGCCAATTTTTGCCAAAATCTCTTTCTTATTGCTGAATCATGAAAACTGACCTTAATGAATTAAATAATCATTCTGTATTCACAGGGGTTATTTTTAATGTATATTAAAGCTAGTTGGATGATCTGAAACATTCAGGAAAGGACAAATACTTTATTTCACAGCCACGTACAGGCCAGAGTTGTACAATCTCCTTCTACATAACAGTGACAGACAAGAGAACAGACTTCTTACACCTCTGTACGTCCAAATAAAAGACAATGAAACCAGGAAATTGATTAACAATTTTCAAAATAAGCAGCTGAAGGAATCAACAAAATCTTCATGGCTGCAATATTCATAAAGGAGCCTGGCTGCTGCCCTCTATGTTTCTCCATGTATACGTCATAAACATCAGCTCATATAATAATGGCTCAAGGACACGGTGAGAAATCTGAAGCTTCAATTAAAAACAAAGAAACAATTTGGACTTTTTGTTCTTGGAGGAAAGCTGTGATGTCTGTGACACAGCTGTGATGGTGGCTGTACAAAAAAGTTGGACTTTTAAAGTGGATTGTATTATTATACCAAAACCGCTAACTCCATCAGGGCAAGAGTACTGAATCACAGTTTGTTGCAATTTGTTATCGAGCACTTTAAGTCGGTATCAGTGCTGGATTTTCATTCTTCTCTTAAAGAGGAGAACGTTCCATACATCAAGAGAGATGCCCAGAAGATGGCTAGCTTTATATGTTAGTAAACATTCCCAGTGATGGATTTTGACCTTTTTATTTCCACCTAAGACACCGAGCCATGGGGCAGCATGGCGGTGGGGTTGTTATCTGTTTCTCTGTGTTAGCACTGTGCCAGGGTGTTCCCCAGCTCTTGCCCTATGGTAGCTGGAGTAGGTGATCCTGATAAGGTTAAGTGGAAGAGAATAATTGGATAGTGAACCTGACTTTTATGCACTTGTTCAAGCACAAAACCGACTAGATTTCTCTCACTGAACATTAAACTATAAGCAAAAGCAGCAATAGTAACTCTACTATGTTAAAAGTGTTCAAAACTTTGTAAAATATGCAAATATATCTTGTCTGATTTTGAAATGTTGATTAAATAGTGATAAGTTATGTTAGCATTTTTACACTACCTATTTCACTGTATCTGTAAAATCACACTGATGATACTTTGATGTATACCTAACAACTAAACACAATCATATCACAAACACCCCAAGATGTCAACTGAGCCTCCAAACTCCTCAGATCAGACTGCTCCCCTACCCATCTCTCAAACACCATCATAAAGTTCGCGGATGACACCACAGTGGTTGGACTCATCTCAAGGGGGGAGGAGTCGGACTACAGAGATGAGGTCAACAGACTGACTGAGTGGTGTTCAGTTAACAACCTCCAACTGAACACCACGAAAACTAAAGAACTTATCTTGGACTTCAGGAAGGGCAGAGCAGACCCGGCCCCACTTTACATTCACGGGAGCTGTGTGGAGAGGGTACACTCCATGAGGTTTCTGGGCGTGCAGATCTCTGATGACCTCTCCTGGACTGCAAATACTACGGCGGTGGTTAAAAAGGCCCAGCAGCGTCTCCACTTTCTGAAAGTGCTCAGGAGGAACAACCTGGAGGAGAGGCTGCTGGTGACATTTTACAGAGCCACCATAGAGAGCATCCTAACGTACGGCATAACAACATGGTATGCAGGGTGCTCAGCTGCGGACAGGAAAATACTGCAGAGGGTCATCAACACAGCCCAGAAGATCACTGGCTGCTCTCTGCCCAGCCTGGAGGTCACTGCAAACTCTCGGTACCTCAGCAGAGCTGGCAATATCATCAAGGACCACTCTCACCCCAGCAACCAACTGTTTGAACTATTACCGTCAGGCCGACGGTACAGGTCACATAAAACCAGGACAAACAGATTCAGGGATAGCTTCTTTCCCTGGGCCCTGTGCTTCGTACGTCACTTACTACATCCAAGATCAAATGAAACATCCAAGACCAAACCATCGCGCTAACCGTGAGCGCGCTAATCCGGTTCCCCGAACACACCTGTTGTTGACGATTAGTACAGCTGGACGCAGTAATGTGACATCACTGGGTGTCGTAAAAGGGGCTACGCATCGATAGTAGAAACATTGATCGGCAACCCGCTGATTGGTCGGCGAAAATGTCGAAGGAGCGCGCTCGGCTCGGTATTTTTCGGCAGCAGAGCAAGAACTCATGAGTGCGGGATTTCAGGAGTTTCAGAGTTTAATTAAAACGCAAGAGAACACTGCAAAGGCTGCAAAAGCAAGGAGAGAGGGCTGGCAGAAAGTTGCTGACAAATCAAACTCGTAGGTAATTTAATAATAATAATAATAATGGATTCGGTTTATATAGCGCTTTCCAAGGCACCCAAAGCGCTGTACGATACCACTATTCATTCACTCCCACATTCACACACTGGTGGAGGCAGCTACGGTTGTAGCCAGGCTGCCATATCGCGCCATCGGCCCCTCTGGCCAACACCAGTAGGCGGTAGGGTAGATCTATCATATGACACTATATTGTCCAATATCATATGGCATTATATTATATTATAATATGTTATATTATATCCCCTTACACATTAGTGCCACAACAGGACCCACTAGAACATGGGAACAGGTAAAAGTGAAATATAAGAATATTCTACAGAATGGTAATATTTATCTCTTAGATTGCTTTTCGTCTCTTGGCAAGGTAATACTGGCCTGTAATACTCTGTTAGTTTGTTCATAACAGCAACCAAGAAAAGGGCAGAGCACAAAAAGACAGGTGGTGGTCCTGCACCCCCTCGTCAACAAGTTGGTTAAGTGAATAATACCCTCACGGGAATATCGATATCTCTCTATGAGCACACTGTCGCGCTGAGCTAAAGGATCCTGTCTGTCCCGCAATATACGCTGAATTCTGAGGACAGGACATGGCTGCGACAGACTTCCCAAATCCACCTTCGCTTTTATAGCCGTGGTCTCTCATCTTGATTACACGAAGTAATTTACAATTACTACTCTGAAATATGAATTACATCTGTAATAATCACATGTAATAGAATGTTAATAGTTCATTTCCCTTTTTTAGGAAATGACCTGTATGTATCTGTGTGACATCAATAAAAGGATCAGGTGCTGCATTATCTTTAGTTACATTGATAATATTTATTTATGGTGGAACAGTGGTGGAATATCGCTGTTGCTTTCGTATAAATGAAGCGGACATACCTGCGTGGCCGCGATCTAATCCTGTTTACATAAAGTAAACCTGCTCCCGGGCACAAAAAGCACATGACTGTCAATACACTACAGAAACACAAGACAAGCAACAGGGGCGGGTAAGGGTAAGAGAGAGCCGGTGTAGACAGCGCATCCGGTCCTGCAGCATGTCTGTGCTGGTCCAGTCGACCCGCCATCTGTCCCGGGAGGGAACAAGCATCGAAGGCGTTTGAAAAGGGAGGGGGATGAATGTGTATCAGTGTATGTGTATGCGTGTGTGTGTCCTGAGTTAGCTGATAGTGTCCTTCGCCCTGCCAGGCTAAGTAAACAGTCTTCCAGCAGACCCAGGTAGCCTTGCATGGAATGGGGGGAACAGTCTAAACACAGTCTGTTATTAGGGTGAGAATTTGTTATGTTCAGCTCCAGCCTTGAGACCACAGCTGGCACCAAAATGGTAGCCGCATGAAATGATGGTGGTTTTTACTTTAGTGCGAACAACTCATGTAAATTTCAAAGCTGTTCTAGCAGTCCGACACTGGTCTCTCAATCTCCCGTTGGACAGCCGTGAGCTTCTCCAAGATGTTATCCATCTTACACTCCATGTTATCATTC